TTCTTACAATAAAACATAATAAACACTGAAAATCGTTCGTTAATTAATTATTATGTAACAATAATGTTCTAGAATGTTTTATTAATAAGGTCGATCTTTTCGAGAAAGCATAATATGCTTTGCATTAAAGGACACGTGAAATTGCTATTATATTAATTACGCATTTTTCAAGAAATCACGCCTTCCGTCGGCGACTGTCTCCCGTCGGCATTTGGAGCTTCCTCTTTTTCGTTGATTATTGCATGCAACAATACTCTAAATTATTTTATTGTATAATTCTTCTTAACATAACTGACTCTTAATTGAGAAGAATTAAACGATAAAATGATTTAGAACATTGTTCCAATAATAATGATAATCAACGAGAAAGAGGAATTAGCTCCAAACGCCGACGGGAGACGTAATTTTTCGAGAAATGTACTCTATATATAGTAACAGTTTCACGTGCCCTTTAATGCGAAGCGTGCTTTCTCGAGAAGACTTAAACAATAAAATATTCTAGAACGTTATTGTTGCATAATGATTAACGAGAGACGTGAAATTGCTATTGTATAAAGGCATTTCTCGGAAAATCACTGCGCCTATACGGCGCGCGTCTCCCGTCGGCACTTGGATAGACGTGGTACGTAGTTCCTGTTTTGAAAACGTGGACATGGGACGCTAGTGTACGGAGGAGATCGTCGGTCCCACCCAAAAGGTCCGGGCATGACCGCTCTCACGCTTCTCTGGCAGCATGTGCGGCTAATCCATCTCAGATGTCAGAAACACTTTGTTCTAATTATGAAAAATAAAGGCGATTACGGATGATTTCAGTCAATGAGATATTTTTGCGTAAGTTGCTTCGCGAAGTTGTCTTTCCTAGTGAATTTAGATTTTTTTTAATTTAATAACATTCTACGATTTTGTAAAATCTCTCCGTGCATGATGCCACATTTCTGTAAGTTGCTCCGGAGCAAGAATTGTTTTACAGTTTTACATTTAAATGTTTGAGTCAAATTAAGCAGCACGGATCTTAGATCCTGAATGTCGTTTATGAATTAAATGTAAATATCAATATATATAATAAATAAAATTTCGATTTTCATTAGGTTATCTTCAGCATCGGTACTAACAATTATTATAGAACCTGCCGAATATACAAGCGTTGCATTGTTTAAAAAACGGAAAGCCTCATCGCCAGATTCTGTTTCCACTGTGCAATTATCCGTAACTGTATGTGCAATGGATAACAGCAGTCTAGTAAATACAACGGACGGCCCATATGATTTTTTAAGTACAGGTATATATAATCTGACCATTGAATCTGTGATAAACCTGAATGTAATGAAAAATATTTATTTAATGATTTTCCCATTAAAATAGCGCTGGTGGAAACAAGCACTGTGTCGCAAGGTGTTTCGTTAGTGGACCCAACCGCTGTAACAAAATCATGCCAGCAGGATTTAATGGAGTTGGCTGCAGAAATTGCAAAAGTAATAACGAAAAGATAACTTTGCATGATGTTTATACAATTAAATTGTAATGCATCTTATTATAATATATTTATATACTGCTTTCTCGTACAGGCAGACAGCTGTGTGAAAGCCAATGCATGTAACAAGCTGCAAGTGATCGCAGAGCAGATCAGATTTTTGCAAAGACAGGCCCAGGGTATTTTGCTGGAGGCGGAACGGAACGCCAAGCTGCACCATGTGGCTTGCAATTTTGTGAAGCGACCTGGTCAAATCTATCATCTGTACCAGCGGGAAACGGGACAGTTTTACTTTTCCATGCTTAGCCCGGAAGTAAATAACATATTTCTGTACCACTAATCATTATTTTGTTTTTTTTTTTACAAAATCTCATCTGTCAACCGTTTCTGTCGACTTTCTGTCAATGTAGGAATGGGGCAGTTTGGCTCCGCCGCAAACTTACAAGGGTTCCTTTAGACTGGAGCAGGACCGCTCGTGGACCTCGGTGTCTCAACTGCAGGCGAGGAACATCGAGTTGAGCTTGCTCGAGAAATTCATACCCTCCGATACGTCGAACGTTTTGCAATCCGTCATGTCAAGCGCCAACACGTAACGTACGTAATTGGTGAATTAGTTGCGAATAAGTTGTGGAAAGTAAGAACAAAGTTGTAAATTAAGAACAAAAGCGTATTGATAGGAAAAGATTTGGTAACATTTTACCGCGAGCCAACTTATTTCAGTTTGATAGATTAAAGCGTCCTCGTCGTGTAACTCAACAAGCAAATTTATTTTGTGATATAATATCGAGCTACTCGTAGTCCCTATTTGTAAATGTACATACAAATATATTTCATATATTATATATAGATTCTATATATAGGTATATAGAATAGATGGATATATAGATATCTGTTTTATATTATTATAAATTATATACATAATTTATGTATATAATTATATACATTTTATCGTCTAAAACGATCTCTATTTTGTACAAGAGTAAATCCGTACGCTAATATTTCATCTCCAGTACAAGTCCAGTGAATCAGTTGTGCAATTAATTGATAAATATCTTTCTCTATATGCAATAATATGCATATGTAGCTATATGGCTGCTTGTTACTTTTTGCTCATAATGATCTTTTAATGGCTACCGAAAGATCAATATGAGACTTGGAATTATAATACATCGTCTATTTTATGTGGTATATATATTATTACATTTCTATAGGCAGTAAACAGATTTGTGGGTTCGGGTTGACTTTTTTTTTTACTCTTTCTAAAGTATTTGGGATACGACTTCAATGAGCAAAGTGAGTTACATCTCAGTGCAGCTCACGATTCATGGCTTCGCGAGCACAACTGAACATCTATATAGGATCTATTCTATTTTTTTTTCTCTTCTTCTATAGAATACTCCTCCCGCAAAACTTCTCTGCGGGACACTTAACATACTTAAAATATTATTCTATAATTAATTTTCAAATAATAAAATATCATTTTACTGAAAACGGACATTAATGTACAAAGTTTGAGGATCAACGAACACTTAATATTTTCTCGTGTCCTTTTTATGTAAAATTAAATTTCTAAAAATGAACAAATCTACACCGAAGTAACGTTGATCATTGACGGGAACTCCGACGACTGGTTTTTGGTTTCATTGTCGAATCTGTATGTCAAGTAGTGTTCACCTTGTGTGCTGAAACATATATAAATATATATACATTGTACAAATCGTTAAGTACAAATTTATTTATAACAGACAAGCAAATTCTTACACGAAACTGGTATCCTGAGAGGTACATCATCCTGTATAACGCATTCATGCGTTTGAGTATGGAAGAGATACTGTACCAAAAGCTGTTTGTCATCTCCCACACATGGATCGTAAAATCCAGGCAGTTGGCTCTGCAACAGCATAAGATTTTACATAATTTGCAAGTGATATCTCAATTTTCGCGTATTTCGCGACCTTCATACAAATCTCGGTTTATAGAAAATTGATTAGAGTTAAAAAGTTTTCAAGACAAAAATGAATTGATCATTATCCATTTCGGGAACAATAAAAAGATTAGTTTGCATATTAAATCTCTTGTATAAAATTAAAAATGTGAGCTCGCGGAAAATAAACTCTTGATAAAAAAATAAGAGACAATAGAGATTTAAGTGAAAAATAAAAACTCTTGATATAAGAGATATTTTATAAGGGCGCACCTTAGATGCCTTGTGAAGAATCAGTTTGGAGTCCTTGACTAAGCATTGCAAAGGGATTGTTACGTCTATCATTTCGTCTCTGTGTCCGCTTTCTTCCGTGGTGGAGCGATCTTGGGGATAGACGAACCGACCGTACAGTGCCTTGGTGATGATTAGTCCTTTCTTGGATTCCTCCTCGGTTCTTATCCTACTGACCGTTTCCTTCATCAGTTCGGTGGCCGCTTTCGCCTCCCTCTGCTTCTCCATCATTCTGGACTTGTTCAGCTCCTTCTGCTTCTCCTTCTCGCGCTCCGTCCGCTCCTTCACGACGGGATCGATTATGAGCTTCTTGATGACCGTCCACGTGATTATGGGCGCCACGGTGGCGTAAAAGACCGGAGCTGGAAGAACCTCGTCGCACAGGTGGATGGGGAACGTGTACGCCTGCGAGGCGCGGCTCAGTCTAAGTTTCAACGTGACGCCAGTCGGCACGCCGATGCGTACCGCCGCCGAGACCGAGCTGTGCTTGGAGACCTTCTTTTCCGCGCCGTACTCGAGAAACGCGCCGAACGTTCCGGCTCTGTAAATTCATACGGAACGGTTATTACGCACAGTAATTCAAATTTACCGTTGACGGGATGATAAATAACGCCAACAGTACTAACTTGACACTACCGCGAAGCTTGAGTTGCTTCTCTTCCATCTTATAGGTATAGTTAAGGCTGACGAAAGAATGTAAAAGTCCGAAATGTATAGAAAACGCCGTGTACGATCGGGACGTGTCTCTCACGATCATGGTGCTCATGGCGTCCTGAATGCCGGCTCTGTACGTGAGGTATCCCACCGTGTGTTTATCCAGCTGCATCGCAAGAGCTGCAAACGTAAACAACGCTCGTTTCGAGATGCACGCATGTGTCGCCGAATAATATTGGAACTAAAAAAGAATTACATGGGGAATTACAATTATACTACGAAAACCGCAAGAGTGAACGTACTCCCAACGTAGCCGGCCTTCACGCCGTGCGACGTGAATTGCAGTATCGTCGCCCCGTCGCAAAACAATCGTTTCGTCAACGTGCGAAACGCCTTGAGGGAGAACGTCGGGCCGTTGCCGGCCCCGACCTCGACCTCGACCCAGCCCTTCGAGGATATCAGCCGTTTCGCCGAGACGTTGATCGACCCGGAACCCGTGCCGTTTTGGGTCCCGAGCTGGCCGGACATGGTCACGGTGTCCCTCAGGGTGAGGGGCGCCTCGATGGACTGCGCGAACGACATCCCGCTGACTTCGATGCACGAAAACAGTCCGCTGCGCAGAAACCATATTCATAAACTTTCTGGATCGAGGAATTACGATTGTCGAATTCAATTTGATAATATTGCTTAATAATTAGAATATCATTATTAAACAACGTCTCTTTTACTGCGTCTTATCGTAGCCGATGTCTTATTTATAACAATACAGACTGATCGATCTTACCCGTCGTTGTAATCGTCGCTGTAATCCTCATCGTATCTACTGAAAAGATCGGTGGCATTGATGTTTACCGTTACAGTGCCTTTGGGATTAGTGTGCTGCTCCAGCCGTCTCTCCTCCCTCTCCCTCGCCAGCCTCTCGTACTCCTCGCGAATCTCCTGAGGCGTTTTCGTACGCTGCACAATCTCCCATCCTTCCGTCTCCAATCCGCGGATCCCGAGCGAGTCGTAAATCGCCCTCTGATGCGGATCGTTCAACACTACGAATACCAGGTGTTACGTTCAATATTCATAATTAAATAAATCAATACACATCACGCATACACGTCACATTATGCTCTTGGATAAAAAAATTCGTATTGCAAGTAAATGAAATATTGTTTTACTTTATAACATTTTTACGATAATAATAACAAACGGTGATGACGGAAATAGTTGCGGGATATCGGCTGCACAGAACAATTCTAAATCAAAAATCTTTCGACGCGAATACGCGCGTGTCACAAATCAAGTGTGTTGTACCTTCGTAAGCTTTCTTCGTGCGATTGAAAAGGATCTCCGCTTCCTTCTTAAGCGTCGGGTCCGTGTGCTTGTCCGGATGGTAGAGTCTACTGAGTCTGCGGTACGCATTGCTGATGTCCTCGGGACTGGCCTGGAATCGTCGTCGAAAGAAGTCATTACCAGCAGAGAGCGCATAATTGCGTCATGCGTAAGAAAAGGTGGCTTTTGTGAGAGAAAAGATCGAGACGGACGGATTTAAACGTGACGTTCATTCGCATGCGAGCACCGAACCGGACATTTGCGTTCCGCGGCAAAATGTTCTACGACAGGCCGAATGATAAATGCTGCCTGGGAAAACGAGGCGGCCAGCGTTCGACGTCGCGCTCGTCAGTTTTCATTCGTCGCGTCGGTCGCGAGGAAACGGATCTCCCGGGGAGGTGGTGGTGTTACGTCAGCGGTGCCCAGGGCGTGAAGGGGCACGTCACGTGGAGGGCCGCGCGCGAGGTCCGCCTGGGAAAGCCGCTGCTGCGGGTATACTCGCAATCGGACGGATCGCGCGCCGGGGAACGACGCGATTCTCACGTTTCTCGGGATGTTCAGGAACGTGTAATAGTCGTCCTCGATCGTCGAGGTCTCCTGGTCGCTCTCGTCGTCCATTTTAAAGGCCGCGAATCTCCTCGCACGGGTCGTCCGTCTCTCCGGTCCGGTGGACTGGCTGCTCGGCTCGGCTGCCGCGCTCCGTCCGTTTCCTCCACCAGCTTTTTATAGGTTACCGTGCAGTAGGGGACAACAGCGAGCGGCGGGCCGGTAGGACGCGCGGTTCCCGCGGACGCCGCTAGATGGCGCCAGCTGCTCCAAATCGGACCGGGCCGGGCGGTTCAGCGGTTGCCGAGGGAGAGAGAGAGAGAGAGAGAGAGAGTGCGTGAGATCGGGAGGTTACTCGTCGAGCGAGAAAATCGGGAAGATGTGATTACCCCGGTTGACAAACCGCTCGTTATTGAGTCACTCGCGAAGTGTCATTGCCGAGCTAGATGCGGGACGTGGTAAGTGAACGTCGCTAACGAAATTCGCGACGAATCTCCCCCCCAAGTGCCGCCCCGACATCGTGTGTCTCACGAATCGTGTTTCCGAATTGAACGTCTACTTCGGGAGCAGGTTCCTGGAGCATTTATTGCGGCCCTTATAAGGCGTCCACACAAATCGCGACGAAATTAATGAAAGCGTGAAAATCTGTCCTATTCGATGGGCGTAAATGTGACATACCGTTTGGCGCGAAAAAACACAGATATACGTACACATTTGCAGATATATATTTAATATATGTTTAATACAAATATTAAATATATATATAATATTTGATTATAAATTTATGTCTTTCTGTCTATTTCTATATAATTTGTAACAAATTCGTCCGTAAATTATAATTTATATTATCCAAATATTATAAATATAAACTTTTTTCTATTAATTTTAACGTGATCGATGCACGGATAAGTAAACACGAATCTTATACCTTCACGTGCAGGTCGCTCGTTGAGCACCGAGACGACACGATGCCTGGGAAGATAAAGGTGAAGATACTGGCGGGTCGCAACCTGCCGGTGATGGACCGTTCCGGCGACACGACGGACGCCTACGTGGAGCTGAAGTTCGGCAATATAACTTACAAGACAGACGTGTGCCGCAAGTCCCTGAATCCGCAGTGGAACTCGGAATGGTATAGGTTTGAAGTCGACGACGCGGAGCTGCAGGACGAGCCGTTGCAAATCAGACTGATGGACCACGACACTTACTCCGCCAACGATGCGATAGGCAAGGTTTACGTAAATCTGAATCCGTTGTTGCTGCCCGGTATGCTGCCGCCGGTGAAGAACATTTGGACCCTGGAGGCAACTACGAACACCAGTGCCGGTTCGCAAGGTGATATACATATGATATAAGAAATATTCATTACATATTTTGCATATATTTTTAAAAATATTCTTTATTTGTAATATTTGCCTTGCGTGTTTGTTCACAGGATCAGTTATGACCGGATGGATACCTGTATTCGACACGATGCATGGCATACGCGGCGAAGTTAATATTATCATTAAGGTGGAGCTGTTCTCTGATTTTAACAAATTCAGACAGTCGTCCTGTGGTGTACAATTTTTTTACTGTGAGCATATTTAATTCTCGCGGACATACTGACAGTTTTAAGGGAAAAAGAATTAATATCATTACGTAGAATATCTTTTTATCTTATTTAATATTTGTGACTGATTTCATAATTTTTATATTTTGTATTATATGAAGATTACTATCTTTTAAAATTTAATGTTTATGTAGAATATATTTTTATCTTATATTTGTGACTGATTTTGCACATTTTATATTTTTTATTACATGAAGATTACTATCTTTTAAAATTGAATGTTTACGTTACTTATGTAAACTTACTAAAAGAAGTATTTTGCGATCTGTAATAAGTTTGGATACATTTCAGCACCCAATATACCATACGGATATCATGCGCAAATGATACATGGATTTGTTGAAGAGCTCGTAGTTAGTGACGATCCGGAATACAAGTGGATCGATAAAATTAGAACGCCTAGAGCGTCGAACGAGGCACGGCAGACTCTGTTTTTCAAATTGAGCGGGGAAGTCCAGAGAAAGATCGGATTGAAGGCATTGGATCTCGGTGGAAATGCCGTGATTGGGTAAATTTTATTCTTTCTAGGCGTAAAACTTTCGCGTAAAAAAATTAATTTAACCGAAGCGTAAAAATTATTTTTATTACTTCGCCACATCGCTCGAGGTGGAAACTAAATGAGAAATTAATTTGAGACCTTTCGCACAGTATTTAGATACGATCGTTATTTTATTGTATAATTCGATATATATTTGGCATTCAGGTATCTTCAAAACTTCGATCTGGAAGGCGAGTCCGGTATCGTTGCCAGAGGGATAGGCACGGCGGTGACGCTCGTAAAACTGCACGATGTTCTCGGCTTTCCTTGCGACAGCGTCAATATCGAGGAGTAAGTGCCTCTATTGTGTATCTAGTTATGGATTATCGGGCAAGTCCTTGTCTAAACGTAAATTGCGCCATTCGGTCGTAAATGATAAACGGTAAATTATCACGCGCAATTGCGTCTGGCCGATCGTACGAGCCAATTAAGTACGTGTGTCGCCAACTCGTGTAATCTACGATAAAGTTGGCGTCCGCGAACGAGCTATTTCGAGAATTTCGTACAAGGAAATATAGCCATCTCTATTTTACGCTCTCTCTGTCCCCGTGGCTGAAAATAATTTGCGGCAAATAGATGGATGGGCGATCCGAATTTATTGGACGAATTAATCTAATTCTGCAGAGTACAATTAGATGATGATTATAGATTGCCCTTCATTTCTCGTTACTTCGCGAACAGATCGATTTAAATTGCGTAGCGTCGTTAATAAAACGTTGATGTCCGAATTGACACTTAATTGAAACTAAGATATTTTGGTTGATTCTATATCTACCAATTTGATTTGATCTTCTTCGTGTAATAGGATCAGCTTTACGTTTTACAATTTTCTTAAAGCACCTGCACTGTTAAATCTATAGTGTAAAATTTGATCCTATTAAAGTCGCCACTGCTTCTACTTAATATATAGTTATTTTTAAATAAAACGATATATTTTAATCCAAATTTGAGTTAAATTTCAATTGTTTTTTTTTTAATTATTTAACTCCAACGTTTTAGTTAAAAATAATTATTTATTAAGTAGGAGCAGTGGCGACTTAAATAAAGTTAAATTTGACACTATAGATTTAACAGTGTGGTTAAAAAAAAATCTCTGTTATATTGTCTCCTCTGCAAAAAGCAGAAATAAATAATTAATTATATATATTCTTTCCCGATCGCTTAAATCAGATCCGTTTCATTGTTCTTAATTATAACGTACTTTTCTAGGAAGTGTACGAAGATTAATTGATACTTTTCTTCTTGTTCCCTACTCCCTACGCGTCTGCATATAGGATCGCACTCGCGCTTTCCTCACGCACGATAGCGCGAACGGAACGTTATGCCGACGACAATAGCGCGCCGTTCATCCCCATTTCTATTCCCGCTTCGTATCCCATTCGCATAAGCAGAAATCTCCTATTTCACGCGCAGTCCACGTTGTCCCTGACGCGCCTGGAACGCGCTGCGAACGTGGCCGTGGCGCCGAACGGGTATGCCGCAGCGCGAAGGAACCGTGTCAGGCGCATCCCGTTTCTACGATCCGACACGTCGAGCACGTTGAGCCTGAGGATGGCCGGGTCCAGCGCCTCCCCGAATCTCACTCCGTCTCCGGAAATCGGCCGGAATTTGATCGACGAGACGGTGAGATCCGTACGCACCATCCTGACGTCGCCGTCGGAGGACGCGAGGAAGGAGTCGCCGAGGAGGGGCCGCCTCGCCAAACAAATCGAACATCTACGCGGCAAATTTGACTCGGTCGGCGAGGAGAGTCACTCTGCCGCGAAGTCCGATCGCGACTCCGACACCGGCACGATCGGCTCGTTCGCCATGAATCCTGAGAGGAATCGCAAGGAAGCCAAGGCCACCGGTAGCATAATGGCGGCCTTATTGATCGGGTCTATACAAAACATGCCTCTGGCGAATGTCGGGAATACCGAGCCTGTTTCGATTCTTCCCAGCGACGAGCGACCCGACGAGGAGGTGAAGACAGAAGAGACGGAAGGAGGTTGCGGAGAGAAACCTCGCGAGAATACGGACAGCAACGTTCAGGGGAACGAGGGGCAGAGGCAGGACGTCGCGTCCTCGATCGACGAGACGGAGATATCCTCCTGCGACGACGACAATTCCACGGGCGACGAATTGTCGGAGGACGACACCGCCGGTTACAATATCTTGGACGATTCGAGATACGACTCGGTCGACTCCGACAGAGCGGAGGACTCGTCGAGCCTCCAGGAGAGGATGCCCATCACGCACTCCAGCGCGGAAAGCTGCACGGATTCCACGCTGCAGATAGAATCGGACGTGGCGAATCGTTCGCCGTCGAATTCGAATTTAGCGGAAGGTACCGTGTCGCGGATCCCCATAATCACCGTGGACACGCGAGAGACCACAGACTCGGATACGTCGATCGACACGTCCGGATTCTCGACAAGCGCGAGTCGGCGGGATGCCACAAATTCACACGTTCTGACCGAGGCTGGTGTCTTTGATCCGAAATTAACTCACCATTCGTCCGAGAAGCGAGAAATCGACTACGCGAGACAGGCGTCCGACACTTCCGGGAACGAGCGTCTGATGCTAAGTTTGGAAGTAAAGGAAGATAAGCGACGTAGCAGTGCTACATCCGGCTCCTCGAGTCCCGAGACGCATCGTTTCGTTCATCTGACGAAACACGAGCGTGATTTATGTCGGGAGCGCCGCAGTCAATCCGCTCATCGACAGAACAGGGAATCTCCGTCTCCCGCCGAAGAATCGGAAATTCGCGGAACGAACGCAGACAGGGAGAGAGACGATCCGGCCGTCAGTTTACCGCGTGCGACGACACGCCTGTCCAGCCTGTCGAACGAAGAAGCCCGCGCGACCGTGACCGTCCACAGACGGAGATGCATGCGCGACCTGATCAAGCTGATCGACACGAGGATGATGGTGTCCGCGCGCGCGACGCGTCGCAGCAAGAGAGCCGCCTCGTCGAGGAGGAGCAAGAAGAGGAAGCACGAGAGGAAGGCGTCGTCGTCCCGCAAGCAGGGCTCGAGAAAGTCGAGGAATTCGTCTGACAGGTTTCCTTCCCGCGGCGCGTCCACGGGGAGGCGCGCGGTGTCGCACGGGCGTCGCGAGAAGGACGTGCTTCTTCGCGTTCCTCGCGTACGCTCGATTCCCGAGCGCCTCTCCTCGGGTCACCGTCCGATCCCCCGTGCCACCTCCCGTTCCTGCGGCTCCTCCCTCGTCAGTTTAACCGATTGCACGCGCGCATCCCCGCCGTCTCCCGCGTACTCGCACCGTCCGCATGACGGTGGTCCATCCGGCGCCTCGGGAAAGTCGCCGAGGAGCGACCGCGGCGAACCCGACGCGGTGCCCGCAGTGAGTTGCGTCTGTAATCTAGAGGAAACGTCACGTCATATTGATAATAGCGCTCTAACGCCCACTAACAATGCTAATATGACTTACAACTCGCGTGTGTCCCGTCCTTCTCCCGATCTTAGGCAGCAAGACGAGGCGTCGGTCAGTCCGTCCTGCCCGCTTCCGGCCGTTCCCACGGTGGCCGCGAAAATGTCCCAGTCACCGGCGACCAGAACGCTCGCCAGCATGCCGCTTCACCGGAGATCGAGCGATTCCGATCTGAGCGTCACGCCTAAAGGTATACCGAGCTGTTCCTCTAAGCAAAGATAAGTTAACGTATGGGAATCACACTACGATTATTGTACAGCGCAATCGAAACAGTTAGAGGAGAGATTACTTTCTATCTTCATTTTCATCTTTATTTGTTTAGAGACAAGTCGCAATGTCTGTAAAATCCATGCAATATATTGCTAATATTTAGGATTCAGTTCTAACGAATTTGATGATTCGATTAAAAAGGGAGAGAGGAAAGGGTGAAAAAAAATTACATCGTGTTTCAGGTAACTCTCTTGGCAGTAGTGACAAATCGATAGCGGGACCCCTAAGGACACCGACTGCGGTGGTCAGACCTATGAATCAAGACACGTTGGAAATGTTAGAGTATCCGTTCATCACTATGCAACATTATCCACCTGGCTTCATATTACATATAGGTAATTAAGTTTATTTTACGCATCTTCCAAGACCTTCAGCTGGATGTAGCGAGGCGTCATATCCAGTAATTTATTACTAACGATAAATCCAGTCGTATTCGCTTGAAAAAAAAAAGCATGCAAAAGTAACGCGAACGCAGTAACAACTTGAATTGTGTGCACAGGCGGTCTAGTGAGCTCGAAGTCGGTGAAGTTACTCGAGAGGATAAGTAATCTGGAGGAGCCGGAAGGCCGTGATTCGTGGTGGACCGAAATTAGGATGGAAGTTAGGTCGCACGCGAGAGCGCTGGGCTGCAACGTTGTTATAGGCTACAAGGAAGAAACTAGTATATGGTAAAGGCTTTTTTTTTGTATTCGCGGAACATGACGCTGCCACCGCAAGGCACGAATTTTTTTCACTTTAATAAGAACAGTAGTAGTCTCACGTAAGTTTTTAACTCTTCACTTTCAACGGTCTGTCAAACGTTGTATCAAACAACGTGCGTGCAATTATTTCCCCTACAGTGACGACGTGTGCGTGCTGAGTGCTTCCGGCACCGCGGCAGTCATAAATTTTCATAATTCCGGTCAGGATCCGGACGGCGTGGTTCTGAATAAACTGCAGCAAAGCGTGCCCGCGGCCGCCGTGGATGCGGAGAAGGGCCAGCAGAAGTCCGTGACGATCCAGAAGGCGGAGAGGGTCGACGGCGACGCGTCCGTCGTGACTCACTCGGAACGGCAGAACGGGAAGGTGTGCAAGCATCCTGCCGAGAGCAACGATCATGATCAGGCCACCTGCGGCCAGTCTCAGCTGCGATGCAACCTGTGCCATCTCCCGTACAGCGAGGGTAGCGTGCCGTTCAGGGTCAACGTGTCGAAGTGCGCCATATGCAAGCGTGCCAAAGTCCCGGACGTGATGTTCACCACCATAGAAGTGCCCGCGAACGTACCGACGACCGGGCGGGGCTGCTTCATTCAGGCGACCGTCTGCAAGAGCAAGAAGGACCTGCGGGGCGAGTTGAACGCGAAGGAGATATCCGATTGCCTGCCGTTCTTGGAATACGAGCTGCACAGCTTGTTGCTGAACAAGCTCAAGATGAAGGGCATGAATGCGGTGTTCGGGCTCAGGTTGCAGGTCTCCGTCGGGGAACGCTTCGTAATCGGCATGGCGGTGGGCACCGCGGTCTACTTGACGGCGCTGCCGCCGCCCACCATCCCGCAAATAGCGTCCGGCAATTCGTGGCACAACGAGGATCAATTGGGGGAGATGCAAAAGTCCATCGTCGATACGGTGAAGAAGAATAGAGAGTTTTACCGTCTGAAACCTATCGGAGTCAACGTATGTGCGACTATAGATAACTCTGAATTTTTATTTCAGAAATAATATCGTCCTAAGGTTTGATCGATTAATCCTAAACCGTGGCGTGAATTGTAGGAAGTCGAAAACGGACGCATTCCGAGCACTTCCGACACAGACGAGTCGGACGAGGACCTGCCGGAGCTCGATCTTGGACTGGGCACTCGCGACGCGTGCGTCCTGGAAGTCGACGACATCGAGGACATGGACCGGATATCGTCGTTGATGGACAACAGACCGCCCGACGATTTTCACGTCGTTAACACGCAGACGATACCTGGCCTCGAGGATTTGGAAATCGTCAGAAATTTACAAATGTTTACGCAAATCTCAAGGGCTAAAATTCCCATGGGACAATTCGCGTCGATGCCGTCGAAATATTTTGCCAGATTACTTCAGGTACAGATTTTTTTTTTCATCTCTGAAATGTGTTTCGCAGGGAAACGTCTTTACTTTGCGGCGGCACGTTTGCTCGCGTATATGTTTACTCGCGATTGAAAGTACGCCTCGCGAAGAGAAAGTATTTCCATTTTTATTAAAAACGTTTCTCGCTTTATTTTAGTCCTTGTATTTCAAATTAAGACGGATGGTTCCCTGTGCGCTGTGCGATATGCAGTTTAAAGTAGCATTATCGGAACAAGACGAGATACAGCTGACTGTCGTTGGTATGGCACTCGGCTTGGGAGAACTGTTGAATGCGAATAAATATAAACGGAAAATCGTGTGCCGTTCCTTGAGCAAGGATCAAGTGAGAAAGTCAGGTACTTTTTGAAGCAGCTCTTTTTTACAAATTACGTTTACATTTTTTTTTTAGCAGAAATTATCGGATTTTATATTACAATCCACGGTTATAGTTACATTTTTCTTGAACGTCTAATGTCATCCCTAAATATATATTTTAAAGGAAGGACGTTAATTCTTTTATTTCCTCTGGCAGATGACAGTGATATGATATTTAGCCTAGACGAGGATCATCTGGAGAACAATGTCACGTCTGACAATGCAACACGTACTTGTGTAGGAAATCTCGCGACCCTAAGTGGTACCCCTGTACAAAAGCCAAGACCACGCTCACCTTTGCGTTTAAAGTCATTCACTACTCATAGACGTAAACATGTAAGGATTTTTTCTTTATATATATATATTTAATAAATTTGATAAATGCTAAGCGTGAATAACAAGATTTTTCTTTATATTTCGATTCATTATAGGTGCCTTTGAAAGGAAGATATGGCGTAGACATAACACCTTTGTCTTATCTACCAGGTGGAAGGATAGAAAGGTATCAAGGCAACCTAAATTTCTTTTTTATCCGCGAAAGTACGTCAATAAGGGAGGTGAGTTTTGTATGAGTAACGATCATTCTCGACGGAGTGTTATAAGTGCAATGTTAACGATCCCGACGATGGCGTGTTACAGAACGGCGGATTGAGTGGCTTCACCCACAGTTTCGTAATGGAAGTTTTGGCGATTGTTCGCGCGCACATTACGGCATTAGGCGGTAACGCCATGGTGGCGTTCTTTATGACGCAGTGCGTGCTTCTTCACAGCCCTCACAAAAATCAAGTTAGTAAAAAAGAAAAACATTGTCCTACTTGCATGCACATTCCCACGCTTGTTGCATATTTCATAAAGAATATACGATTTCAGGGTCAATGTCTCATTAACGTGGGTGGCGACGTTGTGACTGTGTCCTATTATGCGGACGAGAAGCACAGCGCTGCTTCAAATTGCTGACCCCAGCCTCCACATTCGGCGCCGCCATGAACGACTATTTAATACAATTAATGATGTGATTAAATATTTGCCAATATCTCAATGCTGTAGATAGAATTCGTATACTGTCGGTTCCGCGAGACTTTTATTGCATTGCATAATGCCTAATCTCAAAATGTTTCTTCGTAGCAATCGACATTGTTATTTATTAATTTATTTTACCAAGGTAAAAAATTCAATAATTAATTAAAGATATTATTTTCTTTACAAATTAATATAATAGAACGTAATAAAATATGATAAAGAGGTATAATTATTTATCATTCTGTTGTTATGGATTTAAAATATCTTGTATATTTAATATCTATCGTATAACTAAATATTTATGAATCCTCGTGATTAAATTGTATACATATGTAATGTTTTATAGAGGGGATATCTTACCCTATGAAATAGCCTTATTATGATATCGTATGATGATGTCGCTATTAATTTTCCCAATTGTATGATACTTTGAATTTTTTGTAAAAACTTAATAAATACTCAATACCAAAGTACTCCGTTATTGATGGTACAATCGGAAAGGTAATGATTTTACTCCAGTTTTTTATGAATAGCTTAATCGCAATTATAAATGATTTTAACTTACGTAGAAACTATAGAAATATATAAATTTATTTTTCTTTACCGATTGCGCTACAAATAACAGACTACTTCATAAATAGGACATTAATCTGTAGAATGGACCATTCTCCTTCAAAAGTTTCTCTCGAAAACGTTAAGAGAAACATAAGGTTAAATTTAACTTTTTAATAAATGGTAGAATTCTCTTAAAGGCAGGATGTATAAACGAAGTAAATCCTTTTCAGAAATCAATATAGTTTTGGTATCTAGGTGCCTTCAAAAACTGTACAGAAAGAGTTCCGTGTACATAATATATTCTGCGTGACACGGGATATACCTAATACACTTAGCGGTAACCGTTTCTAAAAAAATTTTTTGATTCTTCGAAGTCTGCGAGATTAATTTAAAAAAAAAAGAAACGTGATTGTCATCGTAAAGAATTAAATATAAAATAATTCGGTTAGCTCATCTTAATGCCTTTGGTTGTGTAAATGATCGAAAAAAATTATTAACACAAAAGATAAGTGGTTTGCAAGAAATTATTTAAAGACATATTGCTAACTTTGACAATAAACGAGATGACCAATAATGATGATTATTTGGCATTTTTAATTTTTTTTCAGTTATTGGTCACATTCTGTAAAAATACATACTGCGCTGATTATAAGGCACTCTTCCATTGTAATTGACAGAAGAGTGTTAATTACGAAGAAATTGTTTGAATATGTATATTCAAGATTAAGTCACGCAGACATGAATGTTCCTTATTGCAATTGTAACTCGAACAAACTTTGCATTCGTCGCTCGAATAATATATAATCAAAAATGTCGAATTGTTATCGACAACGTTATATATTTTACGATTTAAATATCGAGATAAAGATTTCTTATATCTAACATCGTATGGGCATATAATTTATAAATTGTATGTTGTATTTACCTCATTTACCTGTGTGATTGACCATATACTATCCAGTATATATTATCCAATACTGTGAAGCGAAATGTTGGATGATGAAACTCTAGTCAAAATGTCATTGTTTGTTTCCCAGTTATCACTATTAAATTATGTTTAAAAAATATCCACGGTACTTGCGTTTTTTTTTTCGAACTACAGGAACTTATTCATTCAAACGGCAAACGTGAATCTTCAATTCTTTGTCTCATAAATTTTATGGATTTATGCTATGTTCAGGAGAAAAATAAGTTTTTTTCATTAAAATTGACGTTTTTCTGATTTATTCAATTATTTATGTTAAAAATCATAAATTTATAACAATAGTTGATAATATCGACACTGTTCAATTATTTCCGGGCTTTTTGAATTCTTTTAAGGGCCATGGTACACAGAAAAACGTAAGCAGTAAGCGAATCGACTAATCATAATTTCTTTTTGTTAAAAGCTGCTTTACTTTTTGTTAAAAAGAGCAAAGAGAAAATCATCGTTATACTTACTTTTAATTCTTTTCGTTATTAGTATATTGTATATACGAAAAGAAATTATATGTAAAAAAAGAAAAAAAATGAATATATTATACTTTATATTTAATTATTCATATCTGTTTTGATTATATATAGACTATACTTTTTATGGGATAGTTTTGTAACTGTAGTTTATTTAACATCTGAAATGACTTTATTTTTTCGAGAAAATGTATGTATAAAAGAAAAGTTAAAAGAATCAGTAAAGTACAAAAATCTGTGTAATTTATCTCTTTCTCTCTCTCTCTCTCTCTCTCTCTCTCTCTCTCTCTCTCTCTCTCTCTCTCTCTCTCTCTCTCTTTCTGTCATTAACGTCAACATTTTATTAAATAATATTGTATGAATTTTTTCTTTCGTATAAACCGATTCCTTTAGCAATTCTGCACAAGAAAATATAAAAATGGAATCATAAAAAAATTTACTTTTAACCGAGGTATTTTATATTCTTAGCGTAATTTGACTTGTAATAAGTATTAATAAACATTTAAAATATTGAATTTGATCTTTAATTAATTATTTACATTTAAAGAAAGTAAATATGTATACGCATAATTTTTACTCTTTAATTTAATTAGCGTTATATGTTATTGATATATTATTATACATATATTGTTATATTATAACATATTTTTATATAAAAATATATAACTCACGCGAGCGTTAATTGAGATAAATCTTATTAGTACGAGTTTAAGTTTGCTAAACGTAAACAGTCGTTAATGCGGAACGTGAAAGTCACTCTATAACTTTAAATATACGATTCTCCAATAAACTGTTAATTATGTTGCTAAACACAATAAAATGTAAAATGTGGATAGGAGATAAGGAAGGGGCAAAGAAGGGGAAACAGCTATGCTATGCCTTTGGGACCAATTCTGTCTTATAAAAACTTAGTTTTGCTTCTTTCTTTGAGCGATTAACACGGTACTTTTCAAATGACTTTATCTCTTGGAGATCCATACTCTTATGCAAGACCAGGTATTTCAATTATGTAGTTAGTTATATAAAAATAATTAACGAATTGAAAATTTTTTTCGATCTATTATTGAAAAGAAATTGTTAAAATAAACATTTGCGCATATATTCTTAATAAAAAAAAAAAATTTTTAACGTTACGTTATTTTATATGATGTAGTAGTAGATTGATAGAAATTATTTTTCCTTTATTGTACAAATATATTTGCACGTTGAAGTACATTCGTTACGCGGCCGCACACTTTTCCAGACTGTAAATTTATTTAAGACCGTAAATTCCGACGTCGCGTTTCCGCGCGCAAGAATAATATACGTCTCGCGATGATGTTTGCTCAGTCGCAGTTTGTCGCCGGCGATCTTGCGCGGGGTGGACGAGATAAATTGCGTGCTACCGGAATAAAATACGACACGGTGGCGATGCACATGGGCTAAGTTAGAGAATGATACAGACGGGATCCCGCAATCGTCTACCGTACTCGCGCGATAAAGGCTACTTTGGATGCAGGACGGTCGACGGGAGTGGGTGGCAGTAGGGAGAAACAAATATTGCCGCGCGGGTAATTGCTAAGACGACGACGCGACGGTGGGACATCAATCTCCGGAGTCCGCCCGTACTTAACCGTTTCTCAAATTCGAGCGTTTTTTCCTCTACGCTGCTATCCACGTGTGTATATATATATATATATATATATATATATATATATATAAATGGTTCCTCCCCTATTTATTTGACGTATGTTCGCACCAAATTAGAGCACAATGTCACATTCTGTCTCTATTCAACCGCGCTTTTAACATATTTTATCTTAATCCTTGACCCGTGTATTCTTTTCATGAATTGATCGGCCAAGATATATCTCGTGTCAATTTTTCTCGTGCCAAGATTTTCGCGCATTTTTTGACTTGCGTCTATAGTTGGTCCATACTTTGAGTTCGCTCTCAAATTCTGACGTGAGGAAAATATGTACATATGTATATATTGCGCTCAGGGAAAAATAGAGATATTACAATTGCTATATTTCCTTTAATACTTGCAACGCGTAAAAAATTATTTTATAACGTTTGTTTTTATAATTCAAGAAAATATACTAAATTCCTGGTTTAAATTCATTTGATAAAAAAAAATACGTTCCTCGAAACGTCGTATATGCATTGCAGTGTTCTCCAAATTGTCAGACAGGGAGGTTTTTTCATATTGTACTCGTAAGATGTGGACCGCGGAAAATAAGACCGACGACGAAGACAGAGAGAGAGCGCGCGAGCGAGAGAAATAGAGACGTGGAAATTTAAAATATCCGCAATAGAAATGCAGCGGGACAATATACGGAGTGAAAATAAAGCGTAAGATACGTTCTCGGAAAATATTAGCGCTCTGGTAGAAACATAGCAATATTTTCTTGCGCTTTACAGGCCGAGACCACTGATGCACTTACGTGACGTGCGCGTTAAATGTATTAGGCGAATTAAAAAAGGAGGAAGAGAGAAACGAGGATAACGAGAGTGTGATTCTCTGGGTACAAAGTGGCAGAGCGACTTTACGCTGTTAAACGTAATTTAATCGATCGCGAGGCAACGCGACGCCTCTCTCGCGCGAGATGCAATCGCAAAAACCTGCCCCCTCGTTGCATAATAGCTTTATGTCGCCTACCTCGATTCTCCCCGTCGACACACGATCCACTCGTCCGCTTCGGCCGCCCTCGCACCTTGCTCTCGCACTCTCGCAGCAGCTCGATTTCCGCAAGATTCGCCCGTCGCCGGAAATCGAGCCTTAGCCGCCGAGAGCCCATATAGTCCCCCGCTCGTGTGGCATCCTCTTCCTTCTGCCCTTTTTCTCCCCGAATTCCTTTTGTCGCGCGGATGTTCCGTGACGTGAATTACATCGATAAAAACATCCGACGCTATTTAAGCTGCAAAAACATCGCTGCATATTCATACCGCTTCCTTAATTTCCTTTCCGAAGTCGCAGGTTCACGCAATCGACCTAAGCGGAGCAAAGAGTGCGTTACGCAAATAGACGATTCTTGATGGAGAGACACTTACAATTTCGAGCGCTTTGATATTGTAATTTAGAGGGCTGTGAATGTTTTCTACCGTATACAATAGATAATATCGCGAACAAAAGAGCGAAATAGAGAGAGAGAGAGAGAAAGAGAGAAATGAAGGATGATGCAGTCACGTAGTGTAATAAATGACAAAGCATTCTGAGAGAATCACTTTATATGCGTATGTATATAGATATATATATTTATCTGTTATATATAATAAACATATTATTACCTCGCAATATGTACGTGCATTAACACGCGTCGCATTAGCCATATTTTACAATTCCGTCTGTTCCGTGAGAGTGACATAACACATCCATATAACGAGCTGCGAATATATCCGATGACGTAAGACGTAGAGAGACGTTGGAAAATTATGCGATCTCTTAGGGGACGTAGGGACAGACACAGGAATTGCTCTGGTCTAGCACTTAATAAGACAATTGATGCGGGAAATAATTCGGGAATAGCGATCGATTGCGATTCCATTGATTGCGAGACTCGGAATCGAGCGTGTCGCCTTAATACGCATCGGGACAGAAATAAAATGCGGGCGATACATTTTCGTTTATCTCCTGCTTAGTATTTAATTTTAAATTTAGTTCGGTGGTTCACTTATTCAACTTTAGCTGTGCAATATATTCGTGTTTGTACTCGTGTCGTTCTTTTGTAATGGATATACAAAGTCCCGAACGTGCCGGACAAACACGTGGGCATTATGAAACTCAGAGATCTACAATAAGTCTACTAATAATAAGAATTCGTTTAGCGCCATTCACAAAACGTCGCGCTCATCGCTAAAGAATAATTCATTTACTTTAATAAATCCCTTTATACTCCTGACGCTGATATGTTCAACAAGATATTCGACGGAACGAAATTCGAAAAGTTGCGAGCAACAGCGGCACAATTTCTTTTCGATGTTTTTCTACCGCGAGTAAAATTCACCGTTAATCACTCGAGAATAATTTATTTCAATAAAATTTTTGCATTTAACGTTGATAATGTATTCAACCGGATATTAAATAAAACGAAAAGTTGCGAATACAGCGGCAATTTCTTTTCGATATTTTTCTATCGGGGAAAAAATTAATTTCAATCTTCGTGAAATAACGCCGTGAGTCCGGTTCTCTTCAATTCTGAGATAGTCCTGTATGTAACACCGAAATATAATCTAGCACACAAATCTCATTTGGAATTAAATTAAATAGCAAAACGCGCGGGCGTACGGATTCGAGGTAATGCTAACGGAGTAATTCCGGGAATTAATTTGAATAAATTTAATTTAGGTTTGATTTAATTAAATCTTACGTTCTCAGACTAATCGCCCGTGTCACTGATCGCGTTACGCGGCGCAAAGTGATTGATCTGCAGAATGAATGGCGCGCGTAGACCGCACGACACTCTTTACTTTCGCATGGTGGATCATTATACCCATCTCGCAAGCGACGCGAGGACGAGAGTTATTAATTGGAAATAGTAGTCGCGGCGCGAAAGATCGATATCGACGCAACGTTCCTACGTTCTTACACTCGTAAAATGGCGATGTTAATCTGGCCTATAATCTAATAGCTAAGATAGTGCATTGATAATTAATTGATTGATTAATTAATATAGACGAGGAAATTCGGTTAACATTCACAGTGTGGTACAGTGTGATAGGTATTGGAATGGTTGCACATCGTTACGATACACTCTTTATTTGTGGTGAGGCAACATATAGAATTGAGAGAGTAGCTTGAACTTTCGTGGATTTTAATACTCAGCAGTTTGACATTTGGCGGTTACTCGCAAAATTATGTGAGACCATAACGCAAGGAATATGGTCGCGGTACTCATGTTTTTTATTTTCGTAACTATCTAATTAATTTTTCTCTTTCGAGCGAAACACGATTATGTCTTTGTGTGCTCTAGCGACTGTCGGGACATAAAGTGTTCAGAGGAAAATTATTTATATTATCAAAATCTTGTAAATTATCTTGTAATGAAATTATCTCGTAACGCGTGAAATTTTTGTTCCACGAAACGTTGGCCGTTAATAGTCGCTGCAATATAATATACGTTGTAATTGCTAATTAAAGTTCCTTCAAACTTCACGCTTTTGCCGAACAAAGAGAGCGAAATTAGACTAAATTGAGCGCTGACGCGCTTAAAATCCATGCGTTTAACGAGATATATACTTTATACTTTCGCGTGCGGGGGAACGATTCAGGGAACGCTCGAGGGGGGAGGGGAGCCAATTTGTTCTTCGTGAGTGCTGTTTAGACACAGTAAAAATTATTTGACTGTTAAACGAGACATATTAACGCGATTAGAGTCGATCGTCTTACGGCGGCCTTGTTGCGGGCTCTCATGCTCTTCTCTGTTCTTTTTTTTCTTTTCCTCCTTGGCATTTTTTTATTTTCTTTTCTTTCGATAGACGTGCTCAACTACGTTCTCTCGACGACGGGACGATCGAAATGGGGAAACTTAAAGGGTAACTCGAATCGTTTATCGCTTGCGAATAGAGAGCGGAGGGGAAGGTGTGATGCCATGGTTCTAACGTCGTTTCCCGAAGCGCAAGAAAACGTGATCGACGTCTTGCCTCTTGACGCCGCTGTCGTACCGCGGCAAGTTCTCCCGGTATTCTGAAAGCAATTCAAATGCGTGCCGCATAATTATCCCCATCGCCGTAATCAATCCTTTGCGGTTCCGAGGACGCGGAGCATGATGGGGTGGGTGTATTCACATCAGGACGCAGCATTCAAAACTGTCGTGTACATACTGGCGGAGTGTGCTTTCGCAAGCGCGGCGATAACGTAAATTAATATAAGCGCTGCGAGACCAATTGCGCGACGAAGCAGAGTGGGAAGAGTCGCGTGCTGTTCGCGTTCGCGCGACATTTGCCTTTCAAATTCGTTAAATAAATTAAAAGGGTCGTTCGCCTGGCGTGACGTGCGCGACGGTTAAAGCGAAACGATTTCGGCCCGCGGCCGCTATAGACGATTACCTCTGTCGTCGACGAAGTCATTCATGTCCCTGACGTCCCATAATCTGGCGATGGCCACGCATATTTTACGCACTCTGGGCGGTAGCTCGTCGAGATATCCCGAGTTGCACTGGGCCGGCAGCGTGGCGAGGGCATCGCCGGAGAGGGCTGCCATGGTCGTCACGGACACGAGAATCATCAGCGTCGAGCTCATCATTTTCGGGCTGTAAGGAAGAACAAAGTGCTCGTTCGTTACGCCGATCTCACCGGCTTTCCTTAGCTTTGCAAAATAGCGCGTCGCGAAGATGGAAAATTTAGTCGTAAGAATAAATATTAAGCGGTTGCAATAGATCGTTAATTGCTAGATTCGTTAATTGCTATATGACAAAAAAATTTATGTTAAGAAGAATAATTTCATTCGCTTCGTTCGGTGTGCAAAAACTAGCTGTTTTTACTCCAGTAATAAATTTATTCCCACTTCCTTTCTTTACATTCTCGTAATTTTATTTATTTTTACATCGACATTCCATCACGACAATCATATCATGATAATTTTCTGCGGAGAGACTGTTTGCTTTAATAACAAGTTAACATGTTCCCACGGGCAAATTTACTCGGCAAAATTGTCCTATTTTGCTAGCAAAACAGATTTTACTGTCCCTCTGGAACAGCTGGTTATCGTAGCGAAATTTGTTTGCTTTCACATCAAATGTATAGCAATCTAGCAACAATGCATATAGGAATAATATGTAACTTTGCTGCGATAGCTAAATTATTTTTCTCCTGCAGTTGTATTATTCGTTTCGACACCATGAAATTTGTTTGCTCTCATGTCAATTATACAGTAATCTAGTGATAATGCATATAGAAAACAATATGTAATTTTGCTGCGATAGCTAAATTATTTTTCTCCTACAGTTGTATATTGTCGTCTCGACTTCAGGCGCGAATGATCAATTTTAAGTTCGTTCGATCGCGCTGAAATGGCGTGGAAGGAAATATTTCTACACATGTATGCATACGTAAAAAAAATTTGCATTTAAAGAATCTAAAATCGTCAAAATTCAAAGTAGACGGCTCATGCAAATGACGACATTTGAATTGCGGGTAAATTTCCCTTCGAGATCCCTGCTCCATTTTCTTGCTTCAGAGGCGCAATGTACCGTGCGTGTGTATAACCGAAGCGAGTGTGTATTGCCCGCATATATTGACCCGCAGGGTATCGCGCGACTTCCTAGGCATACGATTTCCTCGATACAAACGGCAACCTATTGAGAATTAGATGTCACGTTCACGTGTCGATGATCACGTAATCCGGAAGGAAAATGTCGTAAGCCGCTCGACGTTATCTTGCGGCGTTAGCGTGCGAACGGTCACGCTACAAAGGGCGATTAGCCTTAAACTTTAGATGCAGCCGTCGTGACCGTGTATACAAATAAGCGGTGAACGGTATAATTAATCCGTGTACATGTACAATACCTCTATAAAATTCAATCAGGCAGGTGTGAAGTATTCAAGAAGGCTTATTATTAATTTCTGTGAAGTCAATTTTCTAAAGTCGGTTGGACAATGATACCTCTAAATTTAAATCAATGTAACTTTCGATTTAATTTTTATCACCTAAATACAATTTCAATTTATTGAAAAATGTTTATTTGAACATTTTTCTCTTTTTAAAGTGACAGTCCTCTCGTATATTTTAAGCAGTACAAAATTTCCGTAAAATTCAAAACTCAAGGACGCAATAATATTTCTTTATTTTATAGAGATATCGCGCCACGTCGCGCGACTTTAACGCATTTCCAGTTATCATACCGCGCCCAGACCGTGTATCATGCCATAAATGTACTCTATCCAGACGCACGTAAGATGAATAGTTTATTGTGTATACGAGAGAAATGTTAGAGACGATAAGAGTCGGCCGAGAATGAAAGGTGGAGCGTTGCATTACAGACAGGGCGATCTGAAAGGCGCGTAAATAGAACTCATTTGATAAGGACAGAAGAGAGAATTTCACGATCGAATTCGAAGAGAGAGAAGAAATCGCGTTACGTCGATATGCCCGTGCCCAATAATCTTTCTTTTATTTTTATTCGAATGAATAGCATCAAATAAGATCGGATCGGAACAAAAATTTGCATCTGTGGACAAGGGCGAATAAATTCGATAGCCTCTTGTCTTTGTAAAAGACAAGAGAACGAAAGAGGAAGGAACGAGCCGTATCAAAGATCCCTCGTTTTTCCGCGGTGTTTTACGAACACGTTAAAATTTCAGGTTCCGTTAATCAAGAAATAACTCGGATAAAATTTATTACTCGTATTAGTGTTTCTCGCCTACAAAAAAAAGAGGATTTTACTCATTAATTAATGCACATCAGAAAATTAATGATTTTTTTATCCGAAAGCAAAAGAAAGTAATGAGAAACGTTTAATTATCAGTTAATTAATAAGAAACATGAAATATACTTTGAAAGGTATATTCCGAGGATATATTAGCTTGTACTACGAATAACAGTCTCAAGGATAGGTATCTCCTTGCGATTCGTCGCGAACTTAATGAGGAGACGATTAATCACCCTAAATTAACTGTCGCACGTTATACGTTATTCATCTTACGTGAGCGGATCAATTTCAGTCTCACACCTGACATCACCGAGATTCCTTATGATATATACGCCGAGTGTACCCTTGGAATAATATTTTGCCGTGCGGTTGCATTATACGATGAGCGGCGAGCTGTGTATATATACAATTGCAGTGCACGGATCGAGGCAAATAGGCAACCTGTTGCTGATTCGCCGACGCTCGCAGTTGATGAACCCGGTAATCGTGTTTTATGTATGCCGCAAGCCGAGCATCCCACATACAGAGAGACAGGTAGAATATACATAGACATTGCACGTGTCGCCGAAAGTAAAATAAAACACGCCGCTTTAAATCCCGGGAGTATAAGAAGAAAATATGTGTGTGCCAAGAAATCCTTTTTAAAGAAAGGCACCTTGACGTACGCGAACATTCAGGAGGAACTCTGTCTATTCGTCTTCTTGACATAAATCTGCCAAAGTGACCGCGGGACCGTGAGATTGCTTAAGAGGTGCCTTTGATGACATTTGAAAAATATGATCGAAATTCTTTTTATTTATTTATTTATTTATTTTAAGTAAATTCTTTTCCGCATATTTTAAGCTATATAAAATGATTCCTGTATAATATCCAAGTTTAAAAAAAGAGGATCAGAGTAAGAAATGCATTTGCGCCCGTGCTGATCACTTCTGACGTCCGCAAAAGTTTCGTTCTGCTAAAAATAAAGAGAGACAAGCCAGTAGAAGAGTTAACGAGATTAACGATTCGATGAATCTCATCAGGACACGTGTAAAATAATAAAAAAGTTTTTTAAAAAGAGAAGCCTACAATCACGTAAAAAAAAACTTAGTTAAGAAATCACATACTTTTAAAAAATAAACAGAAACAACAAACGGGGGAAGATTAATTAAGATTTGCCTCGGGCAAAGAAGCCTTTGTGTTAGGACATCAGCCTGTCTCACGCCTAAATGGTAATTTCATGTAATTAATTTGCAACTTTCGACGATTAAAAATTCGATTTGGAATGCCGAAATGAAAGCGCGAAGATTTAGAGTGGTGATTGTAGCATTGTTTGCGTTCGCTTATCACCAACTGCGAGCGCATGTATGTAAATATTGGCGATGCGACGAATAGATAATACAACTCAATGCTAAAAACGTGCGTTTTCATACATTTCGATGTACGTGTGTGCCTGGATGTGCGTAACTATTACCTACGCGACTCAAGCGTAGGTGTATTTTAGGCTTAACGCAGTCATGAAAAAAAAATCAGGCATGGCAACAATAAAAGATAGCAATAAGCAGCTGAGAATATATTATGTAGATTGGAAACTTTTAAGAGAGAGAAAGAGATTTTGGCATGTCGGAAATTCAAAGAAACACAATAGCCGAAAGTAATTACAAACTTTCGATTCCATAATGTTCTTAAATATTCTTAAAAGTGATTAGAAAAGGATGAACCAAGATAATACCGCGATACCAAGTTAATAAAGGCCAATCGCCTTTTTTCCGCAACAGAATAGAAACGCTATTATTAACGCGGGATTATAGGTTCGAAATTATAAGCGAAAAATATCTTATAGAATAATACATATGTAAGAATGATTATATTATCATATACATATACATATAGTATATGTATGTATATATATGTAAAAAAAACATGAACAGATATTCGCGTTTGCCTTGATAAAAATATTGTAATATAAAAACGTGTAAAGTATGTAAAATTCCTATAATAAAAAATAATAAAATGTGCGTTAAAAAATTCTTATACCATTAATCGAAGGACTGTGGAAATCATATAAATATATGTATATGAAAAATGCAGATATAAACGTAATACACGGAATATATCATATATATTTTGCCCTGGAATCTCCCCTGAATCATTAATGCGAGTGACATTATGCATACGCACAAACATTATACGTGTATCTTGAAAGTGCCGACTGTGATCGAGCCCGCCGCCGCACCGTCTCACCGGTATCAACGGAATAATACATATCACGTGAATCGTACATATCACACGAATCATACATATTACGTGAATTGACTTCGCATGGCTATCTTTGAAGGTGAGATGAAATATTAATACCGTGGAAGAATTCGACGAGATGTGCTTTTTCGCTACCGCGAGCAATCGCGATACAGATGTGCAATCCGAAAAGATCGAGAATTTAAGATACTCCTTCTCATACTTTTTCTTTTCTGAGAAACTGACTTTTCTCGTCAAAAAAAAATCAAAAAAGGACGACGAATTTAATAATTTAATAGAATAATTAAACCCATCCAAACCTGACATGAAGTGATTTATAATAGAGAAGCAATTAGTTGACAGCAATAGCCTCAAAATATAATATATAATGTTAGTACTGAACATAAAAAAATTTGAAAGTTGATCTAAGATTTACATAGCATTTCAGCTTCCTTGAAAAATTCCTTAATCCTCTCTTCAATTTCCACTTCTTTCTTCAATAAAATTCTTGAAAGCATTCAGTCTTAGTAAATCTCGATCAAAATAATAATCAAATTTTTAAAGATTTATTCCGAATTGACTGCTGGAATACCTATCTTCGCTGTATTCGCTGTATCGGAATTCCTATCACTTGTCCCAATTTTTTTGGCTCGACTGCCGATTTTATGCCTACAATGTAAAAGTATAATTCTCCCTCTTAATCTCTCTCTCTCTCTCTCTCGCTCTTTTTTTATCCATCTACTGTTCTGTATTTCCACTATTACATACTCAGGGAGAAATGACGGTCTATAAATGTCGATTCGATATCTGTAGACGTCGATTCAATATCTATAGCCCGATCATTTCTCCCCGAGTGTAGTACTCTTGTAAAGTACGTAGAAAACTATTTTTAATGTTTCTTTTATTAGAAAGATATTGAAAATAATTGAGTTGCAAGACGAAATGAGACTGAAAAATTGTTGAATGAGATCGCCGACATCGATACTTTATCAATGTTCTCCACTTATTATTTTAATATAAAGATTCGTGGGAAGAAAATTGATTATCCCACGAATCTTTATATTTCCAGTTTATTGGATATTCTATACCCAGGCGTCATGTTACGTCACATTCACTGTTACTTAATTTGTCATTTGCTTTTATACTGTTCTTTCTTGCTTCCGAGAAAAATCAGTTTGTCAAGAAAGGAGCAGGCACGAGGAGGTAATATCTTAAATTCTCGATCCTATCGAATTGCATTTGCAAGTCGGACGTTGGCGAAGGAATGTTTCGTTACAAGTATTACCCGCGTGTGCCAATAAATGCAGCAATTTCGGCGAAAGGAAAGAATGAAAAGAGAGAACGTTGAACACGAATTCACCTCGGGTGGGCGATAAGTCACTTACGTGGGCGTCAAAAAAGTTCGGTTCTCCTCGCGTCACATTCCATGGTGTCACATTCCGCGATAGCTAACGCTAGTATGCGCTTCTAATGAAAAAGCTTTTCGTCTAGTGGTAGGATTCTTTTACGTTATGTTTATTGCTCGTTAAAGAGCACGATTTTAATAAATCGGAAAAGCTGCTTTCTACTACTTCGTTGCGCATACATGGCCGTTATATAAAAGTCCATTAGGACGGAAACTCGCTTACAATGCTCTCTGTGACTGTGCAGCACACACACACACACACATACACACAACCGTCTTATCGTACTTTTTAAGCAAATATAATTTACCGGCGAGCGCTGAGGACAGCTTTTAATGAGTTTAACACGAAGGAATGTGGCATTAACGAGCCATATGTCCCTGTTCGCTAAGATTTTAATGAAGCTACTAATTTAACGTAATATTCTAGCTATTTAAAATTGTCCTTTACCGCGAGCTATTTTAATAATTTTTCTTTTCTCTTAACATAAAAAGGAAACGAATAATTTTCAAGCTCTTTCCAATGAGCAATGGTGAATATCATGATTGCGAATGGATAGCGGAAATTATCTCAGCGCGGAACGTCGTGACACACCTGTCGTTCACTTAAGATAAAGTCAAACGGGCAAGGAAACGTCATCGATCGATCTTATCGTTTCGCGATTCGAGCAGTCAGAAGCCTCTCCAAAACTCTCTCTCTCTCTCTCTCTCTCTCTCTCTCTCTCTCTCTCTCGTATTTCAAGAATGAGATCCGGCGGAATGGCGGCGGCGAAACAGTCTCGCTCGTTAGAAACTAGCGCGATTTAATGTGGTGCACGGGGAGTTTGCGTCATTCGGCGCACAGGGAAGATGTCCGCGGACGGTATATGAATGTTGATATACCGGGGCGCCGGTATTACGAGTTTGTGCCTTCCGTATTACGATCGCGATTAAACTTGCGAAAGTTGTGTATATGGTATTAGAGGTACCGCAGAGCCTCGTCGTGATGTAGAATATGGCCCGCGCTGCAGCGCGCCTCTCCCCCGACCCCGAGCAGAAAGAGATTAGTACACCTCTCTCGGTATCACGCGTTCGCCTTCGGGCGAAAGTTGGCGTTACAAATTTCGTATAATAAAGTTTAAAACAAACGATTCTCTCGCCTGTCCGCCAAATCCGCCCTTCTGTTTACACGCGCGACATCAACCGCGAAACTTTTTCGCGAAACGCTTTCGAAATGTCAGTTTCTCCGTATGTCCCGGTAATAATAAGGTCCCGGATTTATTCCCCTTTACGCGTCGTTCTTAAGCTGTCTGCAAGGAGGAGACAACGCGATTCTCAATATTAACCTTAATGAGAAACCAGAAATTCGAGCCTGAAGTTTGAAGATCCGCTCTTTATGAGATTTCGTTCGAAACTACGTAATATACGATCAAGGATTTTGCGCACAATTTCGAGCGATTGAGAGAGCACCTTGAGCGATACAATATTAAAAGGAAAAAAAAAGAAAAGAGCATCTACGAGATATACATCTGAAGAAAAACGAGCATCTACGAGATTTGCGAAATTCATTTCTCCGATCCGTTTTACGATGCGCAAAGTAATGGAAAACACTGAGAAGATTATAAATTCCCACGCTAGAAAAAAAATATATATATGTGTATAGTTGCGTCGCAAATCTTGTCTGGTTAAAACAACAGCTAATTTACAATTTTTTTCTTTTTACTCCTTTCTCTACCCGTTCCATCCCTTTGCGGTGATTCCAATTAACGCGCCGGAGAGAAATGAAATCTAAAGACTAACGAGCGAAAAGAAAAGATAAGCGCGCGCGGTTGAATCGCGCACATAATGAATTAAGGGTCGGCGTTAATTGAATGCTAATGAGGGCGATATTTGTAACTGCCACGTGTTACATCTCGTTTATACGGGGACCGAGCTTATAAATTATTGCGCGAACGTAATACGTACAGCGTAATACAGAGAGAATTGATTAAATCAATACATGATTCGTAATCCGATTGTTGTGTTCATTCCGCTCGTATTGCAGAACATTCATCGTTTCGCGGAATGGAACGCAAATTGAGAAGCGAAAAACCGATCTCGCGTAATGATTGACGTGTAGTACTTCCCCGCCCTGTATATACATCGCAATCGAAGTGCTGTGGTATAACCGCTGGATTTATATACAACACATAAATTCACGTTAACTTTACTATATATACTTTGAATCTTCATCGAAGGATTAATTATTTGCGGGTCGAACTACGAGGCCATTTCAAGCGCATTTATCAGCGACGGTGTCGAGAGACGATACCCAGCAGCGCGGTTTATCCCATTTCTCAAGATATCAATTTGCATGTTCGACATTTTAAAAGAGCAGACGGCCTCCCGCGTCACGAAATAGTCAAATAAATTTGATATGCTCGTCATCAATTTCGTCGTAGCGCGCCTCATTCGAATGCGAACTTAAGATTGTCAAACTTGGAAATTAATCCTCCGAGAAGATTAAGGTGTGCCCCCACACTTTGTGTGAGCTTTATCGCGTCATCGTTACGTACGTCATAGATATGTATAGAGTACTCAGAATTACCGTGAAATTGCGCGCCCGATAAAATTTGAAATCGATTTTTCTTGAATAAAAAGTAGATATAGATCGCGATTTATCACAAGTTTTCGAGAACTTCGACGTCTTGTATAATTGCGGTAATTAAATTTCTAATTAAAAGTTTCGTTGAAATCTACTTTACGTCGAGCGCCAAATAATGTCTTGCACTTGCCCCTCCCCGATTTTATTTCGCGGAATAAGCTCAGCCCCTCACTCTCGTCTCCTCGTGATTCAAGAATTATTAGTGCCTCGAAAAGTGTATCTCTATTATCAACGAGAGAATCGATTCGGAATTTTTGACGAAATATCTCTTTCCCTCGATTCTAGGATACGTTATGTGAAATATGGCTAATAATGATGTAAACAGAGAATTCGATTTGTATGCAGATGACGCACTATACACATAAAAAATGAACGTCCATTTCAAATGTTTCACCCGTATATAAAGCACAGTTTTCTTTTCATCAGACGATCTCCGCCCGCGTCCGCTTCCTCGTGCACGTGAAATAAATTCATTGCCACTCGACAAGTACTTCCAAGGAAAAATGTCAAAGAAAAACGTAATCGTAGTAAGTAAAGGGAAAAAAGTCAATTGATACTCGTACCGTAATTTTCTGCACTTACTGCACAAATAATAATTTCCTGTATTTAATTTAAAGTAATTCTTGGAATTCAGTAGAAAAATTATATTAATATTTATTTTTATATTAATGTAACGCGCGCAAAAGAAGATCGTACCTACTCGACGCTCTTGCCTTCCAACATATGTACGCCAAGAGATACATAAGCGCGTTTGCTACGTAAATCGTAGATTGAACGCAACCTTTGAAAAAGAAAAACATCACTGAAACGAATTACATTGGTTGGATTGCCTCGAAGCCGCTTTAACATTTCAATCCCTAATGAAGTTATATTCTTCGTGGGTGTATAAGAGTTATTCCTGGAAGAGAGAGTAGGTGGTAATACACCTGATCCCTAGAATTAGGTAAATATAAAACTTTTTTATATATTAGGTAATTAAATTGAACGCAAACTTGTTGTTAAGTTGTTCCTTTTCTTGCAGAGTGTTGAGTTAAGTAAAGTAGGAATGTCGATCGAAGAGTTTTCTACACAACATATTTCATACTTTACGAACTCACTTCTTCGGACGTGAATCTTTCAGACGTGACAGAATAGACCTTTAAGCACCGATGCAAACTTTTATACAGAGTCGTATCGAATATCACAAATATTGTATCAAATATCAAAATATTTATATATGAAAAAATATGTTTTATATATATATATATATATATATATATATATATATTAATTTTATTTATATAAGTTTTATATATTCCTATGTGTACATAAATTATGATACTATATGTTATAATCCTTTACATTTATGTATAATTATTTTAACGAATCTACTTTAATACTCGACGTATCTCATCAGATTCGCGAAATTAAGAAAGATTCTGCAAGAGATGTAATATTCCGCATCGGTGCTTGAAGAAATGGGAATCCGGCCATTACGGCCATATATGCGAACATCCTATCGTATGACTTTTCTTTTTCTTGAAAAGCATCTTTCTGTTCGAGTGAGTTAAAGTTAGATACAAACGTTCAACGGGACGGTACCAACCTGGCGAGAGTGCAAAGATAGCAAAGAAGGTGGTCGTCAAGAGGAGATGGTCAGCGAAAACGGAGGAGCTCTTACGGCTTCGTCGCGCTCGTTCACCCCCTTTATCGCAGTTTATCGCGCCGGCAGGCTGCAGAGGAGCCCCGGTGTGTCACCCTAAGCAGGACCGCGAGTTCGCACGGGGGGATGTTTGGTACCCCCGACGACGCTCCGCGAAGCGCTCCGACTTGGCGGCTCGGACAAAAGTCCGGGAGGAACGGTGCGGCGGGACGGTGCAGGGGTGTCTCTCTCTCTCTCTCTCTCGCGGTGTTGCGCGCGATGGGATGGACGAGGTTGGACGTGGACGTGAAGAAAATGCGGAGATCGCCGTCGGCGCTGGTCGCGGACGTGGACGTGGACGACGGCTCGGCGAAGAAGGAGGAACGAAGGGTTGCGAGGGCGAGCGCCGCGTGGGGTGGCCGGCGTGAGATCCGTGCGAGAACCGTGTGACAGTGGCGAGAACAGCCGGAGATCAGCCCTTAAATACGCGCCGTTCCAACTGCCATGCGCGTTTCATGGGGCGCCAGAGAAATCATACGTCGACGCGTAACTTACCCTCTCTCCCCTGACCCTCTGTTTCTCACCCCCTTACCGCGTCGTGGGCGCGAAGCGCCGAGAGGTGCGACGCACATTCTCATTCGATACGCACAGAATAAAAGTTTCATTTAATTCTGGAGCACATTTACGTAACGCGATGTCCGACGTCGACGGAGAGGAGAGACGTGGTCTCCCCCGATCGTGGTCGAACTTGTTGCTTTCCGCGGGAGGGACGCCATACGACGTGCATACAAATTATATAAAGTGATCTGATGCCCTAAGAAATACTACAAGACGATTCAACTATTTTTGCGATGAAATATGACACATGACGTAAAAATGACAATAACAATTAAAAAACGACGGTGATGAGTCAGATAATAAATAATATATGTATGATGAGTAAGACAGAAGCTTGCATATTATAATGACAGAATACATTTGTCGTATATTAATTATCATATTGAATTAAATTTAGTGCATTTATCACGCAAAGAAGTTACGCAAAGATTAATCTTTTTGTGTCATATTCGCAGTTTTAATACATATGTATATGTTCTCACCATGTTTTTTAAAATAATTTTTCAACGGAATTTTTAATTAACCTCCTGCATTTCGACATTTTTAAATAATTAAATAAATATTTATTAAATCGTATTTATTATTTATCATATGTTTGCGTAATATGTAAACAATTTCAATCTTTATTTCAGTTTTCATGCGATGTGTCATTTATTATTATGCATTTGCTGTAGAGTTTGCGTCATTATCATGATATCATGTTGGTGATATGTGTCGTTTTACTTGTCTATAAATTGAGGTGAAATACGCAGTAAGTAATAAATAGCATGTGATTTATGTGTGCATAGAATGTGTAGTACGCAATTTATGCGTTATGCGATCACATACGTGGAACTGCTCGTATACCCTACTTAAGACGTCAGAAATCTTTCTTGGAATAATTTTTCACATGTCTGCTCACATATCTTCTTAAGCTGAAAGATCACGTGGGTATTGCATTTTTGTACTCTTCTATAATTTTCTGTCTTTCGAAAGACTTCGGTAGACCTGCTGGCAATAAGCGCGTTCATTTCAGGGAACATTAATATTTAATTCTGCACGATCTATTGGATTTATTGCTTGCGACACTACTTTTTGCAACTTTGTATCTTATTACGATTTCTTCCAATTCAAATATTTATTCATAGAAACAAATCATGTATAAGTTTTTAACGATGTGGTAAAATTCTAAAGAAACGTTCAAATTTTTGAAGAAATAAAAAAAAGCACACACATGGGATTTATTCAACTCTAAAAATTAGATTAGATGGAAATAAATGATTATAATTGCTTATAATTATTATATTTTTTATTATTTCAAATGTTAAATTAATTTAGTAAGTGAATCCTTAATATGTCAGTGGTATGATCTTACATCTTATTGAGTAATCTATAATACCAGTATTAAAAAATGGTTAGAGATCTTAAAGAGATCTAATTGTAAGTGCATTATACACTTTTCAGATGTACAGAAATAAATATAAAATAAATAGGTATATTTGCGTGCAGTTCAAATTATTATAGTTAGATATGATAATGCTACAATAGCTGTCGACAGAAATTGCATTAACACGATTCTAATCCAGAGCTGCGTTTTACTGAACCCCGATGAAGCATTGTGAGGCGTCAGGTGCGATACGAAGCGATGCGATTAGCGATTTTTTATCGAGCTATGGCCGATAGATTCTCCCACGTGAACTCGGAATTTTCTCCTCGCCTCTTGTCGTGTATATCACTTAAATGTACCGATAAGAGCGATATACCTCCGTAAATCTTTCACTCTAAATTTATTAACGCGAAAGAATCATGTTAATAAACCCAGAAATAACGATTTTATCGAGAATTTTTATTGAAATCAATTCATATGTAATAAGTATAAATAATTTCATAGAGACAAATGAAAAAAATGTATACGCGAAACGTAAAACAAAGAGACGATTACCTCGTTATCAGTAGTAAAACCAGTAATAAAGCAGTAATAAAAAGATCAAAGTACAAGGTGGACAGATCATAAAACGACAACATAAACAGAATTAAAAAAAAAAGTAGACCGTTCATGGAACGTGAGCGGAATCTAAATAAGAACAATGTAGATAATTGAGCCAATAAAAATTTGCGATATGTAATATAACTTTGCCCGCATTCCACAAGATAAATCTGTAGGTATTTTCTAATCTGGTTTACCGAAACGGAAGAGACCCTCGGTTAAGCAGCCAAGTCTACCATGTATATATACACATACATATATCCGAGATATCTAGCGCGATGTCTCAGAGTTTTGCTTCCTGCGTTCGTTCGCATTCCATCCCGGCGGGAAGGGTGAGAGATCACGGTGGCGGGAGCGAGACTCTTGCAGCTCCGGAATACAATAGCTAAGCGACGTGTGCATTGACATTCGTGCCTTGTCGACCACGTAGAGGGAAACCGCGTTGCAATTCGATTTCACAGAAGATCGAGTTCCATCGACTCTTCCCGTGCAGTGCGACGCGCCGTCGCCGTCGCCGTCACCGCCGTCGCGAGAACTCGTTTCGCAGAGCGCGGTGCATTTTATACGATTTACATTTTCGTCACTTACGTGACGCTTACGCATAATACGGCCGTGCTCCGTAATAAAATTTGTAATATCCTCCTTTTTTCTTTCTTTTTTCTTTTTATTAACCCGAGAGCGAAAGATATCTGTCCACCGCTTCGACGTAATCGCGCACTATGTTATAACCGGCGGACAGACAGATTGACCGGTATCTCTCGTATCGTCGATCGTCGGGCAAATAACGCAAAAGTGCCGCGACGTAAGGTGGGTATAAGGTGTTACGCGTTTTCTCTCTTCGGCCGTCTCGCAGTATTTGTCCCGAGCGTAAGTAAATACGTAAATTCACACGCGACGTCTCTCGCGGAATTGTGCCAGTCCCCGCGCGCGCGTTGCGCGCTTCTTGCACGCGCGTATTCAAGGAGAAATACCTCGCGCGTGGCGAGACGCGAAAGGAATCAAAGAGAGGAATTGGAGCGACGGCGTACGCGAACCGTTACATTCGTACGCCCGGGATGCTGCCCCTGGGACCGAAAAACTGCAAACGAGAAAACGTTCCCCTCCTCCCCTCCCCTCCCCTCCACCGTCGCGCGTCTCGACGCGGGAATATTGCGTCGAAACGGGCGAAACACGGCAGACCGTGCCGTCATTTGTATATCATTTACACACAATATGCAACGTTGCAGTTCGTATGTGCATACGCCTATCGTATACGGAGAAGACCGACGCGGTGATATTCCTCCTTCGTCGGAGCCAACTTGCAGCTCGGTTTACAACGCACGGTCGCTTGAATAATACAGCCTCGCAAAGAAAAAAAAGTAACTTCCTTTTTTTCCCGAATCCGAAGCAAAAAAAACGTTGGAGTAATAACTCTTCTACAATCTTTTATTGCGACCTGCACACCTGAATTGCAGTTTTGACCTTTAAAATGCGCGGCTTGTGACTTTGCGAAATTCGAGATTAAAGCCGCAAAAAAGAGACTATTTTACCTCGCGCTACAATCTCGAATTTTTCGAAGTCGTATCGAACGTTAAAAAAGGAGGGAAACGAGAAACGATTCCGCTTTTCGTTGGGCTTCTCTTTTTTTCTCCCCCTCCTCCCTCCCCCCCCCCTACCGAATCGGTGCAATTGTAGAGAGAACGCTCTTAAAAGAGGACGAGTGGAATCGAAACCCGATATTTTTATTGCCGCCTTCCACCGTCTTATTGATTCTTCATTTCGTGAACCAGCTGTCACCGTTAGAGATTGTCCACGCGTCCGTCAATGTTGAGCCGTAAAATCATTTCTAATTTAAATACAAATTTATTCCTTTTGTTACATTGCTCATTCACGTCCGATCGGCGATCGACAACGCGAGAAAATTATGAAAATCCCAGGATTCATATAACTCGGTCGTTCGGTTAAAGATTATAATTGTGCTTGGACAAATTTGCGTATTATATTATTATTAATGTATATATAAAATTGTGTGTCCGAAGAAAAGCTGAAAAAAATCGTGATACACAACGATTTGCATCGATGCTTATTTACGTAAGTACCTGAAATCGTGAATAAAATCGCGTGACTCTTTCGATTCTGTATGTTAAAGGTTAGCAGATGCGAATATAGATTTTATTTGTATTAGAGACGAGTTTGATATTACCGGTGAACATTTGCTTCGAACTTGCGTTAAGATATTTACGGCGGGACGGTGTAGGCAGATAACTACTTGGGTGACAACGTATCTCTTTTCTCTTCTTTTACCTAAATATTTAATGGTCTTTAATATTTGATAATTTGTTGAAGAATAAATCGTTTTTATATCCAACTATGTCGAATAAGGCATTTCATATATATATATATTATTACATAATACAGTCTAAGATACGCCACGGAATTTTAATCTTCCAAAAATTTTCAGCTAAGATGCAGTCGAAAGAAATGCTCCTACTTATGTTAATATCAAAATGAGGTAGCTAAGTATTATATATAAATTATAGATTTAGAATCATACTTCAAAAAAAAAAAAGAAATTTCCCTTTTTTAAACTTTGAAGTACGATGCTAAGTCTATAATTTATATAACACTTAGCTATCTCGTTTTAATCGACGGGAAAAAAGATATGTGCCTCTTCTTAATTTTCAAGAGCAATTCAAATTATAAACATTAATAGATTAATTAGTTTTTAAATTTAGTTCATTTCATCGTTATTCTTAATTTCCGTCTATTACATTTTGTACAGATAGAAAGACATAATAATAATCAATCTTTATCAAGAAAAGAATTAACTTAAATATATTTTAATGCTTGCTATCATTGTTAGATTTGGTCTAATTTCATTTTAATTTAACTACGTAAAAAACCTTTAATTTAATTGAACAGTTAGAAAACTGTTCAATTCTAAGAGAGAAATACAGTTATTTTTACAACTTATATATATTTAAACACTTAGCCCATAAGCGTCATTAACTATGATGTTATAGATTATGGTTAAATTTGGATACTTAAATGGTTTAAAACTGATAATGATTATATTCATTTTAACATTATATTTAACAATATTTAACAATATTTATTAATATATATTTTAATTTTTATTTTAATAATTATATTTAAACGAATTGAATATTCTCAATTAGATTTATTCTTTTACATTATAACAATTTTTTTTACTCAATTAATTTTACGTCGTGGAGGATGGCTACAATGTAAGCCGAAATGTTTGAATTGTTTGAATTATTGACTTTATTAAACATTTTTATTGTATATTTTATTGTATATATCACTGTTAACTTGCATACTATCGCGTCGACTCCTATAGTTTTTTTTTATTATTATTTGATTGGAATTAGATTTAATGTTTAACATGATATTTTATTATTTTTAATATCATTTCTTTTGTATCATTTTTATGCGCTGTGTGTGAAACTCTTTTCAAAATTAACTAAGTTTCAATCAAATAAGAGAGAAGCAAGTAGTTAACTAAATCACTAATCAGACAATCTCTAGAAATGTACTCTAGTTTAACAGAGTTGCTAATTAAAGACCGGCTTTAATTTTTCCCAAAAAATATGTTACTAAAATTAAAGCGACGAATTACAGGAATAACGTCCAGTTGGATTCTGTCATTCTCTCATCTTGAGTTCTCTGTTAGAACTCAAATTGTCGTCATAATGATTTAAAATTAATGCGATGACCTATGGATCAACGGTTCACTCAGGAAGCGTCACGTGATGGACAATTTTACATATTTGGCTTTCAGTTCTGGAGGTACGACTTTAGTTTTCTACGAAACACATGTCCTCGCACATCTCCTTTCCACAAGTGTATCTATAAAGTATGTATTACGCATATTTGTTATATCGCACGGTAATTGTAAAGTGATATATATACATAAATATATACATATATACATATATATGTAAATGTATATGTATATATGTATGTATGTATGTATGAATGTATGTATTCACATATATATATAACAATAATCTCACGAAAAAGTTCTAAAGCGAGAAAAACTATGTGTGAGAAAAAAACATTGTAAAAATATAATATTGCAATACAAATTGTAATATAACGTATTGTGAATATTTTTTTATAATTAGAACGTTAACATTACTTTTAATAATTAAAATATTATGAAGCATTCATTTCGATTTTTGATATTACATTACTTTGATGTTACTTCGGTGTTACACTACGATAACATGGATTTTAATATGTCTTAATTTAATTTGAGTCTTAATATTTACATTTATTTAAATAATTGGAAATTAAATTTGCCAAACGTTTAGACACCTAGATGCGAGCCTAACTTTTAAATTAACATTCCGAATTGTCGTGTAATCGTACGATTTCCGGAATTTGATGCTTTGCAACACAAATTGAGACTTAGGTCATTTTCATACGTCTGTGCAGCATGTAATTTCTGTCAGTTGCGCTGAGAATTTCAGCATTTATAAATATGCATACATTAATAAATCTCATATTTAGTAAAATTTTTTATTCTATGAATATTTTAAACAGTTTTTGTCACACCGTGGATGGACCCTACTCCGTGGACACAGAGACGCTATTGCTACTACAGACTATAAGTGCACTCGTGTTTTGAACATAGCTCGGATCAACAGCCTCAAAATGCTGCATCAGATGAATCCTGATTTCTTGGACGCCGAGACCGAAAGCTCGGGGAAAACATGCCTGGAGTCACGCATCGTGCGTCCAAGGATATCACGAAGAGGAGATGGCAATGGTATGTATACGCTCTTATATCCCATTAAGTAGAAAGAACTGACAGTGTAAGTTAACAGAACTCGGTGAAATGAGCATAGTAAATGATTACATGAGTGCAACAATTACATGACTGCGTTTTATCTTGATATAAAATCATTTTAAATAATAAATAAAATAAATAGATAAAATCAATTCTATATAATTCTATATAATTAATTCATGAATAGATAAATTCAACTTATGGTCGATACGAACTTAAGGCGCCGTGTGCAATAAAGCGGCACGTTTCTTTTTTTCTTCTTTTCTCTCTGTAAGAAGTTTTTATACAATTCGTGTCGATTCTCGTATTCGGGTTTTAAGTGCAATCCATCCGATTTTTTTCCTGCACTTTGTATGCAAATTTCATATGACGTATAAATATCAAGTCAATCCCACAAGCCGGTTGGCGGTTCTTTAATACAAATAAATGACGAAAAAGAATAGAAGAATACGTAAATATAAATTTCTATTAATAATTCTATTTCTATATAAATAATTAATTTTAACTTTTTAAACTTAAATTTTAAATTAAAAAGCTATAGTAACCTGCACGTAGATTACTTTCAGACTTTTAAGATGTGTGTGTGTGTGTGTGTGTGTGTGTGTGTGTGTGTGTGTGTGCGCGCGCGTGCGTGCGTGCGCGCGCACTTAGTCACTTTAAAATCAAGTTTTTTAAACAAAAAGATTTTTAAAAAATAGATTGTAATAAGCAGTTACCTAAGCTTTTTTTCCTTCTTTTTGAGTCTTAAATTAGTTCCCAATTTTCTAAACACTCTGTGTATTTGCAGTCGCTGTTTACAATGATACGCTGCTTACTATCATAATCAATTTTTTTTTTAATTTTTCGTTTAAAAAACCTTGATTGCTTTAAAATGTCAAAGTTCTATAAAGTTTCAACTACAATTTCATCGTCTAATATCGTTATGTAACTTTTTTTGAAATATAGACATTTCTTTTTGCTGAGACAATGTATTATCTCAGCAAAAAGAAAATAATTGTGAACTATATATGTTATTAGTAAGGGTTTTTTCTGATTCTGCTTTAACAGTTCAAAGAAAACGTGAGTAATTAAAGAAAACACAGAAGCAGAACATTATTTTTTGTCAGTTCTTATCACAAGATATTTATTTCCACATGTTGCTGCTTCCATTTAATATTGTAATTAATTTAACGATTTCCATTTCTCGCCGCCTATGATTATTCGATCCGAAAGAGACTGTCCTTCGTAACGGTCGATTAAATACGCGCTGCGAGTCTGTTCGAGTTAGTTCAATACGTATTTTAAACTTGTACTCTTAAAGATTGATCGTTTTTTGATACACCAAAATATGCTACACCGAATTATCCGTCTTTTCTGCATTTTTTAACATGCCTGTTTTACATTTACGCCAATGACTTTGCATGCACGTAGAGATGCTTTTAGATAACGTATGTATGTGCCCTGCGCTTCGTATCAATGGTTTCACCTTTTAAAGAGATTACAATTTAATGCTTCATTGTTTTGTATTATATACTGACAAACGACGCTGTAAATTGCATATTAATTAAGAACAAAATTATGTATTATACATATAGTAAAATATATTTTAACTGTCCCGTCCTCTAACTTCGACTTTCTTGTAATGCAGTACTAACAATAAGTTTGCGATATAGGAGAGAAAACTCATAAATAAGCGCGAAATGTAATTATCATATTTATCTTCCTGATCAGATTGATTGCCAAGTAGTTCAGTTGAGATTCAACTCAACTTTTCGATTCATTATCGGACGATTTGTGTTAATTCTGGATCGCTATCGATTATCATGATTAACGAGAAAAAAGATAAAATAAGGAAGTATTAAAAAAATTTTGGAAATATTATATTCTTCAATACAAAGTCCCAAGGAGGAAATCGTGGTCTGTGATCGTATAGATGTCTGTGATAAAGGCAACCTCGTTCAACGATCTTCCAACTTTTACATGTTTCCACGAGCTTAATAATTAATTAATAAAATAATTTACTTTATTAGCAAGATTGATTTTATTGCAACTATCAATAACTTATAATTTGTAATCTGTATACAATCTCTACTGCTTTTAACTTTTTGTCATTTATTTACAACATAAAAAAGTCCCTTTAATCGTTTTTTAATAGATCGGATGTTCGTGAGATTTTCAGTAATTATCTGCAGTTTTTATGATTCGCCAATTATGATTCTTTTTCAGGAAATAATTAAATAGTAAAAACATTTAACATTTCATAGTATTGATAATATTAGTGTGCGAATAACAGAGAGAAGATACATTCGACAGACTGATGTTACTCGTTTAAGAATTAACAAAAGTGTATAACAAAAGCTTGAAATATTTCTACGATACCGAATCGCGCTAACAGCCTTGAAAACACAGAACACTTTACGGATGATTTTACTACGCATCCATCCAGATTTTACCCGATATTCGCTTTGATTAGCGTCGATCGCGTCGAATTCCATCGGGAACGGGAGATCTGTTGACGCTACCTAGCGCTTGAATTAAATTATCGGGCGCATCTGCTGTTTTCCAGTTGCTGTATCATATTGTTCTCTTTCTCTCTCTCTCTCTCTCTCTCTCTCTTTCTCTCTTTACTTGTTCTACTCCTTACTCCGGGACAAATTACGCGAGTCAGACACGAATTAAGAGCACATAGGCACGTAATCGGCAGTGAAATAGAATTATCGATGTGCTTCCTACTTCCTCCTTTTCGTAGGAAAATTTTATGGATTTTTTATCTCTACATAAATCGAGAAAAAAAAAGACAGTTAATGTATGTGCATGAGTAAATATGATTGGACATTTCCGTTTGTCTTAACAGAATTTTGCAATTAGTATGTACGTTTATTAGTACGTTATTAGTATAACATTAGATATGTGTAAAGTATTTGTAACCCTGAGGGGAGCAATTAAAATTTATCTAATTTAATTTATGTATACCTAACGTTAATTTACATTTATTATATATTGTTTCGAAGTTAATGACTAATTTGTCTTTAAATGTCATTTTGTACGTAAAAATATGTAAATTTGTGGAGCTTACTTAGAAGAACGAGAATTAGACATTTATGGTCGTTTCTTGTCAGTTGTACGATTCTCTGTGTGTGTGTGTGTGTGTGTGTGTGTGTGTGTGAAATTGTTTTATTAATTTTTTATGTAAAAATCGTGTGTGTGTGTGTGTCAAACTGTTATAAAACAGGCATATTTAAGATGTCAATTACTAGTGTGAACTGTAAAAATTCCGGAAACAATAAGCGTGCTTCCAATTCGTTTTTCATTTGGTTTTCAAAAAGTAAAAAAAAAAAACTTTTTTTACATCTCTAATCTTGCTAATAACGTAAATTACTTCAACTAATTACTAAGCTAAGTGAAAGATGTAAAAATTGGAAGATCAACGACAGACATCTATACGAAGACATATAGGTATATATATATATTAACTGTGGCACAACCTAGATTTGACCACACAGACTCCCCGGAGCCGAAAATCGCTCACAGCCATCCGGTTCGCTATTGTCAGAACTCGCTTCCGCGCATTCTCTCTGATAAAGTTGCTTCCGGGTTGCGTAGCTCTCTCTATTTCTCTGAAATAAGATGCTATAGGATACAGCGGGGTAATTTGAATAATTTCAAACTTTTTGAACAATTTCTCGAAAAGTAATAATTTTACCCTTAAATTGAATATGCAGCAGAAATCATCAATGACAGCTACAACGTTAACGGCTTGTTCCATGCTCTCTTTGCTCCCATTCAATTGAGCATTCTTTTTTTTAATGCTTAATGTCTAATATAATGAAATTTATCTTAAAACAGCTGAAATATAAATATTCTAGGAAACTGAATGCGTTATCCAAATTGCCCCATAAAAATTTATTCAAATTTCCCCGTACGCCGACTTAAAAACATTGTAATATAATATTAAAACAACTGAACAAAATGCGCCACTAGTCGACGTGATAATTGTTAATACGGGCAGGAAACATTTTTAGATTATATTGTTTTCATACTTTTTATATAGATTCCATAAAAGCTTCAGATAGCAAAGTCTTATAATCTACAGTCACAACAGAAATTCTTTGCTAACCTTGCTTAATATATATCTATATTAATATAGATCTATAGATTAATTAGATATTTTTTAACAATTATATGAATATGTAGACCAAAGTATTCTCTATGTTGCTAATCACAAATATGAAACAAAGCGTCTCTAATTATTTTTTTGAAATTCTTGCAAATGCTTACTATTATCCAAATTTCCTCACTGTTCAAATTACCCCGCTGTACCATACAGCTTGATACACATCTTGAGAATTCCTCGATCCCAAATCCCCGCAGAATTTTCGCGAAAGATGTGTTTGTAAAGGAGGACATAATGCTGAAATATTCAACGCAGCAGATTCAAGCCGTGGCTTTTTCTTACCAGAACTTTGCACATAACATATTAAAATAATTTTTCCCTCTTTTTTTCTCTCTCTCTCTCTCTCTCTCTCTCTCTCTTTCTCCGCTCTGTACGGTTGATTATATAAATATACTAGATTGTTTCCATAAAATAATCTATATTACATCACATTTTCCGTAAAGTAATTTAGCGGTATCTTATAATACGCTAAAGTACTGTCACATATAATGGAGAAAAAGAGAGAGAAAAGCTGAGTGTAATCCCAGAAGAAATTTCTCATGGGAGTAAACTGAATTTAGAGCGCCGGAAGTGAATACTTTTCAGTAAAAGGAGAATAATTAAAAACAGTTATTATTAAATTCAGTCCATGCCTAGAGACATATAAAAAACGACTCGACTGAAGAAATATTGTCACTTTCGTTTTCATTTGATTATACAATCGTATTTAAAAGCAGAGATTTTATTGCATTGCACGGTACGTTACACAATAAACAAGACGAGAAGGGACAATACGTCTCTTGGCGAGTAAATACGATTTCTACGTTTCGAAAGCCATAAAATATGAGTTTTAGACCAATTGGAGAGTTCGGTTACACTTCTTAAGATTTGTTTGAATATTTTAAACTCGCTTAAAATATCTGAACTGAATCTTATCACAGAATGTTTTTCTCTATGCCAACATGAATAGGTATATGTAAAAGTTAATTATAGCCTTACAAGTTAAATCAGTTAAATCAAAACAGCTTTTTAATCCTTTTCAACTGTTTTTAAGCTAAAAAAAAATTTCTCTGTACGTTTTCTTTATAAGTAAAAAATTATTTTCTATCGTTGATTGTCTCCCTGTTCAATAACATTGAAATTTCACATGACATATCCGAATGCCGGATAAAATATGCATTTATTTCGTATCTCACCAAAAAATATATTTTTCTAAGGTACTACACGACGATCTATGTATTTTTCATTTTTCGCTATCATCCATACGACAGATCTTCCCGTCATTTCCCCGCGAAAAGAGCTTTTTCGAATCCTCACTTAAATAAAAACAAAAAAAATATATAAAAAATCATAATCTCTACGCGTCGTAAGGAATCCGAGTTAACGTCCCGAACGTTTTCATTTCCAGTCATCGTGTGTTCCCCAGTCGCGTTACATTTCCTCGTAATTTCTCCGGATAAATATCGCGGTGGTGGCCCCACGGGATGCGCGGCGATGCGTGGGTTACGGGAAAAATCGGAGTGAGACGAGATAGGAGACGGAAAAGTCGTGTAGGGGGTCCACGGTTGGCTCTCCCTGTGACTCTCTCGGTTATTCGCGACCTCGCCGATATCGGGGTGTATTAAGGCAAGCGTATCGCACACGCGACGTACGTAACCCCCCTCCCCCGTAATTCACGATACGCGGAAACAAACACGTGGGCGAGACCGCGCTAAAGGAAAACGGCCCGTATAGAAAATTGCTACGAACTTCTCGTGCAAAGCGCGGCGCGTTGGTATAAATTATTCATGCCGGATAAAAAGTCGGAGTCTGTATCTTCGCGCCAAGGAGGCGTTTCTGAAAAATACCGTATCGCCTCGCGCCATTATCTCACGATAATTAAACGAGGCGATAGAAGAAAAAAGGAAGCGTCAAGATCGCGTTGACTTATAGTTAATTAATAAGAGAGATTGCAGAAGATAAATTGCACGTAAGGGATGAAATTTAATTTAGCCTCTCCTCGATATGAAATCTCGATGATAAGACGTGCCAATAAAGAGGAATACCGGTGCGCAAAAGTTCACACCGTGTAATATCTTAGTAAAATATGTAATTATAGGTAATAATAATTTCTTTTAAGATATATGTGCATTTTTTATTATCAGTAAAAATTCTGCACACTGCACACTGAAGCACACTGAAGAGTTGCTATTATGTCTGGTAACTCATTATTTATTGTAGAGATATTTAAAAAATTCATTTAAATTCTTTTTAAACAAACATTAACTGTATTTACTAGTTTACAACTTGTAAGCAAACATTAATTGTATTTACTAGTTTACAACTTTTTTACAGAAGAACTTGAAACTGTGTTTAAATACTATATTAGTGAGATAACTATGAACGGTACAGTCATGTCCAAACTTATATGAGATACGCTATTAATAAAGTTTTTCTGAAAAATGACGAATTTTACTTCTTCTTTTAGTGATTTCTCGAAATTTATTGCTTAATAATTAAATAAATATCGAGAGACTAAAGGAAAGACATTTAAAGATTCATTTAAAGAAAAAGATCCCTAATTGAAAATGCACTTTGAAATAAAATTTACAAATTGCAATTATGGAAGTAAACAACGAAATCCACTTACAGAAAACTAGTAGAAAAATTTATCAAAAAGAATTACAGAAATTATAAAACGGAAGAGAAGCGTAACGAAATATTAAATACTGATAATTTATTAATAAATAAAGCTGTGTTAATAAACTTTACTGTATTTACTTCGACATATCTACATACTATATAAATTATGAAATTTATTTAAGCGCACCTGGAGTTTTGAACGTGACTGTATTTTTTAAACGTTTCTTTCAAATAGAAAATTTAAATAGATAATGCAAATTCCCTAGTTGCGAGGCAAGAAATATTGAAGCAGTAATAACGCGGACTAGAACAAACTAAGATCTGTTTCTTATAAAGTTTGTCAAAATACTATTTTCGATACAGTTTCCCTGTTTAGTTCCGTAACGTGACTTAATGATAAATTTCCGCGATGGCAAGTCTCGTCAAAGGTCAGAGGCGGCCGCAGGCTGTGCTTTTGTGACAAAAAGATTACCGTCATTTTAATTATTGTTCCCTTGTAGATTACATTATGAGCCCACATTGGAACGAGTGCTTTACGTACGAAGAAGCGTACAAGAAGTCGCTGGAGCACCCGGAGGAATTTTGGAGCGAGATTGCCGATTGTATCGACTGGAGCAAGCCTTGGCACAAGGTCTTGGACAATTCTAACGAGCCATTCACCAAATGGTACATATTTCGAAAAGAATCATTAAACGAATCTTCTTTTATTAGGGATTATTCAATCTATCATTCAAACGCAGCTTAAAAAAAAAACTTATTGCAAATAATCTTCCTGTTTTCTATTTCTTTTAAAACGTTTTATTTTGCGAAGGTTCTGTATTTTCAAACATTTCGCTAAATATTTTAGGAAATCTCGGATTTTTTTTCAGAGAAAAGTGTATATTTCGTTTCTCTCATTGACGAACAATTTATGACCGCCTCGAATCATGGGTTACGCGAAGTTACGTTTAAATGTAGACGCGTTACGCGAGATTTACAAAGAGCTTTACTTGGGAACATTTAGAAATAAAATCCCCCTAATTGGTCTCGTGAGAGTGTAATGTAGCCTGCGAAACGACTATATGCTATAAAGAGAACTCATTTCTTTTTTTCTTTCTCTCTCTTTCTCTCTCACGCAGGTTCGTCGGCGGTGAATTAAACGCTTGTTACAACGCGGTGGATCGTCATGTGCACGCCGGGTACGGGGAGAAGACGGCCCTCATCCACGACAGCCCCCAAACATCGTCAATACGCAAAGTGACGTACAACGAGCTCTTAGAAAAGACGTCCGTGCTGGCGGGCGCGTTGGCGGATCTGGGGGTGCGCAAAGGGGACAGGGTGATTATATACATGCCGCTGATCCCCGAGACTATAATCGCGATTCTCGCCACCGCCAGACTCGGGGCGATTCACTCGGTGGTCTTTGGAGGTAATAACAAGGTGATGGTAATCGCCGCCATTACGTAAAATAAATTTCATTTTGCTAATAATACACTGTGCGTAGTGTCTCTTTTCATGTGGACTTCCGCGTCAGAAGTAGAATCGATATAGTAAAACGTGCGCGAATTGAGAACATGCGTGTAGAATTGACTACGATTAAAATTCACATATTTATGTAATTTTTCTTATATATGTATATCTCAGATATACTTCCTATCTATTTCTTTATTCAAAACAAGAGGGATTTATTTACAAATCTAGTCCTTTGGACTTCAGCATTATCCTTGCGAATTTTTAAAACGTTTTGACAGTGATAATAGGGATCCGGGTCAAAAATATTTCAAAACAAAATTATCAATTCGATTACTAAAACAATGCGATTATACTTGCCGGTAATACTGCGTTTCAGGATTCGCAGCGAGCGAACTGGCGTCGAGAATCGATCATGCCGAGCCGAAGGTTGTTATCGCCGCGAGTTGCGGCCTCGAACCGTCCAAAGTGATTAAGTACGACTAATACTTAAATGTTAAACATTAAGTGATTATTTTTATTCAAGGTGTTCTGAAAAATTCACCAAAATTGCGCCTTTAGACAGCAGCATGTTTACAACAGATTCCTAGAAAGTTTTCTAAGAAAAATGTTAGATAGACATTAGCACGTTGATATTGATAATTAATCGATTGATATTGATAAAAAATATATCAACATTTAATATTTAGTTTACGCATTATAATGCAAAATTCTCTCTCAATTTCTCTGCACTGACAATATTGCATGTTTTTCAAACGTTTCTATTTAAAACTCTTGAACCTTCAACGCTTCTTTCAGTCCTTTTACGCTCTTTCTTTAACTCGAAGGTATACTACTATGCTAAACGGCGCCATGGATATGATCATTGTACCGAAGCCGAAGTGTATCGTATTTCAAAGAAGAAATGTGTGGGAGTCGCCGTTACTCGAGTCGCAACTCGACTGGGACGATCTCATGAAGCAATCGAAACCTCATCCGTGCGTAATGGTCGAGGCGAACGATCCGTTGTACATATTGTACACATCGGGAACTACAGGTAATTCCTGAAATATGTACGCAGTTAATAGATAGAGAAACCCAGCGACGCCCCCGGAAATGATTTCACACAATTCTTTTTCATTTCCCGTTGGAAACATTTTCTCTCTCGCCCTTTTTCATTCTCGGAACTATCTATCGCGCGTCACTTTTAATTTTTTTTATAATAAACTAAGTCGATTCTTTGATCGAACCCTTAAATCATGCACGATCAGTTATGCGATCACGAGAACTGTTTGATATCAGGGCAACCGAAGGGAATTATAAGGCCAATCGGCGGTCACCTGGTGACACTCTGCTGGACCATGGAAACGGTTTACGGAATGAACAAAAACTCTGTTTGGTGGGTGGCCTCCGACATGGGATGGGTCGTCGGGCATTCCTACATTTGCTATGGTCCCCTCGTCTACGGCGCGACGAGCGTCATGTACGAAGGAAAACCCGATAGAACACCGGATGCTAGTCAATATTTCAGGTATGAATCACCGTTTGTTAAAGCGATATTGTTTGGAAGAAATTTATGACACTTTCTGACAGAGGAAAATCTCTTTTATTCGAAGTTCAATTTGTATCTCTTACTCAGCTTTTGTTGGATTATCGACGATATCACGTTTAACGTTATCATCTCTTGATGTATTAACGTTGATAATTTATTTTAAGAAAGTCTTCTCTTTTTTCCCCCCCAGAATTATTGAACAACATAGCGTAAATGCGTTATTCTGCGTGCCCACTGCTCTACGAGTTATAAGACGAGCGGATCCGGAAACGCTATTAGGAAGAAAGTATTCGTTAAAGTCGTAAGTTTCAAACAAGTGGATTATCTCTCCGATCACGATATCTAATTATTTCGAATTGCAATGCACTATACAATTCGCATGCATGACCAATCGTTCCATTTTCGGCTAAATTATACGATAATTTATCTAACAGATAAATGACTATTGGGCCAATAGCGTTGGCACAGGCATTTATCCATTAGATGAATTGCCACATAGTTAATCGGAAGGTGAAACAACCGGCCTTGAGAAAAAAAGAATTAATGCTCGCAATTATTCCGTTTAGTATAATTTTACGCAAGAAAAATGTATATGTGTGTATTATTCAGATTGATACGCAAGCTTTGTTTTATGTATAGTTAAATAAATTCTCACAAAAACAAATTAGAAACGGATTCTCTCCTCATATAGATCACTTTTCTTTCAGCTTGAAAACGATATTCGTGGCCGGCGAGTTTTGCGATTACGAAACGAAAGCCTGGGCCGAGAAAGCGTTTAAAGTGCCCATTTTAAATAATTGGTGGCAATCGGAATCCGGACACCCCATCACGGCGCTGTGCTTAGGATATGGTCATTACGCTAATTTGCCCAAGTTCAGTACGGGACTTCCTATACCCGGATACGAAAGTGAGTCCCCTCGATCGTTTTCAGCTTTCGGTCGGAATGCTTTCACCGATTTTTTTTTTTTTCACGACGCTATGTACATTCGATTATCACCCTGTTCGAGCAATTCCGCTTCCGTAATAAACTCTTCGTCCATCCCTCCTAAAATCACTTATGAATTTATCGTCGATAGTACACGTTCTGCGCGACGACGGGAGTAAAGCGCCGCAACACGAACTCGGACGTATCGCGATAAAGTTACCGCTGCCACCTGGATGCATGACGACCCTTTATCGGGCATCCGAACGGTTCAAGCAAGTATACTTCTCGACATTTCCGGTAAGTAAATACGCGTATATGATACCGCGTGCTTGCAATTATGCTAACGATGCCATGGAGCAAATGTACATGCAATGCATACCTAAGCTAGCCTGATGCGTGTGTATTTATTCTACTTCTTTTACTCCATCCCATTTTTTCTTGAAACTTGGCTCGCTAAATTCTTTCGTGATCGTTTAAAATCTTAAAAAAATATATATGTACATCAATGTCGAAGATATTTTTGCCAAAAAAAAAAGATTAACTCCAAATTTATGCTGAAAGATCTGTCGATAAAAATTAAGTTCGGGGGTTAATTATGTCGATCGCGAGATGAAATCTCGTTCTTGCAGGGTTACTACGACACGATGGACGCGGGGTACATCGACGAGTTCGGCTACGTTTACGTCACAGCGAGGGATGACGATATTATAAACGTAGCCGGTCATCGAATATCCACGGCAGCGCTGGAGGATATTATTCTAGCTCATGCCGACGTGGTGGACGCTGCGGTTGTCGGTGTACCCGATCATACGAAGGGCGAAGTACCGCTGTGCCTCTACGTTAGACGAGAAGGTACGTTCATAATGCATTCCGAAGGTACCTTGAAAGAAATGCTTTTATCTTCAACATCCAACAAATTTTCCACTTCGTATACACACAGAAGGGACGGTTTTGTTGAAGTATATAAAAATTAGGCCAAATACAGATCTAAAAATAATTATGTTAAGGCGTATGTAAAATTAGTTTAATTTAAAATTTTAATTTAAACTTTTATAAGAAGTTAGCACCCCATTTTTTAAATTTAAATTAAACTGTTGTTAAGAATCTTACATATTAAGAATCTTACACATACAGAACTCTTGTTGTAAATTATAGATAATTCTTCGTCTCTTCAAAATGAAGCGGAAACTCGAATCAGAACTAATATGGAATTTTATTGTTGGAGTGATAACTTCGCACACACATATTATGTTGCCATCAAAATAATTATATGTAGGACGCTCAAACAACATGATGATAATGATGCAAAAAATTTAACATTCCAATAGCCAGTTCGAGCCAATATAATTACTTTGACAGTTTAATATAATTATGTTTAGATCTGTATGTAACTAAATTTTGAGTACTTAAAAATCGTTCTTTTCATGCATAAATTTCAATACATCTCACAATTGAAGGAATAATTTCAATCAAATTAATTTCTGTATACAGAAAGATCTGTATGTAGCTAAATTTTTAAATACTTGAAAACCATTCTTCTTCTTCTTTCCATGCATAAATTTCAATACACATCTCAGTATTGAAGGAATGATTTCAATCAAATTAATTATAAAATAATATCTGTACTATTTAATGTGTCAACATCTGTATTGTATTTCTTTACAAAAAGAATTATTAATTTTTTTTTGTTGACATATGAAAGGAAAGATTAGGGACGATAAATTCACATTTATTATTATAAGTAATTCTGCCTATCTATAAATCAATTAAATTGACAGCAGTTTGATCAAAGCCTAAATTAATAAATATATTATGTAATAGTTCGAGTGTATATTGATTATTAATAATAATCCGAATATTAATTTAAAATACAATAAAAAAACAATTACATGGAGCTAATAAAAATCCAAGAGATATCTCAATATATAACTGCATTTGAAATTAGCATTAATAAAGGGTCCTTTTTCCTTTAGACGCGATAAGCAACGAGGAAGAGATAAATCAGGAGCTGGTGACGCGGGTGAGGAACATGCTGGGGCCGATCGCGTCTTTCCGCACCGCCGCCGCTATTACCGCGCTGCCAAAGACGCGATCGGGGAAGATAATCCGAAAGTCGATCGCCACGTTGGCGCGATCGAAGCAAGTCAAGGTAGGAACAACGAGTATATATATATAGTAATAAAAGCACGCGATCACGGAAATCTCCGTCGAGTACGTCGACGCGTTTCTCGTACATACGTGCGACGCGCGTTCGATCGGAATCAATCGGAAATTTGAATTCGTCATTTCATGTATTCTCCCCGCCCGCGAGAGCGAAGTGCAAGGATTAAACAGTATATTATTAATTAATGTTACATCGAGTCGAGATTGTATAAACGCGAGACGAATCTCGCTTTAAATTCGAAAGACTTACACACCCGCTCGTTCCGCCACTCCGTCCCGCCAGCTTACAGACGTCACGGACGTTTCCTTTCCTTTCCAGATTCCGAGCACGATCGAGGATCCGACGGTGTACCGCGAGATCAAGGAGGTGCTCCAGAAGCTCGGCTACGCGAAACTCGCCCCGGATCCGCAATGACCGCACGATCGGGCGATCAATTCCTCTGCGCGCGCGATGTGAAGAAAGACAGAGAGAGAGAGAGAGAGAAATGAATGGAAGAGCATATTCAGCATATAAGGATGAGAAAGGAAAGAAGAGAGCGGACGACTTACCGGAAAATCGAGGGATGTAATTCGAGCGCGGCATCAATTCGCGACGCGCGCGATCCGTCCTCTCCGCGATTGCAGGCTGTCCAACCTCGCCGCGATCGGAACCGGGGACAGGGCGTGCAATATCGAATAGCGGGGTCTTTTTTTTTTCTTTTCACTTGCATTTTCCCTAGCGCGTTTTTCCGCCAATTTTTGAAACGAGAACGAATATTCGTATATCCGCGAAGATCCGCGAAAAAACGAAACGGACGTTTCCCGTGGAGGGAAAAGGAAAATGCAAGTGTAAAAAAAATAAGAAGGGACTTATAAATATAAGCCCACCGAAGTTGTCCGTGCGAACTCGAATATCGATCGCGTCCTTGGCGAATAAATTGAATAAAACCATCTCTCGTTGAACCTCGCGAAGCATTTATCCTGCGCGCCAAGAGTGAGGAACTGCACCCAGTGCATTCGCAAATATCCTCTATGACATTAATATGTAGAAAAAAAAATGTTCTCCCTTAAGAGAAGAGAAAGAATTACGGGCGTAATTTAAGTTAGCGCATTTCTTTTTTTTTTCCTTCCCCTCGTCTATCTATTCGTTCGTCGAACAATTGCAGCGGACCGTAAATCGGGGACGATTTTAAGGTCATCGCCGAACTAGAAATAATTATATTAGGCGAGATAAACGCGCGCGCGGGACGCATTTGTGCGCCTTGAATATTTGCAAATTCCGGTGTGCTGTACACTTGGCCTGTATTCCATTTACTTCTAACTCGGAAAAGAAAAAATATATATATATATACATAGGAAATCCGTCACACTGCAGAGCGACGTACACCAGTACTGACGTACATCCCACGTTCCTACGAAAATTATCAGAGCACACTTTTTTGCAAATTTGTTTTTAATGACAATATAATAAGAAACAGTATAATAATAATTGTAATATTAATTTTATAATTATAAATTGTTGTGTAACACTATTTTGTTGATTTATTCAATAAATTTTCTTTTTTTTTTCCAACTCTTACCACCACTTTAATAATAATTATTCAATAATAATTATAATATTAATCATATATTTCCTTAAATGTTAATTTCCGCAATCGATATCAATCACTTCTTACTCCCGCTTCCGCGTGTCGCACCTCAGAAGAATAAAAATATCGTGTTTTTTCTTGTTTTATTATCAAGGAGACACGGTTAATTATTTGATCATCCGTTTTTTTTTTATAATTATTTCCAATGCAAGTGCCGTCATTCAGCTTATCTAATAAAAGGAACACACGCTCTTGAGTTTATTTTTTCTCATCGGTTCTTTTTCGATTGTGTATGTCTCCTTACCTATATAATCGAATCTATTTGCTCTTGTATCAGGCTATAAATATTTTTTTCCCCTTCTCCCCGGTTTTTTTCCCCCCACCCCCCACCCCGTTACCCGTTGCGTCGTAGCACGTGTACGCACGTATTGTTTGTATAGCTCTGCGGTACATAGGTGTGAGTTGTGTGTGTCTGTGTTATATGTTACATTATTACTAATTCACCAGAATTTCATCATGCCCGTTTGGTTTGCTTAATATCTCGTGTGCTCGCCTTGCATCGTCACATATTTGTCACATTGAAATAATGATCTTTTTTTTTCTTTATTATTTAATCTGTCGTAACACTTAAGCAAGTTTTTTTTTCTTCCTTTACTCGACGACTTTCAGCACCTTGCCAATTGCGATAGTTTTATCTGAAATTACACAAGTGTATACAATTTATCGGGAACATTATCGCAGCCACAGAGCAAACAAGAGGAAAACGGTGGCGACGGAGAAAGGGGGAAAAAAAAAAGAGAGAAGTGATCGTCGTACTCACTTTCATCCCTAAGAGTGAAGCGGCCCATTTGTTGGAATAACTTGAATCTTTCGAGGCATATAACTCCCGCGCACTCGATTCTCATTATAGCCACCTGGTCCTGCTTAACGAACCTCGGCCTCGTCTTGCTTTTATCGCCGGTTTTCTTGTCCACCAGACAGATCAGCGCCTTCACCGTGACCTCCTCCGCGGCGCAATGAATGTGCATGACCGCACTGTATCCCGCGCAAATGATGCTCTTGTGCTCCAGAATCACCACCTGCGCGTCGAAGACCTTCCCGGTCTTGATAGGATTGTTGCTGTCGCACAGGACAAATCCGGGACTGACGTCCTCCTCTTCGATGCCTTTCAGCTTGATCTTGACATTCTCGCCGGGTCCGACAGACGTCACCTCCTCGTCATCCGACCACAGCTGGTCCACCGTTACCGCCGTCTGCGTCATTTAAAATAAAGACATTCTCATAGGCGTACATGCCATCTCTTACTTATGCTACAAAATATAAAGCACGAATATTAACAAAAATTACATGATAGAAGAAAAATATTAATTTTCTTTTCTGCATTAGGTTGGTACAAGAAATTCGTTGTATCTGTTATATGAAAGTTGAAAATGAAATTGCGGTTTTAAAACATTTTTTTATTGTTTAACAGCAATTATTGGCTTCGATCAGTCTTTCTACTCAGAAAAAGTTTTTCAATCGCTTTCTTAAAAAAATCATTGCATTACAGTTTCTATCACAGGGTCTCGGTATCCAATTTCAACAATCGTGTAACGACCAAATTGTACACTCAGCAAAATAATGTTAATGCAAAAAAAACCGTCGCAGTCTGGTGTAAAGTCAGAACGAAGGGTTCTCTGCTTTGAACATTTTAGGAGGAAAACAAGAGAATTTAACAGAAACTAACAAACATTTTGCGCCAACGTAAGATATAATTTAGATATTCAGAATAACGTAAATTTTAGAAATCAAAAATATATATACGTACCCTATTTGGCATTACGAGCAACGACTGTCCCTTTTTGGCTTCACCCGCTTCAACCTTGCCCATAACCACTGTCCCCATGTCCTTGTATTTGTCGACAATCGGCATGATAAAAGGTCCATTGCTCTTACGATTAAGCGAGGGTAGCGAATCAATGAAAGGTATGAATGGTGGGCCGCTGTACCAATTACAGAGATGTTCGGGTATCGGGTCTTTCAAGCCGATACCGAGCTGACCAGAAACTGGCATGAACGTAAGATCTTTCGCAGGATTGAATCCTAATTTACGAAGATATGGCAGTATCTTATCCCTGAAAGAGATACGTTAACGTTATACGTGTGAAACGTGAGAAACGCACGCGCATTATCATTCAGTAATCAGAATATACGTGTAAAAAATATTTTATTTAAGAGAGTAAAGAAATCGATCGTAATTACTTTAATAATTTCCCTCAAATTATTCTCAAGTTATTCCCAATTAATTTTTTTGGTGAAATCTTTTTAAATGTATTTTCTGACACAGATAATCTCTCTTTCTTTCTACATATAAAAAAAAATATATATATCCATTTCTAAATCTGGCGTGCACATTCGATGTATACCTGCATTCATTGTATCGGCCCTCGTCCCACTCGACAGTAGGATCGTCCATTTTATTCACTAATACAACCAAATGCTTGACACCGGCGGTTTTAGCAAGCATAGCGTGCTCCCTCGTTTGACCCCCTCTGTCGAAGCCCGTCTCGAATTCGCCTTTCCTCGCAGAGATAACGAGGACCGCCAAATCGGCTTGTGCCGCGCCGCCAATCATATTCGGTACGAAGCTTTTATGGCCGGGTGCGTCTAATATTGTAAAGTGCTTTCTTTCTGTCTCAAAGTAGGCTCTCCCTACTTCCACAGTCTTCCCCTTTTCCCTTTCTTCTTGATTCGTGTCCAGCGCCCAACTTAAGTACCATGTTTCCCGACTTCTTTCTTTCGCCTCCCGCTCGTATTTCTCTAAGGTACGTTTGTCAACCATCCCCGTAAGCGCCATGATCTGGCCACCAATAGTTGATTTCCCAGCGTCTGCAAAACACCAGGTATATAATCATTTTAATATCTTACAATCGACAGACTCATTAAAAATGTATCGAAATAATTCTCTTCTATGATTATTATATCTTTATTAAAAATGTATCCAAATAAATCTCTTCTATGATCATTATATTCCATTTTATAATCTTTACAAATTGATTGCTTACCCACGTGTCCTATGAAAACAACGTTAACGTGTTCCTTTTTGCTTTTAGTGTCTTCCGCTACTTTGACAGGTTTCTTTTTGGGTACTTTAACAACCAGTTCTTCGTCCTCGTCATTATCAGCCTGGAATTAATATCAAAGATAACGATAGAGTGAATGCTAAACAAAATCTATCGAAAGTCAATGTAACTTATTTAGAACGCCGTCGTTCCTGAATATATATCGCTGCCGAAGAAATATCTGTTCAAGTTTCCAGTCAAATCTATACCTACTTCCTCGTTTTCCGGAGTAAGTAGAGGATCTCCATCAACTGCAGCTTCTTCCCAGGAGTCTGCAGGTTGATGTTCCGGGCTGGTATTTAGTTGGTCATTGACGTTCGGCGGTGGAGCCCCTCCTCCAGCAGGAGGTTCCTCAACTCGACTGCCAATTGGATCTGACAGAACAACGGGAGTAGAATTTCCTATTAAAAAAACACACACACACTTCTTAAGAATCTTCAGAATACATACAAAATAACACAGATACACATTTTTTTATAACAGATTAAAAAGGAATTTCTTGATTAGATATGTGCATGTCAATTGCTTTACATGAAACATGTTTTATCTCAGCAAGTCGTTGACATTAAATCTTAATTAATTTAATCTGTAATTTATACATTCTAAAAAAAATAATTAATTTGCCGATTACTTTGTTAATTTTGCCTTTTCCCCTTCGTGTCAAACATTTGTGATAATTTCCCGCATAAAATTTAAATAAAACTAAATAAATTTATGAATCTTTTAAAGTAATTATAAGAAAGATATTACAAATGTGATAAAAGTTCATGCTGAGTTGCAATTCTTTCTTCGTTGCAAAGCTACAAAGGTTAAAAAGAAAGATATCAGTTCGACGTGCACTTATCATCAATACTGTGCACGGCACATCCCTAAAATATTTGTTCAAACTTCAGCAAGGTAATCTAATTATTGAAAATAGATGTAAACCTAAGATCAAAGCACGGACAAAAGGCTTTGAACCTTCAACTGAATGCCGCATAACGCACAGACACAAAGCGGGAACATTGAGCAGAAATAAATCGTAATTAAACACCCAACAACGAGGTACGCAACGACAATCTCTTCCGCTGCGTCTCGCTCTTTTCGCAGTTACAGTTTCTATCACAAGATCCCGGTATCCAATTTCAACAATCGACCGAATTGTACACGAATAACGTTAATGCAAAAAGAACGGTCGCAGTCTGACGTAAGGTCAGAAACGAACGTGGTCCTCTCCCGCATAAGTGACAACATATGGTATCTGCGAGCGCAACGTCCGGATACCGCGTGGGTCACCCTCCACGCGGATTGACGCACGCGGAAAACGTGGACGTGAGGCCACGCGTGAGTCCGCCACGCGTACAAATCGTCCCACGGGGACGGAGGATCCCGGGGTGGGGGTGCGTAATGAAAACGAAGGGGGTTAGTCGCGACCGCGTGCGTGTGTCACAACACGACGGTGCGGTGCCACGAGAGCGCGCGGGCCTTTTTTTGCACGAAATTCTCGGCAATCAGCTGGGGGCGACTAACCATGATGTATCTCGACGGGCACGGAGGTGGTGGTGGTGGTGGTGGTGGTGGTGGTGGTTGTGGTTACGGTGCTCATGACGGTGGCGGCGGCGGAGGAGGCGGAGGCAGCGGCGGAGACGGCGGAAACGGCGGCGGATGCGGTGGTGGTGGAGGTGGTGGCGGCGACATTGCAGGGGCTGCTGCTGCTGCTGCTGCTGCTGTCGGCCGTCGTGGTCGCGGCGACGTTGCTCTGCGGCGACGAGTTGATGCAGAAGGAAGGCACGAATTCCGCAGCGTTGACATTCAGGGTGGAGAACTTGCTCTCGATGGACTTGTCCTGCGACGTAGGCGGGCCGACGATGTCGCCGTTCGTGTCCGCCTGCTGTTCCCACGAGTCCGGTGCTATGCTGTTCGCCATATTAATCAGTTGTTTCGGCGCACACACTCAGCCGGCCCGCTAGGCTAAACGGATAATACGATTCTCTTCGCGCGATGGGGAGGTGGGAGAAAGAGAGAGAGAGAGAGAGATGAGAGAGAAAGAGAGAGAGAGAGAGAGATCGTGAGGGAGTTCGGGACACGAGGAGTCGCACACACCGCAACGAAAACCACCGCGCGTTTCGATCAGATCCGATGATCCACCAGGGGTTACCGGGCTCGGGACGGGTCTTAAAAAAATAGTTATTTTTCCAGCGCACACTCTTCGCGTACACACACACACACACCGCGTACACGCGCGTACGATCGCTACTCCGCGTGCGTACGTGCGTGCGTCCCCCGTGGTCTGCTTCTCGTTGCTGCTGCTGCTCAGTGCTGCTCCGCTGCTGATGGTGCTGCGCTGGTGGCTGGCTACCGCCGCACTTCGACCGGAAGTACCGGAATCGAGATATATCGCGAGAGCGGCGTTCACGTGGCGCGAGCCAATCACAGTCGAGAACGCTGGACAAGTCTGCCTGGCTTTTAGGCTACCAGCGCGGAGCCAATCAAATGCGCAACCGTGAGGACGGCGGCAACTTCGTAAACAGTAGAGTTCTGTCTTTTCATGCAATTGACATTTGATCGCATTTTCAGTGTCAAAGTAAATTTTGCGATCAAAGTTGTAAAATAGCGCAGAAAAACGATCACCATGACAAAAGTAGGCGTTTTTTATTTTTCCGCTCCTAATGTGATGTGGATGCTCCCTAACGACCCTGACAACTTGGTACACAAGTTACAAGGAACAGACTGTCAGCTTCTAGTAGTCTAGTGTGTATATATATATATATGTGTGTTCAGCTGAGCGTTCTGACGAGTTCCCGTGAACGGAACGATTTTCCGCGATTTCCCCTCAATTCTCCCCGCTTGGCGTTGAACCGAACGAATTGCCTTCGACACGAGAATCATGGATTTACTGGGCTCCATTCTAAAATCCATGGACAAGCCGCCAGCGGTGAACGAGAAGCAGAAGGCCCTCATGAAAAGTTAGTTGACTCCCAACCTAAAAATGTTCGCTTTGGAAAAGAAAAAAGAAAAAAAATAAAAGACGAACGAATGACAATTTGACAATTACGTTGACTAACTCATTTCGATTATGCAGAACAGCAGGAGGAATTTCAGAAGCGTCAAAGAGCTGAGGCGGAAAAGTTGAAGATCTTCCGGCAGAAGGTGAGGCAGCTTATTTACAGTTGCATCTTTTCTATCTTTCGATCAATCAGTTTGTCTAACGCGCTCAATACCTTTGTACGTAGGTCGAAGAGAAGTTCAACAAGTTTCTACAGGATGACAACGCGAAGGAGTACAAATTTCCTGCCATGGACCAGATACACAGGAGCATCATGTAAGTCGGTATTTTGAAAATGTTTTTTTTTTCCCTCCTGACACATCCTTGTATTATTATACATGATTTCCATCCTGGGGGGGGGCCTTCAGTCACGATGTGGCGGAAGTGGCGAGCATCATGGCCTTCTCCTTCGGCGAGGAAGGCGTCGATCGGTACATCATGATCTTCAAGAAGGAGCACGCGCCCTCGGAGGATCAGTTGAACACGCTGCGCCGGGGCGAGGAGTGGAACGAGGAAGTCGCGAAAAGACTGAAGGAGGAGAGAGAGCAGAAGGCCAAGGAGGAAGTGGAGTACGCCAAGTCCAGGAAACGGAAGGAGAATTTTGTGCCCAACAGCTTTTACAAGGACAAGTATCAGCACTTGATCGGCAAGGAGGCCGCGTTGGAAGCCGCCAGGAAAACGGAAGCCAACAGCAGCTACGGATGTGGTGAGTATTAGATACAAAATACAGAGACGTACAAGTTGCTTAACTTTCGTCACAAACACGAGTTATTCGTTATCGTATGACTATAAAGTAAATAACTAATATTCATTTAATGTATCAAGATGAATTATAAATTAATTGTATAATTGTATTTTGAGATCATATAATAAACGAGCAATATTCAATATTGTTTGCAGTAAAGATTACTGAAACTTATTTTCAAAGATTTTGATGGCTCCTGTACATATACATGTATAATAGAAATGTCACTTTAAATTCTTGCAGTTCCCAGTGAAAACAAGAAGGATCAAAGAAGTATAGAACAAACTTTGGCTGACATACGCGCCAAGAAGAGGAGACTGAATAATGAGATTAGTAATTGCAGCGATAACAGTACAAAATAGTGCTATTATATAAATAATCATAGGCATACATAAATTATACATATATATCCAATTAAATGTAAATAATTCAACATACTGGTAGATATGTTACAACGTTATTACAAATTACTGCATTTTGCACCCGTTAGGGAAACCGCGCGATCTGATTTCTTTTCTTGTCGAATCTCCCGTGTCCGTTAAGTAGTCTACGAGGTACTACAAGTTTCTACGATGGCATTACGATTTAATGTCTACCTGCGTTAGAAGTGCAACGAACCACTTCTACATCGTCTCACTATGATACGTGTGTTTATTACCGAAGAGAAATTATGGGTCTCCTATGTACAATATAATACATCGTCTCTCGCGTATGCACGCATAAACATTCGCGCATAGGCATTCGTTCCTGCGATAATTTTTGATCTTCGTCTACAAATTAACAAAAAAGCGACTCGAACGTCTCTCCATTCCAGTTTAGAGATATTCCGTGGTGGAGTATTTAGGAACTGAAGTTCTCGGCGCCGGTCTCGGCTTCGTAGGCGACGGGGACTCGAATACGATCTGTTCCTTCAGAGCGAGCAGCTTCGTGAACTTCTGGTTCGTCGTGGATTTGTACAGTTCCAGGCCCCGGACGATAATCACGTCTCTAACATAGGCTGCATTATTTTGTACTAATTTCCGCTAGAGAAAAAAAAATGAAAAAAATCTTGTAAGATTAGAATTAATTCACGATACAGCTTGATGTACTGGCAACTTGCTACTCGGACGCTCACCTCTTGCTTCAGCTTCGGATCCGTGAGCGAGACGATCAGATGCTGTACTTGGACTCGCATCACGGACACAAGCACGCCGTCTATCGTGGATATAAGCTCGGGTGTGGCTACGCTAAGGCAGTCCTCTAACAGACTGACGTAGATCTTGGAGAAGGTTAACGTGTTGTACGTCAACGGTATCCAACAGTCGTTCGTTTGGAACGACGGCACGCCGATACCGAGGTCGTCGAGCTCGGTCAACAGCTTCTGGAGATTCTGACTAGTTTCCAGATTGGTCGGCCGCCAGGTGTCCTCCGCCACGTAACGCTTCGCCGTGTCGAGACAGTTTTCACCCGCGTCCTGGATAGCTTTGGCTAACGGTGATCTGAGTTGCCCGTCTAACTGATAACGAAAGTCCATGCCGAGCTGGGTCAACTAAAATTCGAGAATTGCTCTGTAAATTTATGTTGAAATTTGCATGGTTAGCAAAAGAAAGTTCATGTACCAAATATATATTATTATCTTTGAATATACTAAATATTTATAAAATACACATAGTATACTAAAACACTTAATTGAAAAGTGTACACACCTGATCACAGTGACTTCGAACGGCGACAATGCATTCTACCAGTGTGCTTAGCGTGACCTGCGGCACAAACAGCTGCTGAGCTATATGCGACGTTAAATACTTCACCTCCTGACTGCACCATACAACCAAGCCTTAAACGACAAGTGACTCAAATTAATCCAGTTATTCGATCGCGAAACGTCGATTGCGGATCTCGTCGACGCTAAATTACCGGAAGTGCAGTTTGTAGATTTGGGGAAGGTTTTCAGGAATTCTCTCGCTATCTCCACTATATTGCTGAAGGCGATCGCGCTGAGCTGCTTCACGTAAGCCACGGTCGTGCCCTCCCGCTTGATCCTCTTCAGCCGCGCCTTCAGCACCGCGCTGCACAATCGCAGGTACAAGTGGCACGCTTGCGCGCTCCTGTTCAGCTGTATCAGAAGCTTGACCGCGCGTCGAGCGCTTCGCAGACCGCCACCCTGCAGCGACTTCGCGTCCGCGCTCAACTCCAGCTCCTTGGTCAGCACGTTCACCAGCGAGCAACCTCTCTCGTTCACCTTCGTCTGGATGTCCGTCAGCAGCGGCGTCGATTGGGCGTCCTTCAGGTAAACCTTCGCCTTCTCCAGCAAGCCGTAAGCCTCCTCGAAGTGACGTTGCGCTATGCACGAGTCCAGATCCTCGGCCACTTCCAGCACCCACTCCGGCGGCGGCTCGTAGTATTCCGAGTCATCGTCGTCGTCCATCCCTAGGAACAATTTGAAAAAAAAAAAAAAAATGCGATAATCAGTAACTCGATAGATAAAAATTCAAGAAAAAGAATTAAAATGAATGAAGACAAAATATGTACGAATATTAAGAAACGAAGGACTATTTTTATCTTTTGTAAATTTTACCTAATGTATTCGATTCCAAGGACATCGAACGAGACGGCACGGCTTTGTCCTCCTTCGGATGCTTATCGTTATCCGGCGTGTCGACTGAATTCTCCTCCGCCAGCTTCGCCCTTTTCGCTTGCTCGCACTTATCCAGCCACTCTTTCTGCAAGACAAGATTTCAGATAACGAAATCCCCTTTCACCTACGCGATTTGCGATCGTTGCTTCTCAAACGCCACTAACTTTACTCGTCGCCGTGGGGCACTGGAACACCCTCGTGTCGGAGAACGCCAACAGTTTGAACGCCAGCTTCACAGTGCCGTGATCCCTCACGTTGACGATCGCCAGGCTCTCTAGATTATAGACCGCCTGCATCTTGTACCTAGGCGGGCCGCGCCTGCCACCGTTCGCCAGCCATGACGCGACCATCAGGACGTCGTTGAACAAGTATGCGTGAATTCTCTTTAACGGCGTGCCCTCGAGCGGGTCTAACTCGAGCAGGGAACCTTCGTGTAAACACACGCGTCCTGGAGTCTCGGCTAGGCTCTGCAAACAGAAAGAAATAATATACAAATCTGTTATCGATACAAAATTAATATTTCATATAGGGTTGCCACAAAAAGTGAATTTTGAAATCTCTTGACTTTCCATGATTTTCAGACAACAGAAAATTTTCCATGATCAGCATCAAATATATGTATAATTCTAAATCTTAATGTTTAGAAGATACATATTACAAAAAAGGTAATTTATATTATTAGAAGCAACATAAATTTAAAAATTTAACAACATAATACAATCCCAAATGGAAATTCAGGCCAACAAATTATTAACATCGCTTTGACATTGCTGTTATGCATTAAACTACAGAATGAAATTCCTTTGGTATAACTGAATTTTCCGTTGCCTGGGAACCAGACAAAAACTCAGTGGTAAAAGCAAAAAGATTTCAGTAGACATTTCTTTAATATCGCTAAATATTCAGAATATTTCCGAGTGCGATAACAGAGAGAAGTCTCGAACAAAATCATAATTTTCGGAAATTTTTTCAATTTTTATACAAAATCATCTCATTCTGTTATCTATTGTTTAATTCTAAAAAAAAAATTTCAAATAAAAAAAAGCAATACGTAAAAAACACTGTACAAAAATTATTGAGTTTTTGTCGATAAAACGAATGATCCCTTTAAGAAAATTGTGAGCAAAGTTCAAAACTCTTTTATATCAATATATAAAAGAGTTTTGAACTTTGCTCACAATTTTCTTAAAGGGATCATTCATTTTATCGAAACAAAACTCAATAATTCTTTCCCTGACTTTTCTAGGTTTTCCCGGTTTTCCACGTCTGTGGCAACCCTGTGATTGAGCGCAGCAATGCATGCCGCTTGTCAAATACCAACCAGAGCACCCTCCACATTTTCAATCAGCTGAATGAGCTTCTGCTTCTGCTCCTCCTCCTTCGATATAGGATCGGCCGAGTTCTCCTGCTGCGACTCGGGCAGATCCTCGAAAACAACGCCCGTCGTTCTGGTGGAGCCCAGGGTGCTGAGCAGGGCGCGCTGTTCGCTCAGCAGCTGGGACAGCTGATACATCTCGCTCTCCAGATGCGAGATCTCCTTGGCGGTCTCGATGAACTGCATGTAGTTCTGGTAGACGTTCCGCTTCAACTGTGCGGACGTGTTGTTCGCCAGCTCCTGGATCTTCGCACGCTGCTGCCTCAATTCGTCCGCGCCGACGCATTGCGCGCTCAGCTCCTTCACGACTGTAAAAAAAAAAAGAATCAAATAACTACAACTGAATATCCCTACTGTCCTTTGCGCATTTTTATATTTGCCTCCAATTTCATTACGTAATTAATTAGTAAATTAACTATTTATGTGTCGGATTAAAGAGACGGTACGGCATAGAACCCGAACAATCCCATCGACGGGTCGTCACATGACTGAAAACAAAGTACGATCCGCCGTGTGACGATTTCCTTTTAAATCGTTCGGCTTCACGTTTCATTCGGCTCCTCGACATATGTATCGCGTGTGCCCAGTAACTCACATTTCTCCGGGTTAAAGTCCTCAGCTGCGAAAACTTTCGGCAAATTGTTATCGGCCATTGCGAGAGAATCCCGTTTGTCCGCGGGCGAGGGTCTATTACTATCGTCAACAGTACCGTTTACGTGCCGCTGTCATGTTACGTCTCCGTCCAGTCCCTTCGCCGTCACCTGTCACAAATAAATCAACATGATTCGCGTCGGTTTACACCTCCGCCCCGATATAACCTCGCACAACGTATCTCCCCCAGCGCGTCGCCGAAGGCGAGATAGACCATCGGGGCGAGCCGCGAGAGACGTCCGGTAATGTCGGAACTCTGTTATCCTCTGAATCCTCTGGGTTAGCGACCGCAAGCTATTACCGACACACGGTATTTTCGGCCGCTAGAATTCAGTCACCCAACAATCGACTTCAGGCAAAGCGCATCGATGGCGCTGTCGTCGTCTACATCTTTCAACAATCGCGTTAATTTTATATATCGTCTATAAGATTCAATTCCGATGCAAAATCGATATCTAACTTGTATGCGAGAAATATACTTGACGCTTCTCGCGATTGTCAAAAACGTTATTCGGCGTGACTGACTGTGAGAATTTAGGTCGACCCTGATCGATTTCTGGTGGGTTATAACGACAGATCGCACCTACTGCCTTCAGCTGGGAGTGTGGCGGCTCCTGTAATCCGGCTACTCGGAGGCTAGTTGTGTTGGAGGGTCTGAGGTCGGGGGTACCTGCTGGTGCGGGACTCACGTTGACTGGGCGTCCGCACTAAGCTGGCCATCAATATGGGTACCCCGGAGGAGTCCGGGGTGACCAGGTTAGCTAAGGAGAGGCGAACCGGGCCAGAGGGGAAACCCAGCAGCCAAAAGTCTCCGTGGCGGGCAGTAGTGGGATCGCGCCCGGGAGTGGGACCGCATTGGCAGCCTGGTTGATATGATCCGACACACATCTTTTTGCATTTTTTTTTCAATTTTCCAACGATCCCCAAAGCCTCCCCATACGTTCTTTACAAAGAATCTAATTTTTTCGATGCACTTTTCGATGTAATTTTTTTTTTAATACGTGGCTCATGTGACGTTTCGATGCTTCTCGAGAATTCGAAGGCAAACTTTAAATACGTGTATTCCTTTCTTTGAATTGAGTGTGAAAGTATTGTTTAGTAATCTTTGGGAATTATAACATGTTCTGTTGAAAAATTTGAAACCAAAATGGATATTAGAAAAAGGTAAAATTTAATAATTCAAAGAGAGATATTGTTCTTATGTACACTGAATGGATGTATTTTGATTTATTATATTTTAATCAAAAAATCAGTTAGTGCTGTATAGATATCAGATATTAGAATATTATCAAGATTAAATCCATTTTAAACAATCTATTATAATTTATTCATATTTCAGGATAGGATTCTATTCATAATTTCATAAACTTGTATTTTAATATACCTTTTGTATATCTTCAAGTGCGTTTTTCGTACTATGTGCAGTATATAAAATTGAATCGAATTCTATCCTAAATTTTGACATAAATTATAAATAATTCAAATTGAGCCTTGGACAGTTATAGTTTTTCAAAATCACTTCGAGTACGCTATCGAGAACAAGGGAAATTGCAAGGGGAAGAAACATAACATGTAGCACATGTTTATGGAAAAACTTTTAATTCTGTTATAATCATTGTCTTGTAGTGAAGATGATAATGCTACCATTGTAAGGATTCACTCCCGCGGCAAGGAAATAATTTATAGTATATAATTATAAACACTTGAGAGAGTTGCGTGTAAATCAATTTCTTCCTGATACAGTAAACTTCGCCACCACGGCCACAATTATATTCTTATTATCTAATATAAATCTCTACGACTTCTGCTTTTCTTTCTTCGCTTGCTCCGCCAGTGCTTCCAATCGGTCGTGTTCCGCGATCAAGGCATCCACTTCTTTCGCCGGCAGTATTTTCGTTTTCGTCTTGCCGTTTTCGCGCGTCAGTATCGCCATTTCCACTGCAGGTAAAGCAAATAGAACGTCAGTATAACTTTGTTACAAATTGCCATCACAGAATGGTACTAAAAACTATGTTTACAACAACTGCAGAGAAATTGTCTTCTCTTACTGAAAATCTTATAAACGTGGAAAACTTATAAACGTGACACTCAATCACTTTAGATTTGGATTTAGCAAATGAAAATTTACCTTTCTCAGCCGAGAGTTTGTTCATGTCTAGCGTTTTAGAGAGCACTTTGATAGCGAGTGCCATTGCGTCCTTCAGGGTGGTCTCGCCCTCTTTATACTCCTGCTTCAAGGACGACACCGCCGCCGCGGAATTGTTCCCGATACACGTCGCCTTCCAGCCGCCGTAGTTGCCGCTGGGATCCGACTGATACAACTGATAGCCGTAGTACTTGTCCCATCCCATGTACAGGATGGACACGCCGAAGGGTCTCTTGCCGCCGTATTGAGTGTACGCCTGCTTGACGTCGCACAGCCACGAGACGAGCTGCTCGCAGGGTATGGCCTCGCCGTACTGCAGGTAGTATCTCTGCGCGATGAGGCGCAGCTCGTTCGTCAGGACATTCGCGTCCGAGGTTATGCCGGCCACCGAGCAGACTATGTCGTCGTTCAGCTTGTAGATCTTCTCGGAGAAGAACACCTCGTCCAGCAGCTTGTTGGTGTTACGCTTCTCCGCCGCCAACAGAATACCGTTGTTCGCTAGTATACCCAGGCAAGTGCCGGCGTGGCTTATAGCCTCCATGGCGTACTCGACCTGGTAGAGCCTCCCCTCCGGCGAGAAGATTGTGGTACGCGTATCATATCTACGTGCCTGTAAAAAAAAAATATACCACGATGTAGTCGAAAGATATCGAATTAATTGAGCAACCTGTCATTTCTCCATTCTTACGAATATAAGCGCGTGCAAGTATGAATGAAAACAAAATCACTATCGATCGAAAGACTCGTCTAGGGCGCGCGTTCAAAGTATCGTGCCATCCAGGATATCGTATTATCCTTGCTATTCGTTGAATGTTAAAGATAATGCGATACCTGAGGGGTGATTCGGATGGGAATCTGAACACGCCCCTAAATGAAATTTAAAACATCTGATGTGTACATTTCTTCATGTTCTGCTAAAAGTGTCAGAACTTTAAACCAACTATATTAACTTGATTTTAATTCTGATTTGAATATCCTATGCATGAAATGTGCACCGTAACAGCAACATTTACAATTACGATCTGTTAATATTTTAAAATTATGATAAATGTTAGTCTTGATGACAATGCATTTCCCACATAACCTATAAGTGACGAAAGTATCGAAAGTACTCGAAAGAATGTGATCTCAAAGCTGAATAAGCGGTAATATTACCTAGAGCCGCAATGAGACTCATCAACTTACCATTTTGCAAGGAGTTTCACGTTATTAAAGTATTTATCACCGTATCGGGAAAATGCCGCTCACCAATATGTACGACAATCTGACACTTCGACTTGCGAAGAATGATTGGCAGGTTATGAGGTTAAGCTGTACGGAGCTCTCGACTACTCGAAAGTCGCGCAGAATCGATATTGCCGAGTCGATAATACTTGAATAAATATATTTTTGCGAAATAAATATAACGTCACTATTTTTTATTTTTTTTTCGTTTAAACGTGATGATTTTACTTTCTTTTCCTTCATTGTTTTTCTCAAGTTCTATTTTAAATTACGAGAGTGGACGAGGGTCTCACAATAAAAAAAAAAAAAAGATTTAAATATTTCCCGTATACATAATACTCGTTCACATTAAAACACACCTCTTTATTGAGCTGAATATAGTAAAAAAAATAATACACTTGTTAAGATCGACAAGAATTCAAGATCACTTATGCAGATATATATGTAACGTCATGGCTGAAATTAAACTCGCGACCTATTCTTTCTTCAACTTAAATCTTACTTAAACTTACTGAGGTATACAAGAAAAACTGATATCCTATGTATAGACTTCGGATACTTATATCTACGTTGGTTTCCTATAATACGTAAGCTTATCTTTTTCAAACACAAGAGATCTTTTCTTGTACATATGTAAGTACATGTATGAATGAGGAAATCTTATTTATCAATAAACATCATAAGTATCGTTCATAGAGTTGTCTGTTAATTATACGCTTTATACTGCAGCGCATTTAGTATCGTAATGAGGTTTGTATAAAGCTTTGTGTCCGCGATGCTAAAAATCGATCCGAGATTTTGGGTTCGATTTTTTTTTAATATTCTGATTAACTTGTGGTCTTCTTTTTTTTTTAATTGGTAACCACAAGTTAACTAGAGAGATCTCGAAGCGATTTTAACCAGAATACGAAAAGCCGGGCCTCGGAGAAAGAATTGACCTAATTGTTCGAATACGAGTTGCTAGCTCTATTTTTTCTAACCGATTCAGAGCGATTTCCAGCATCGTGGTCACGCGGCTTTAAACAGCGATTGACAATTCGGGAGGGAGAGAATTACTTCATCAAACCCATCTGTCCTTGAAGTTTTAGCTCTTCCAATTGTTCAACTAGTCGCGCGCTCTCCTTGGCGACGTTTTTCAAATGAACTAATCGTTCATCGATTTGGTCAAAGATGTCATCCGATTCCTTCTCACCAGAATTTTTATAGTTTTGCTGAATCTTTATAGTGTTCTCCATATCCTGCACTTTCTTGACACCCGATTTATTCTTCAATATTTCCAGAAGTCTATCGGTATGTCGTTCGCCAAACACGCTCGAAGTGTTCGCGACACATTCGTCTTTTTCCTCTTTTGTATTATCGACATTGAACGGCTTCGGAATCGCACCCATCTCAGTCTTCTTAACGTTTGCCTCTTGAAAATCAATCAGATCAGCCGTCGAGGAACTCGCATTCCCTCCGTTATGTTGGAAACAATCGTCGAAGAGTGATGCCTGAAAGTACGATTTGTCAAATGATTAAAAGATTGAAAGAGAATATACTTATCTTACTTTTTTTTTTACAATCAAGTTCAATCGAACGATCAATTAAATGCTTCGTACACAAAAGCATAATACATGTATTAATACCGTCTCGTGTTCATGTAGAGGTTCCACTTGCTTAATATTGTCATCTTCAGGAGCCAATTCATTGTACAACAGTCTGTGGAACACATCGTTACGAAGTTTAGCATATTTAGCTCGCGCAGTTGCTTCATCATAACAATCATCATCATCATGACCGTTATCACGATCATGTGTTTGCGTATTCTCAACAAAACCGCCTTGGCAGAATCTTCCGGACAAGGTAGCGTCACGAGGAGGACGTAACGGTGCCTCCTGAGCCTGAAATTGTAACAGAAGAAATATATTAATACAATAAATTATACGATCATGTGACTCATTTAACATTCACACATTCAAAACGTCTTTTCGTGAAATATATTTTACCGTGTCTTTCGTCATGGAGGACGAGGCCGCGCTGATGCTATGATATCCTTTGAGATTCGCTATGCGCATTCGTTCGTTCTCCCTAAACTTTTTCCTCTCCGACTTTGACAATCCAGACACGCATCGAATCACCGGCTTGTTCGCCGAAACTTCCATTGGATTGTAAGGCGTAGCTTCAGGCTCCTGTTCGAAAACAAGTAAGAGTTGTGTAATGTGAATCAGTATTGGTTTAGATTAGCGAATAATTTTCACCGTGTTCCGTACCTCGTCCCAATTTTCAGTTGAGTACGAGTTTACGATCATAGAAGGCTCGTTTGCCTTTGGTTTAAAAATTTCAGTATTCGTATCCACCAATTTCACCTTACCGGTACAATGTGCAATGTGCTCCTACGATATTGAATAATAATTGACAAAAAACTGAGATGTTAATAACAATAGGCAGAAGAGAAAGATCTTTTAAAGTAAGCGGCCTTTCGATATGATTTGAACTGTATTACAAAAAAATTTGAATGTGCCTACTCTGAGACACTCGCGATTTACAACATGGCTCCTGTCCAATGGGCATTCCTCCAAATTTTCAGTTTTACTGTATTTCTTGCACTTCACTATGTGATTCATAAGCTTAGATTTCTTAATGCGATGCGCAGGATTGTAAGGGCAGGAAACTAGGAGGTCTGCCTCTGCCATTTCTAGAATCCAGTTCTGCAAAATTGTAATATCAGTTATTAAAAACCCACTCTTCTTATCGATACAGATCTCATTGTTAAATGCAAGAGATTCTAGAAGAGATATGAGACAAAAAAAACATTGCTTTGTAATGCTGTGCCATCAACAATTTGAAGGTAAAAAAGGGGCAGGAATCTTTAAAATCTTTCAATCTTGGGTCAGTACATTGCTCATAAAATTATCTATATAATTCCAGTGGCGAGTTTTATATGGAATACTTGAAGTACTTTAATATTTATAGATCAGAAGGTCTTTTCTCCAACAAAGCTCACAGCAAACAAACCACAAACAAGAACAAGAAAAAAGTATCCTTATTTCTAATAACAAGGTCACACTTTCTATTGTCAAATAAACTCGCCATCACAATGTCAATGAGAAATAAGACAAGTAAAATATACATAAAGAATAAGTTACTTAAAAAAAATAAATTACATAAAGACTATATATAATTAGATTATTCAAGTAACGCCCAATTTTATCTTCCAAATTTTGTCGGCAAAATCATCGAACGTATTGCTCGTACGATGGTCGTCTAATAAGAATTTATGTTTAGTTCGCCAATTTGTTATGAAATTCTCGAAGATGTGCGTGCTTTATTGCGATTACAATCGTATACTCACTCTCACAACCTAGGAAAAATAAAAGAAATCTCGTCGAGATACTGCTTTATGTATACACTGTATCTACTTTTTCTTTCTCTCCTCTTTTTTTCTTCGAAACGGAATTTTAACTCGCCAGTGTCGCAGCAACGCAATCAAAATTCTTTCTCACGTTGTTTCGCCGATCGTCCTTCTACGATTACTCTGGATTAGTCCGTCTGCAAGAGACAGTCTTCCTGCCGCTGACGATAGTCGACACGTAGGCCCCCCTTTCGGTTTCAGATTTCACGTTGCTGCCCAAGCAAGCCGAGCTGTTCGAAGAAAAATCAACAAGGACAAATGCCTGAAGTGCCACAAGTGGGTACGAAACGGTACGGCGGGGGAGAACTCAAGAACTGATGTGTGATGACACTGCGTGCAGTATAAAAAGTAACCTCGCGACTGTGATTCCTTAATATGATTGGTTCCTACATTTAGCGAGGAACTGAGGGGGGCAAAAACAAATCGTTAAAAATTTTACAATTGTAAATCTGCTCTTAGCTGCGCGGGATGCACCACGCAATGATACAGTTTGTCTACTTCCCGGGAATCGAGAATTCGAGAGGGATCTTCGCCGTACGATCTTCAATCGTACGCCGAGACGTTCGCGGGGTGTTTATGCACGTGCTTGCACGCCTTGCGCTTTCTGCACTCAGACGTCTTCGCTCTCTCTCTCTCCGTTCAACGCCCGAATATTATTTTTATTTCGTCTCTAATGCAAAAATCTTGGGAAATTTCAAGTAACGTGATCAAATTTTTTTTCAATAAGAGAAAAATTTAGCCCCCGCATTCTAGGGGATTATAATTTGAATATGATGACTCGTGAATTCGAATTTCCGGGACTGCTGAATTCATGACGTTGGACGTCATGCGCGAGATTTGAATAGGATTATATAAAGATTATCGGAAAATTCTTTTAACTGACGAATTTTTCGAGAGTATAAAGGGATAGCTCAATTTTGACAGCTTTTATCTAAATCGTCTAGAAAATTAAAATAAACATAAAAATGCGAATGAAATATTATGCGATATACATTATTGGCATAATTTCTCCCTTTTTTTTTCTCTTTTCAGATTTTAGACTCACACACTGAAATGGATTGATGTATTTTTCACACAGTACAAAACTAACGTCAATTTCTTCATACACTTCACTCTTTATTTTCCTTCTTGACTATAATAACTTGAACTCTTTATACACTCTCATAGCCTAAGTACGTGTAAATATGATAACAGAAAATTAACATAACGTAAAACTCGTCCTATATCCTTATTACTTATAAGATTTTCGCTACTAATAAATTCGTGGAATGATTCGCGCATTCGTTAATTCTCGCAATTGCAATTCCGTTGACATCCTCAGGCAGGAATGGTGATGTATAAAGTCTTATCGAGTCTTATGCGGTAATCTTCCAATTACACGTAGTAAAAAGATGGAATTTTTCACACGATGCGCAAAGCGATTATTGCACGCACAAAATTTCCAAATTAGTCAGCACAGAATTACACATCGAAAATCGAACGATCAATCAAATGCGCATTACGAATGGTATGTACGTGTCGCTTAATTGTTATCCCAGAAACCTCGAGTTACAATGATATGCAGCGTGATCTGTCACATGATATAAATCCTTTTCCAATGCATGAATTAGCCTTTGATATCGGATAAACGTTAAAAGTTCATGTCGCAAACGAGAAATGTATATACCACGCACAGCTTACTATTTTATTCAATAAGATTTCTCTAGACTATAAAGAGGACTTCATTTTGCATGACAGAGATTTAAGAATTAGTGTTTTAATGCGCGCACACACACATGTTTGTAAAGAACACACGTAAAACCTCGATCGAATTTCGAATGTTAGGAGCAGTTTTTACTCCTAAAAATTACCAAAATAAATTAAGAAACTGTATGTGACACGCAATACGTTTACATTTAAAATTCGAGACGAGGAGAAGCTATTCGATATTTACATATTTCAATTTTGGACGTACAACTCTTCCTTTTGCGTGTACAATTTGTTAAAATGATACATATGTATATGTTTATACATATAAATTCAAAAATTTAAAGAATATGTGTTTGAGAAATCTAATTCATTCGAGCGCTGTATGCACACATTTATAAATAATGCAAGGCAATAAATATATGTATAATAAACGGATATACATATGTTTCGGTAAACAATATGTCCAGTACAAATAATTCGCGCGGTCTCTGTACTGTCAATATACATTAAGATATATCACACAAATGAGCTAAACGAAGATTTATCGGTAACACACCCCTGCATGAGCTTATACAGATTTTTTACATTAGTGGAAGTCAAGAAATCCGATCTACTGCTATTCACCATTACGATTTAAAGAAAAAAAAAAGAAAACATTAAAATTCGGTAGTTCTCAACGCGCGGCAAATTTAGTCGATCCTTGCGGGCGAGCGATCAACATTTTCCCCCCCATTTGTGTTTGTTTAAGTTCATACAGGATTTCATTCTCGCGTGAAAACGCAGTCTCCATGTAAATATAATTATGCGCAATTCCGTAGACGATCAGTTAATGCCCGTGTACAATGCATTTTTTTTTTTACAGTTCTTTTCTGGCTCCGTAAACGCCGGGGCATGCAAACATTACGAGAGTAACTTAATGAATGAGGTATCCAAAAGAGCTCTTCAAATTTGTCAATTTCCCTCAAGCGGAATACCATTCTTCATCGTATCAACGTACGGATTAAATGTACAATATCGGTATCTGTACATAGTTCAAGGAACTTTTCTTACGCAATGTACAAGTGATGTATAGATTCATAAAATATTCCATGTAAATTCCAGTATATATATACACACACACACACACACACGCACACACACACGCACACACACGTATGTATATATATATTTATATATATATACGTTTTGTGGACTTGTGATGCATATATAACATTTTAAAACTTTAGGCACATCGAGCACACAACAATGATATACGTACACAACGAGCCTCAGTTATAGGAGCACAATAACTTTTTTTTGTACATATATATCTTCCAATATAATTAATAGTATACAAACTAAACACAGCAGCAGTTTTATGATTTAGTTAAATCATAACGCAGCAGAACTTGCATATATTATTGTATACATTCCTGTAATATCTATATATATATATTTATATATTTATATATCATCGTAATTAACACTTTATAAAATATTTATTTATTCTATTTCTTTAAATCTAAAAATATTTATAGATTTGATTACTGCAATGTAGTAATACGTAATAGTAACATTAATATACGTTTTTCTTTATCGTATTTGACGTTTGTACTACAATGATATACCGATTTTAACAATCGAAAATCGATTATTTTCAAATCACCTGATGACTTTTGTATAATAAATAATAACAATATTCATCGTGAATCAAAGATATTTATGTAACTGTCTTATATATTAAAAAACCAAAGGTATTCGCAACGACTTATGTCAGATTTCATATTTCAATAATTATTATATTACTATTAGGACGCTCCTTTATATACTTTCGTTATATTATTCTATCAACGTCTTTTAAGTTTCGCTTGTTTGAAATGCATGCGCACGTTGTACATGCATTTTATATATGAATTTTTTGGACACGGATTATTGTTATTATTACGCGTTCACAGATTTAAAAAATAACAATCTCTCGTCGTTAATAATAATTTATATAATTTGCTTCATATTACTGTAACAGGTATAATCATTGTATCTATCGTGATCATACGTTTTCATTAGTGCAATAAAACAAACAATGTCGCATCAAGTTAATGTACCGATTATGCGAAAAATTATTAATTTTTGTACTAGATAAAATCGAGGCAGTATTGACAACGCTCAAAGGTCTTGTTTTTTTTTTTTTAGACATGTGTGTTTGTGGCGGTAATATATTATCTTGTTTCAATAGCAACAATAAACTTTAGCACATTTTTCTATACGTTCCCTGTAAAAAATTCTGATTTCTCAATCAGATTAGCGAATCGTGTAAAATATTTCGTCTCAATCTCACAATATATATTTAAAAATTATATAGTTGACAATGCGTGTGCTCCGATAACTAAGGCAAAATTGTGTACACGTGTATAAACATGCTTTGTAGATCAAGAATCTACAAATATATATATAGATTTGCTTATTATATGTATATAATATATAGATCTTTATATATCTTCTTTTATATAATATATATAACACGATACAACGAATACTGTTAGGTGTATCTTAAGGCACTCGTGCGAATAAAATCTAAAACATTTGGAACAAATAAAGAAAAACAGAGTCTCTAACTTTAATAACAATTCATAAACGTATACACACACACACACACACACACACACACCTAACTATTGTATTTAGTTAAATTGGTCCAGAACTAGATTTGATGTGAAAAAACGCTTTCACTCTGTGTTAAACTCCCGTAAGATAAATTAGGAAATAGCGTTAAACGATCGCCGAATACAATCGATCAACCCTGTTGTATTATAACGTTTCATTTGTAGCCTCTTAACAAGTAATATTATTAAAACTCCGTCTAAAGCCAGGAACTAGTGCTTTAAGGAATTGTTTCACCCTTGACTCACACGTTTTCACACTTTAATCAGAATGTGTACAACGCAAAGCTTCTCTCGCTCTTCCGCATTGTTTACCATCGATCAATGTTCTTGTCAGTGAAATGTACTTTATAAACGTACTTTTAAACAGTTTAAAAATCAAGTGCGAAACAGATGAAAGAGGAGGATGAAACTATCACTAATATGTAAAACCTGTGTTAACAGAGACTTTGGGGTTGATACAATATGCGGAGCATCGCTATCCAGTGCCTGAACACTGCGCACATTATGAGATATAACGTGTATGTTTGTAATTTTAGCCCGTTTGCGGAAAAAATTATATCGTCTATTGAGATTGGCCTCAGCTTTTGCTCACTTTTAAATTCCTCTAATATTAATATCACGAGTTTTGCTTCAATAGATCTTCTGTTATGGCAATATAGGTACTCAATCAATATCTAGTAACATTGGATGCAGACTCTTTCCACACTCTTTTCTACACGCTTACCACAGCTTTTGTATTATTAACTACGATGTGAGCTATGAGACATTGTTTATTTTGCGTAACCTTTCACGTATATATTTTTTAAATTAATATTAAAGCAACGACAATAACGCTATAATAAAATGTTTTCTTTTTACGAAGTATATATATGTATATATATATATACTTTTTGTCTTCGTATTTTACGATAGACAATTTAACATTAATATTACATTTTTAAAAATAACATCAATAAAATATACAAATATACAAATAAAATAACAATCAGATAAAATATAAATAAAATTTTTTTTAACAGTGATAACTTTTATACAAGTAAAATGTTAAGTCGTTTCGAGTGCATTTAACACCAACACACGGTGAGAATATACATCACAAATCGATATCGTTTATCGCATAGAAGTCGAGAAAACAGCTCTATTAAGTAAACTTTTCATTACGCAAGATAAATCATTTTAATATCCCATAGCTCAAGTTTTTCTCATGTTTATGTATATATCTCTAATATAGGAATGTTTCATTTTTTTTCTTGCACGCTGTCTCTATTATCAGAGACGTAATTGTACCATAAAATGTACCTTTTTTTTTTACACAATTTTAACCGTATACATCTCTTACAAACGTAATGTTGCCAGTGTACATATTTTTGCAAACTGGAATGACAAATTATATGTATATATCCATATGTACGCGTGTATGTATATATCTACGTGTTTTATGTATATATATATATATATATATATAATATTTATATAAGTCTCTTCATAATATAAATAAAAATTCGCAGTGTGAGCACATTCAGCAGTTGAACATCACTCGTAAAACTTTGTACAAATAAAAGACCGGAGTCTCCTTTGAAAAGTGTAAATAATCGAACGTGTATTATTTAGTTGTTAAAATCTTTGGCTAAAACATCTAATTGCGAGCTAGAACTGTCCCTCGGGTAACTTCTTTGTTAATAATGACCCACAACGGTTGACTTAGCTAAAATCAGCAAACTTTTTCGAAGCGTTCGTTTTCATCTAGCAGTTAAAAATTTCGATGCCGACGCCAGTTAACAGTAGCAGCTGGATCGCTCGCGATTCAGCCGCAATATAAAATATTCGATCTTTTATCGTCGCGGATATAACGGATTTGTAGAAGATTGCACTGTAAGCCGTTATTATGTAATCACAGTAACTGTATATATATGTATATATGCTTGTAGCCCAAATAACTTACTCGCGATTATTTAGCAACGTCGTTTTCCTTCCTCGGGCTCTGCTGCGTACGGTCGAAACACTTTGTGACATCCTGAGGGAGAAAGGTACGTATAACATTTACTGTATTAAATAAATTCGTACTGTATTAAATAAATTAACGTTTATTCGACACATTTCATGTTATGTAATTGCGCTTCGAATAAACGTTAATTTATTCAATATGTAACGACTTATTATTACGCGCTGAAAATAACCAGTAATATACTGAATAATAACGAAAGTACCGTGATGTAATACACGTGCAAAAACTGCTTACAGACTGTTCGGTGAAGAGAATGCAACGTACCTGTACCGCAATTTGTAACGGCGTTAATTCACCTACAGAGCAATCATTTCGTACAACATTCGCCGATACTAGCCTGGGACAAGGCTTGCCCGTGAAGAGCGTGAACAGTGCGTGAATGCTTCTACGTTGGGTCAGTTCTATGTGACGGTGTTGGTATCCAGCCAAGTGCCGTCGATGCCGCGATGTTGTGGGGAACCATCTTTCGCACAGGTTGCAATACCGTCTGTGCTTTATCGTCGCCTGCGAAAGCAAATAAGATTATAATAATCGTGTAATAAGTGAATACGACTATCGTATAATAATCTTTTGACATAATAATTTAAATAAGATAATTTTTCTTTTTTTCTCTTTCTCACCTTTTCGTGATAAGCTAATTGAGTTATGAGATCGACGATAGACATCTCGCTTTCTTTAACGTTCTTCGTATTGCTTTCATTTTTAATGCTTGACGTTATTATTTTGTCGTCCACCAACTTGGACTCCTCTATATCGAGATCTTCGCTGTTCTGGATCGTGATGACTGGCGGCGATCTGGAGCTCTCTCTGTCTGAATTCGTGTCGAAATTCACATCGACCTCGGGTTCCAATATCGGCATGTTGTCCTCTTTGGGCTTGATTTCCTTCGCGTTGCTCGTGTCGTTCCCCTCGTCTGTGACTCTCGATATCTTGGGAATTTTGTAGGCCGACACCCGATTCTTCTCTTTCCGGCGCGTATCTTGCGAATGGGGAACATCGTCGCCTCGGCCCGTTAGACTCTTTCGTTTCTCGTTCAAGTGCACGGTACGGTTTTCGTTCGGCGCAGCCTGATCGAGCTGTTTAAACGTTTTCAAGGATATCATATTGCACTCGAACGTGTTCTTCGCCGCCTCCTTGGAATCTCCTTCGTTTTCATCCGGTTTCTTCCTCGTGAGGGAACTTTTGCTTGATTTGGAATGTTTCTTCTCAGACTTCTCGATATTAGATATATTCTCAGTCTTGCTGGGCTTACTTGCCGCGGGTGCAGAGCCCGTCTGAGGCGCGACGTCGCTATGACAGCCCTGAGAAGCGTCACTCGAGGGCGGCGCCTCCGAGAAGCAATTGACATCGAAACTCGGGCCCTGCTTCTTCTCCGCGGCTGTCTTCGATCTCGCGTTACCCTGGACGTCGTAGTTGGATTTTGAAAGGCACTTCTTCAAGGTCTCCTTGGCCGCCAGAACCTCCTTTATCAAGGAATCGTTGCAGCAAAAGTTTTCCCTCGTCGCAGCGATGCCCGTCGCCTTGTAACACGGGGCTTTCAAAGAGATCTCTCTGACAGTGCCAGCCGAGCCGTTCTCCAATGCGGATCTGTCATCGCTGTTGTTGACATCAATTTCCACGACACTCATATCTTTCTCGAGCGAATTCTTGCCGCGAGAGGAAGCGTCAGATTTGTCGCAACGTTCCGCCGTCGCGGTTTGATCGCTCGACTCTTCAGTTACACGATTTGAATTGTAACAGCCGATGGGATCGAGTTTCGGCATGGACGCATCCAGCAGATCCGTGTTGCTGTTGTCCGCGATCTCTAACTCCAGCTCGAATTGAGTCGGGATCGCATCCGCCGAATACAATTGCTCGCCATCCTCGACCATGTGCCTCTCCAGCTCGCTGCGATTATCATCCGGCGAAGCGGGCAGGATCTCTATGGTCGACTGGCTGTCGTCCGACGATTCGACTTTAATAACGGCGCTGTTCTCGAAATTATCCAGCATGCTCGCGGAGTCGTCCTTAAGCAGGTCAGTTTCGTCCTGCAGAGTGCAATCGTTATCCATGTCGCTGGAGGTACTCAGAAGTTCCTTTTTTATCACAATTTTGCTAACGTCCTTGCTCAAGAAGGGCTCGTCGTCCTTCCTCTTGTCAGCCTGTAAATTGACTTCCTCGGACGACGTTTCGCTCGGACCGGGCAATTTCGCGAAACAGGTTTCTATCTTCGATGTCGCTTTCAACTCCTTTAACGCAAGCTTGAAACTTGAGCTGCTTGGATGCTTGACGGGGATGTTCTTCTTACCTGAGATCGTATCTTCGTCCGCTTTCGCCGCTCGTTCGCGATCGATGTCGAAACCGTCGGTCTTGTGCTTGTCGCATTGAGCGGTAATCTTCTGCGAGTTGACTCTTTTAGACGACCGATTGATTTCTCTGTCGGACTCCGCCTCCGATCGTGGATTATTGTCGCGAGATCTCGACCTACGTTTATTGTCCCTTTGGCATTCGTTGGTCGCTGACTTGTTACTTCTGGACAATGCGTTCCTCTTCGGCGTGGTGCACGTCTTGATTCGCGCGTCTCTGGAATCTGTGTCTGGTGACGGCGCAAAATTGACATCGACCTTCGACGCGTCGTTGGCTTTTTTACTACAGTCGTAATCCGACATTCTCCTCTGCTTACACTTGGTCGGAAGTAGGTCGGACGTTGAGTTCGATCTGGACAGTTTACAGTCACCTTGCTTCTCTCGACGATGGCCGTCCCTGCGACTCGCGGACATCCTGTCGAGAGCCCGTAACGTGATCGGGGACAGAGTTAACTTCAAATCCTTCACCATGCTGTCCAGGATACGGTGCCTCTCCAGTTTGACCTCCGGTTGCCACTTGGCGCTCCTCGCGATGACATTCTTGTAGCATTTGCTGAGCTCGCACTTGAACTCCGCGCTAGACGACGTTCTCTTGATGATCACCTTGGGAATCTTCTCGGAGATGCGCAAGGGATTCTTCTTCGTTTCGCACTCCGACGCGTTCGTTCGCGTCGAATCGGAGGAGTTGCTGCGTCTCGTGTGATGTTCCGTCTCGTCGCGTTCCGATCGTCGGTACTTCTTGACCGGCGCGGCGTCCGAATAGCTCGAGCTCTGCCTCTTCCGCGTCACTTCCGGAGATGACGACCTGTTCCTCTCCTGCTTCCGCAATTTTAATATAGGTATCTTCTCCTCGTATCTTGCCGAATCCCTCGAGTCCTGAGAAATCATACTGCCGCAAACCGAATTATCCGCGAGATCGGACCGCAAGGTACTCTTTATTTTCACTTTCGGTGTCGTTTTCTTCGCGTTTTTGCGTTTAACGCAAATCTCCTCGTCATCGGCTCTCATTATTTTGTTGGAATGCTTATCGTCCAGCTTAATCTTCATCTTGGGGATCTTATTTCTATAACTATTTGACTCGTGTAGAGAACTTTCGGAATTGCTCTCGCACAGATCCTCGTTCGTGAGCAACGCTCGATCGGAGATACTTGTCTGAACAGAAGTTTCTTCGTGAACCGCCTCGATGGACGGAGTCCCCGGGCGGGATCTAGCGTTCCTGATGATCATCTTTGGTATCTTCGGTTGGCAGATCGACTTGTTGGCTACGCTGTCCTGCGTCACGCAGGAGGCACCCGCCTTGGTAATGAATTTCGAGCTAGTCTCGCTCTTCTTGATGACAAGCTTGGGAACCATCTTTGTGTTGGCGTTGCAATCGGTCGCGCGCAAGTACGCGATCTTCTCGAAGCCACTGGAAGAAATTTGACTGTGCTCTGAAATTTGCTCCCTGCTCTCGTCGTGGCTCAGTGTCGCCTTAGATTCCTCGATCGTCGCCGCCGCCGCCGATTCGACCGCCGGCACGAACTCGTCGATCGTCTTGCTTTCAATTTCGTTAGTCACCTCCGCGACTTGGGGTTCTTTGGTAGCGGACATCCGCGACAGGGACAGATGGCCCAGCAGCGAATTATCCTGGAGCGAGTTAACCGCGCCCGCGAAGTCGATCGGCGACTCGTCGATGCTGCACAGACGATTGACGGCGTCTTCCTGGATCTGGCTCGTCTCCCACACCATCGGCACCATGCTGTCGTCCTCCGTGAAATCGTGCTCGGACATCTGCACCAGCGCGCATCTGTCCTCCGGGTAGATCCCGCAATCGGTGGAGTCCATGCACAGCAGCTTGGTGTCGATTATGCTGCCGCAATCCCTAGGAGTCTCGCTCGTCTCGGCTTCTTGACACTGCTTCTTGTCGCCCTTAATGATGCTCTTGATAACGGTGAACTCGGATATATTTTGCTCGCGCCTCTCGCATGCGAATAAATCGCACACATTCTCCGTTCGCAGGTCCAAAGCGACGGCTGGCGTAGATATTATCGTGGAACAAGTGTCGACTTCATTAACTCCCTGATCCTTCAAAGAGATCTCGGCTCTCTGTTCATCGTTCTCCGGTATTTCCGACTGCCGCTCGTTGCGTTCCCCGTCGAGCGTTTGCTCCACGAACGCGGCATCAGGTGGATTTCGCAAGTCACTCGGTTCGTCCTCTTTAGATGTCGCAGGATCTTCTCTGTCGCACGCGTCTTGCTCGTCTGTTCGATCGAAATTTACCTCGGCCGAAACATTCGATTCCGCGGCAGGCGCAGTCTCTTCTCTATCTTTGTGATCGATCGTGGCTGATGAAACTTGCTGCTGATATACAATCTCCTGATTCACGGCAGAGTCTGAATCACCTTTCGCCGAGTCGTCGATTTCATCACCGCGCTCGATCGTAGCGAGCGCGGATTCTTTTACCGTTTCCGTATTTTTCGGCTCGTTGGGCGAATCTGTAGATTCGACGTTTAATTTCGGACTTGCGACTTTGGCGGGTTCTTCATCCGAGATCTCCTTCGGGTTTGCAACTTCGGCATCGGATTTATCTTTCTCCGGGGAGACAGCGCGAGGAAGATGCGAATCGTCTTCCACTGGATGTTTCGTCGAGGCTTCATTGTCTTCAACGTAGCTCGTAGAACATTGATCTTCTAGATCGTGAATTTTCTCGTTCGTTATTTTAGGCGAACACGATCGTGCCCTCTCATCGAGTTTAATTGCACCGGATTCGTCTTCATCGAACTGACGAGATTCTCGCTTTTGTTCATCGTTACTTTGCATATTCAACGACGCGTCAAGTATGCTTACCGGCTTGTCGCTGATCTCTGCTGACGTAACGTTCTGATTATTATACTCATTTTCCTGCCTATTGCATAAAGCGGCGTCCGATTGTTCACACCGCGAATCGTCGTTCCGAATCGAACGTAGATCGTCGATGTAGCTGCACGTAGTTGCGTGACGCGACGCTGGCTCGTTCGTCACGTCGCAATTCGTCTTACGATTGCCGCTGTCGGAAGTGTCTTGCTCCGCGGGCAGGAACGGGAAGGGATCCAATCCGCGTTTCTGCGCGGTGAAGATCTCGCTGAAGTTCAGCTCTCTTTTACCGCTGTTTCTCCTGTCGATGTGAGAGGAGTACGACTTAACCGACTCCATCGTCTCCTCCCAACACGCGGCTCTGGGCTCCAGAAATAAATTCGACTCGAACACGGAGCTTTCGTTGTATCCTTTCTCGTACTCGAGATTTTCCGCGAACACTTTCGTCTTGCAGTGCTTAATGACGGTCGCGGATTCGTTGTCCGGATTGTATTGCTTCTCGAGAAAGTCCAGATCCACGATATTCCTCTTGCTGGCCTCCTTGCTCTCCTGTTCGCTCTTGCTCGCGTACAACTTGTCCGCGTCGTCGTTGAAGAACTCTAAATGCGACGTATCGCGGGTTTTCGCGCAGTTGGCGTTTTTGTGAACGGCATTATTATTCGACGAATAATCGACGTGCTTCGCGGCGGGCTTGGCCTCCGCGGATTCGATCTCCCTCTTCCGACCGGTGACGTCGCGATTTCTCTTGAACACCTTCCGTAACTTGGAGCAATTGTAATAATCGTACGACGGAGATCTCGCGCAATATGATTCGCGGGCTTGATTACCGTAACCATCCTTCGCGCGGGCCTCCACAAGTAGCTCGCGATACGTGCGAGGATTAGGACTGTAAGTTATCTTTCCGTCTTTGGTGGTGTACACAGGAACTGTATTTCGATTCTCCAGCTCGTCCGCGAAGAAGGTCGGGTTCACGTAACCGCTGCTGTTTCCGTACAGATCGAAGTTGCCGAATCTACCGTCGTCTCTCTTTGGTCTCTTCCATCTGTCGGCGGCACGCCTGTCGCCGGCGTCCTTGTTTTCATTCGGCGCGACGTCAAAGTGATTGTAATCAAGATGCGCGGGATGATCGTAATTGGCATCCTCCATGCTGGGCTCCACCGTGCCCGAAGAAGTCGACGGGATGACGTTTAATTTAGACGCGGCATCGTCTTCAAAATTTTTCGCGCTCCTGCACGAAGAAGCGACGGCTGTTTCCTGATGCTCCTTCTTCGGCACGATGACACTCTTCGCGCCTAAATACGGCGAATTATCCGAAGAGGCTTTCAATTCCTCGTCGCAGAAGCTGGTAGCCGCGACCTTCCTTTCCGCATCTTGCACGCTTCTCCTTCTGACCGTCGCCTGCTCCGATCGTGAAGTTTTCAAGCCGCTCGATGCCAGCTCAGACTCGGTATTAACGTTACCTGAAAGAGTAGCATCGTCTCGTAAGATCACATCGCAACTAGGCGGTTCTGTACAATTTGAAAACATACCGCTATCTTCGTATACGTCACTAATCAATTCTTGCTCCGACAATGAACTTCGCCGTTTCTTCGAGGCAAGCGCCTCGCCGCTCGTATCGTCCTTGCATGCGGCCGCCGACTTGAGGGCGTCGTTGTGATCTTCGTGAGCTTCATTATGCGCAGACACTTCCGGGCCGGCGGACGGTGGTCGACTACTGCGCTTCTCGTAATCCCGGCGATCCGCTTTGTCGCAGATCATCTTCTTGTCGCACTGAATCTCCGATATACTCATCGAATTCGATCGTGCCCCGTTCGAGATCGAACTAGTCAAGTGGCCGATCGTCTCGGCGACGGCATTCTTGATGTTCTCGTGCAGCAGCTTCTCCGTTGTGTTCCGCTCCGTGCACGACACGTTTATCTCAATTTTGATTCCGTCGAGGGAACCGCCGCTCTTCGTCTCCTCCCTCGAATGCTGCGAGCCCTTCTGGTGATCGTCATCCTTGAGCTTCAGATTGACGTTCGTAACTTGAATGGCGAAGTCGGGGTTCATATTATTAGTCACGAACGTCTTCAAGATGTTCGCGCGCTTCCCGTCCTGCTCCTCGGACGATTTAGATCTCGTCACGTCCTTCTGGCACAGCTGATTGTCGCACGGCGACGGTTCGTCGGGATTCGATGAACGATGAAATTTCTTATTCGCCGCATAATCGGTGGCCTCCAGCGCGTCCTTGCCCTTGTCGTAGACATCGCTGACGCCGAGCGACTTGTACTTTATTCTTCTGTACTCCTTCAGAAGCCGCATCCTTTCCGCGCTGTCGACGATACTAACGTTCTCGATCACTCTCGGTTTGTTAGGCGCGCTGTTGGATCCCTTGGGATTTTCATTACAGGATCTGTCCTTGTGCGTCGCCGCATCTTGAGTATGTTTATTGTGATGCACGATGGTCTCGCCGCACCTCTCCGCCGTGTTCTCCAACAAGTATCTCTTCTTACGAGAGATCGCCTGGTCGCTCGAGATCGACTTCCTGTGATCCGCGTGCCTCGCGTGCCGTGAGCTCTTCGGGTCCGTCGCGTCGATTCTCGCCGGCCTGTTACCGCCGGCGGCGCTCTTCTCCGCGGCAGAGTCCTCGTTCGCGAACGAGGATTTCCGCAACTTCTCGCCACCCAGATGCCTCGCGCCATGTGATGCCGGTGAATTACCTTTAACAACCTGCGTCACGCAACTGTCCTCTGCTGTCCTGGAACTCCTCGGCGCGACGTCGTTCGTCGGTGACGAGCTCGCTCTATTCGTTGACGTCTGACGGGTCATTTCGGTCGAGGAGACGCGTCTCCTTCCGGCATAGTTAACACCATCCTGACCGTCGTCCAATTCAACGGGGTCGGAATTGTTCGTGACATTCTGCGATGCGTTATCGATTTTCGCCGAGTCACCGTACCGCGACGCGGCTTTTGCATTCGTTTCTGCCTGCGACTTGTTATGTGCATCCGGATTCGCTGCTGCTTGAGATTCATTAGCGCGGCGGTCGCTCGTTAAATTTTTATAAGCCTGCACCGTTTTATTCTGCGCTCCCGTTGACACGATCTTTAATTCATACTCGCCGGAGGTCAGAGTCATGCGCATGCTAGCGGTGGCCTCCACAGTTTCCGTTTCGTTGTCGGGCGCGAATATCTTCTCGCTGTTGTTTGCCGAAGCGGAAGCTCCATTTAGATTCGCGCGCTCCTTGCCACTTTTCGCGGACGTCACAGATCCGTTCTTATCGGCACTCGCGGAAAATTCAAATGTATTGAGAATAGCATCGTGACCGAGCAGGTTGTTATCGCCGCCGTTGTTTTTGAAGCGGTTCTCCGTCTGATATTCATTTCCGTCTAACGAATCGGCAGGTTTATTACGGACGGTTTCCTCACCGCTCAGATGATCGTAGGGCTCTGCCTTCGTCGGCGACTGCGTGAAACTGATCATGGGGCTGTTCTGCATAATCTCGATCGGATTTGTCGGTATCGTGAGGTCCTCGACGTGCTCCGATGACTCCTCGTTGTCGGAGTGAATCGGCGTGTTAAGCGTGGTGGAGATCGGGGTGCACTCGGACGTGGGCAAGTCCGGCAGGCTTATATCGTCCGGATTATGAGATTCCTCGCTCGCGAAACTGCTCTGCTTCTTCAAATTCGCGTCTCGGGCGGAGTCCTTCGCGGACGTGGGCAGGACAGCGACCACCTGGTCGTTTACTCGCGACGTTTGCGGCGTACTCTCGACCGTTTTAGGCGGGGCAGGATCGCCTTCGACGACGTTGCTCAGATTTCCAAGATCGTTTCCATCGTACTCGGTCGACGCGGTCGGCTCGGTCGCACTGTCGTCGGTCTTCTTGAACTTGTCAGCCTCGAGGGTTATCGTGGCCGCCGCGACTTCCGTTCCCTCTTGGAAGAACGACACCGCGTCCGGCCGCCCCAGAGTCTCGGTCACTTGACCGTTGGTGACCTGCAAAATACTACCTATCTCCAGATTGTCGACTATGTGTATCGTCGGTACCTCGTCGGGCCCGTTGCTTATGCACTGTATGATGTGGCTGCCCGGCCGCACGATAGCCTCCTTCGCGATGTCCTTGCACGCCGGGTCCTTCGCGATCTCGATGTTCTCCGCGGTCGAGTACGATATCGTCAGGCAGTCCTGCGCCGGCACCACGCCGACGTCGCTCTTCTCTCGATTCTCGAACGTAATCACTCCCGGAGCGATCGCCTCCGGCTTGGAGACCTCCAGACCCGCCAACGTCTTCGCCGAGAGATCCACGTTCTCGTAGCCCACGACCACCACCGGTGTCGAGTCGCTCAGAACGGCGCCCGGCAAGCCGGCGCCCGCGCCGTCCTCGTCCTCCGACTCGTCCCAATTTGCGAGAAACTGCCGCACATCGAGCTCCGGCTTGTCGGCGAACTCCTTGGACATTTTCTGCTGCATAACTGCCGCGTTGCTCGCGTTCCCGGCTAGATTGTTGAAGCTCTCGCCTCCCGCCTTCTGGGCCTCGTACTGATTTTGATGATCGAGGCTCTTCTGCGCGGGGTATCGGCCCTGCTTCTGCATGCTTTCCGCGCACAACGCGGTCGCGTGATGGCCGTCGTGTTGCTGCGAGATCAATTGCTCCGGCTTCTGAACGTTGCGACTCGCCATCTCGGGAACGCCGTTGCCGTCCTGCTTGCCCTGCTTATCCACCGGACCGTCCACCGGCGCCGCCTGAGAATTCACCTGCCCCGCTTGTTGCACCCTGGGGAAAGCCGCGGGCATGTAATTCGAATTGATTAAAACGCCATTCTGATCGAACTGCAAGTTTATCGGCGGCATGGCGGAGGTGTTAACGGCAGTCGTCGACGTGGCGGCGCACGGTGTCTGCTGTATCGGTCCCTGATACGCGGATTGCTGCATTTTCACTATTTCTCTATACCTATGAAAATATTCCTTATATTTGGGATGCGACTGGTACCCGGGTATGGTCCTCTCCAGCTCCCTCAGATGATTCTCCATCGAGAATCTCTGCATCGCCATCTTCTGCTGTTGTATCTGATACCGCAAATGGGCGGGAGGAGCGTGCATGGCCGCGGATGTTTGCATCCTGTTCACCATGGACGCGTTGTCGGCGACCTCCTGACAGTCGTGCGACGCGTCGGTCGGCAGATTCCGCGGGTACTGCGAATTGAAGTAGGCATTCTGCGCTGGTGGCATCATACTCGGGTTCGGAACACTCGTGGACGGCATGTTGGTATTCGGCATAATAACGCCGCCGGTCTGATACGACACCTGCTTGCTGTTGTACTTCTGCTGGGGCATCGTGAAGCCCTGCTCCGGGTGTTTAACCATACCCTGACTCGGGACGTTCATGCCGCTCATCTTGGAGTAGTCTTTAACGTTGTACGGATACTTTTGGTACTCCCCCGCGTAATTGTAGTTTTGCATGGTGTAGTTCTGCAACATGCTCGAGGCGGACGGGTAGCCGCGGGAGAGCAGGCGGTCCTTGCGGTACTTAAAATCGGAAAAGTTCCTCCGGTGATCCGCATTGGGCCCGTTAGACGGTGGCACCATAGGCGACAGAGCCTCCTTGCCGTCGAAATTGTCCTTCCTGAAGTTGTACTCGTTCCCGAATCGCCGTGCGTCCGTTGTTTGATATCCGGTGGACGTGCGAACGTTCTCCCTGTAAGTCGCGTTGTTCTGGTAGGAGCAGTACTTCTCCCACTGCTGCTGATAGCTCATGTTGGGATCCGGATTGCAGCAATATCCCTTGCAAGGAACGAAGGACGACGGCTGGCCCGCCGTTCTGCTGGCGGCATGCGAGTTCACGTTCGTGTTTCGCGGTCCTATCGGCGCGTGCGACGCATTCATATTCATCACGTTCGGTCCATTCAGATGATGCGAGATGGGCCCGTTTAAAGGCACCTGATTGTTTCTGTAGCCCAACTCCTCGTTCATACCGCCTATCGCGGCGTTCCTCGGGTCCATAGGCCCATTCAGATTGTCCACCATGGGATTTCTCGTATTCGACGTAGGCCCGTAATGGCCAATGCAATTCTGCATCTGCACCATCGACGCCAGGGGATTGTTGTCGGCGGCATTGTGACCGTGCGAGATGTTGCCCGGCAGATGCGGCTGATGCTGAAAGTGCCTCGGATGATTGAAATTCGGGTCGTTCTGATGTTTCTCGAGGCCCTCTCCCGTGCTGAGATTCAGGCCGTTCAGCTGCGTCGGGCAGGTCGGACTAATACTGGAGATAAACGGCAAGTGTCCCGAATTGACATTTTGAGCGGTCGATGTTACGTCGTTTATTCCTGATTGCGGGGGATTATACTGATGCCAATCTGGCATATTTCCACTGTAGTTCATTGTACATTGTTTTGATATTATTTTCCTGTGATTACATCGTTCTCCTCGCTCACGGAGATCTGTCCAAGTGTTAGGAGCAGGGGCGCTACCTAAGGAGAAAAGACTGGGTGTTATTTGCTACGCGATTATGAAGAAACCATACCTAACATTACTGTACATTACTGTATATGCTTATTACATTACATAACTGTAATTATTACATTACTGTAAATTACTGTTATTTTTGATAACATAAATGTGAACGTCTTGGTCATGCTTATGCAATCGAGCAGAATGTGTACTCTCAATGCGTCAGATTTCCATACTATATTTACTTTTTTTTTTAATATAATGTATTATAATATAAGAATAATTATCCTTATTTAAATAAAATAACTTGAATTCAGGATGCAAAAAGACTAAGTTCTGACGAAAGTCAAAAGATTAAGTTTTGAACTCTTAAGTACAAGGGATACGTTATATTTATTTATAGATTACCTCTCACAAACGGGTGAGGATCAAATATTTCGTTCTCAATTTAATCCAAGATTCAAGTCTGATATCTAACAATGCATCTTTATTATTTGGGGGAACTTATCGAGAGCCAAAGAGTGCAGTGTGCGATTACGCGTACGCGTTGCTTCGACTATTTAGAGAATTGCGATGTTATATCCACCACTACGAGCGCGAAGGGGTTATAACACGCGTAACACAGGTATGACCTAGATACATATGCCTGGATACTTCTTTGACATCTTTGGCATATAAACCACGCACACGCACGTACGCACGCACACACATGCGCCCCTCGAGCATGGCCGTGCGCGCGTGCCGACGGAATACAAATGAATCGAAATAATAATCCTCGCGGGGGAGGCGAGATTCCGCTACGCGAAACCGGACCGCGGAGGAAGCCAAGAGAGAGAGAGAGAGAGAGAGAGCGCGGCCGTCGAGGGTGCCCGTGGTTGCCCGCGAGAGACCCGGGCCGTGTGCCTCGCGCCTCGGCGTTGAAGCGCGCACTAAACAGGTGACACCATATTTACCGTGGTTGTGGCCATTGTTGGCCAACCCTACCACTCAGGGGCCCCCCCCCGCGGCGCGAGCGCGCGTGTTACGTACCACCGCGCGTCCACCGCCCCCGTTTCTCGCGGCTATCCTCGCGGGTGTCCGCGAGTGTCTTATTTACACCCGCGGATATCGGGGAAAAAAAACGAAAAAAAACCGCGCATCTTGCCGCACGCGGGGCCTTGAAGGTACTACATCGACAAACACAAACGCGCACGTACACACACACACGTATGTACACTCACACACACATACGCGCGCATGCGAGCCTGTGGCGACGGACTTGTCGCGTCGTCGCTCGCTCGAAGTTTGGACGCGCGCGATCGCGATCGCGACGGCGGCGACGGCGATGACGAGGACGAAAACGCGGTACGCGGCACCGCGATCGTCGAGATCGGCCGCGAGCGGTGCCCCGCGCCAGGCGAAACGGCTCACGGCTCCCCAGGACTTACCTGCACGTTAACATCGCTCACAACACGCACGCCATATTGGACACGACTGCTCGGCGGAAAAAAAAGGAGGAAAAACAGTACGCGCGCCATCTGCCGCTGGAGGCGCGCACTAAATATGTGTATAGGTCGTATATGGGTGTGTGTGTGTGCGTGCGTCCACACCTGCTGGTGCTGTTTTGCACATGGGTCACTCAGGGGTGTGCATGCATGCGAATGTATGCGCGTGTGACGAACGCTCGTGAAAAGTACGATGCTAATCGCCTTACGGCCTATGCTTAATATAATCGTGCCGAGTGCCGTTGACTCGTCGCGTCAAAGCATACTGCGTCAAAACGTACTGCCTGCGGTAGGCGCGAAAAAAACCTCTCGTTACAAGGCGCGCGACGGCGGAACGACGAGGAAGTTTCCGCTGAAACCTGATTTTGACACGTGTACTAATGACTCGGATGTACGACAGCGATCTCCCTGTGTATACAGCGTGAGATCACCTTGGTTTTTTAAATACTCGAGGATACTTTGATGTTTTTTTTTTTTACTGTCATTCCTCAGAATCGTTGCAGCACGAACGTAACGTGTTTTTTTTTTTTTTGCGAGTTTTTTTTATAACGTTCTATAAAGCGCGTATAAAATAATATATCCGAACGTTTTCTCATGTTTACTAACGTGTGGAAAAATATCTGGTTTTGTACAAATTCAATTTATTACAGAGATACATGTACGGCTGTATAATAATTTATAATTTATATTAAAAGTTTATGTACAATGTCTATTATTGCTTGTATTTGAGACAAAAGATATCTGTAGCCCTTACTGTTACCTTTTCAATTCATTGTCACTAAAAATATGAGTGAGGATTTCAGGCTCTGAAAATTATTCGCATAAAAAATAGGAGACTATTACCTATTCAAAGAGAATATATACATACGCGTATGCCTAAATTATACTTGGTTACTATACTTGGTTGTTGAAAGTCTAATTTAAAAGGAATAATTTTTTTTCATAAATAAAGATGCTTTAAGGATTAATCATAGAAGAGTAAATTATAAATGTCATTAACGCGTGATTGAATATCTTGTCACTGCAAAGTGTGTATTGACGATTCTCAAATGTAAAAATGTAGACTACTTGTAAGAGAAAGCATTTTCCTAGTTTCCTATAAACAACGACCCTCGATATTGTTCATCCTCTCTGATGTTTCTCAAGGGTTTAAATTCAATTTGACAGCTTCTTGTCGTATCACAGAGATGAGTTCTTGGTTTATTAAAAATATGAACCTCAGTCCTGCAATCTGTAAAAAAAAGCAGAAAGCGCGATTAAAAATCACTTTTTAAATAAAAATAACACTATTTAAACTATACAAATTTTTAATTCTGTTGTACTTTACTCAGTAATTATGATTATATAATAATTTATGTAATAATTACCTCGATTACACTATTGTTATTCAGTTTCATCTTATTGCCAGCCAAAATTGGTCTGCTGTCCACAAAGATCGGCCGTTTTCCCTCGGACGACAGAAAGAAGTCTCCGTTATTCCTTAAACGGATGGTACCTTGTCGACGCGAAACCTTCCACGCTGGACCTTCCAAACCGAGATCCACGTCGACAGTGTGATCCTTTGTGGAACGTCCCACGCTTATCTGAACAGAGATAACAAAAGAATATGATATATAAATCTTTTAAAATAAGACAGTTGATATCAAAGTGTTTTTGTCTTATTGAATTTTGTCTTATTGAAAATAAGACAAAAATAAAACTGTTGCGCGTGAATAATTAATAACAAATAACCGTGCCCGCTTCTTACCTCTCTAGATCGCATGAGATATCGGACGAGCCGTCCCCTTAGAATGGCTAAGGTTTGATTATCAAACTCCGGGGGATTGACACCTGTGACACTGTCGACAAGCACCTGCCATCTGCTGAGCTCGTTTTCCAATACTTTAATCTCCCTCTTGTTCTTCCTGTCCGCCGTTGACAATTCAGCGTCCACTAATTCGTCCTTCGGCTCCATCAGTTCGGTATCGTTGATCATATCCTCGGCGTCCGAAAAGCTCAATACGTGTTCACCTCGCGGTAAACTCTGCACCGTCTGATCCGGTAACAGGTGATACTGTTTCATCAGCTGCCAGTGACTGTGCAACGCTTTCGCGGTCCTAGCTGGATAAAACGTATGCGCGTTTGCCTCGAGCAATTCTTGAAACACTTCCAGAGTCGGTTGAGAGGTCTAAAAAGTAAAAGAGATTATATAACTGAATTTAAATGACTACTTGTAATAATGCAGTTTATGTAAAAAAGGCTAACTTGGCGACAAAATAGATTATATTCAGCCTTTCTACAAAAACACTTGTCATTTGGAATCCGTTGATGCTCACCGATTTAATGGTCCCTAAGAGATCCTCCTCAGCTTTACTGTACAAGGTTCTCGCTTGAATACTGGCTATTAGCTCGGGATGCAAATTACGCATAGCTTGCACGGCTACACGCGACACCGCGCTGTCGTACAACAACGCATACCACCTCTGCTGTATTTCCTGCAGCGTGAAGCGACAGGAAAACTTTGTACCTCGATGGACCTTAAACGAACGATAAGAATTATTATAAATGTATTATACTCTTTTCAATTGATGCCGAAGGAAAAAGAATTAGAAGCAAAAAGAAAAGAAAAAGGATGAACCGGGGTACCATTCTCAAATCATTCGTCTGCTGCACGCCAGTGATCAGCGCCAAGTCGTCAGCGGGTTTCCATCGTCCGAGGTCTTTGGTCGCGTTGATCGAGTGGGAGTGATTCTTACTCTTCTTATTCTTTCGTCCGGGATTCGAGCCGCTCGGCCTGCTGGGTCGACGATTGCATCTGTCCGACTGCGCCAGGGTGGTCGGGATCGGTATCGGCGTAGGCAGCGTCTGCGTCGGCAGGACGTCCATCGGCCCGGCGGTCACGGAAATCGTTCGCGATTTCGACGTCGACTTCGCGCTCGTCGCGGGCGGTTGCAGGTTGAACGTCGTCTCCACCACCTCATCGTCAAACTTCTTGCGTTTTATTGTGCGGGAGGAACTTCGGGGGCAGAGAAAAAAAGACAATAATAAGTGGAAACAGATCAATCGAAAGGTTATTAATCAATCGTAAGAAAAGCTACGGATTTTACGGATCTTTGTGTCTTGAAACATCGTTAAATGTTTTTTTTTATAATTGAACACTGTTAATACAAACTCTCTGTATTTAAAGCGAAATGAATATACGTTTGAAATTTGGCAAAAGCGAGAAGAAAATAACGCAGTTCAGCGATAAAGAAAAACCAAACCTTGTCAGCGACAGAAGTGCTCCGTTTACAACGCGCCTAACCTCTCCCGGGTTAACGAACTACTTGACACCCTCCTACCTTCTCCTTTTCGTCGATAAAGCATCCAGAGCTGACGATCCGAGGGGAATACTCAGGAAGCCGTCTGTACTGTGCGCGAGTCCGCTGTGGTTGAGGTTAGTCGGAGTCGGTAAATCCATAACGTTTTTTTTTTCAGCGAGGCAAAGGCGGTGATCGTCGAACCATAACACGCGTCGCTCGCTCTTAGCCTTGGTCCTCCGCGCGATTCGCGTCCCAATCGCGTTGTGTTAAATCCACACAATTAACTAAGTCTCCCGGATGCAAAATATCAACCCACTCGGCTAATTTGACGCGAAGTAAGTCGTAGAAAGGTAGACGCGGACTGTAGTGATACTGAACGAGTAGTAGATATATCGAATCTCGAGCGGTGTCCTCGATATCGAGAATCGATTAGCCTCACAAATATCTCGATGTTTTCGTGGAATTTTTAAATGCGCTCCATCGAGCGTATGCAGATAAATAAATTAATAGAATGATCGAAACGGACAACGCGATGAAAAAATGTTTCAACAGAAATATTTCAAGAGATATTTCTCGAAAACACCTGATATCTGCTAGACATATTTATATTTCAGAAATAGTTCGTGAAATATTTTCAAATATATATTTCAAATCTTGCATCGATAAATATATTTTGGAAATATTTTGGAAATATTTCAATTAAATATTTCGAAATATTTAAATATATATATTTTTTACATTTGTACAAGATTTCTAGAATATTTTTGTAAAATATTTTTATGTAACAATTGAAAATGTTTTGCAAATGTTTACGAAATATTTCGAAATATTTAATTGGAATAGGTTTCAAAAAAATGCAGACTTACAATAAATAAATTTCATATGCCGTGCGGGCGGATAGAGAGATCGCGTGGATCCCTCTCGATCGGTCGCCGCGCATGCGCAGCAGGCGCCGCCTCGCGCGAGCGATCGGATCACGCTGGCACGCTGCTTCCTTCGTGCCCGCCTCAGCAGTATGGCCCGCTCGATTCCGGTTGTGCTCGTTGTCACCACGTTGTTCGCGCGGCAGGCTCACCGTACACCCGCAGGCACGACGCACGGCGAATAATCCACCGGCAGCCATGGACGAGGAATGGGGTACGTAAGCGCGCGGGCGTGCGGGACGCGCTGATCGCCGTTCCTCGACCGCGGAAATATGCTCGGGGACGGGCGAGATTCGCCTCCGCCACCCGCGAGGGGCGAGTGAGACTGACTTTTTAACCTCCACTCCTTTTGCTGCGCTGTGCTTGCAGATGTGGACAACGTCGAGGGGAAATTCGACCTCGCGATGAGATCGAACAAGTGGGAGGGCGAGGACGAGGAGGAGGAAGTCAAGGTAAATGCGATTCTCCCGTCGCGCGCCCGCCGCCCCCCGCGTGCGATTCCGCGTGCGGTTCGGTTCCGCGTACATAACCTGTAACGAGCCACATGTGTCTGACCCACACCTGCCCGCCTCTCTTTCTCTCTCTCTCTCGTGTCGTGTGTCGATTGAAAAAGGCTTCTCTCGCGTCTTCGACGCGGAACCGGGGGCCGCCCTGCGATTGCACGCGGTCGCGCGAAAGAAGGGCGAATGCATGGTATGACTCACGGGAGATAAAGGTATAAAAAACCAAAAAGAAATTACTCATGGGTTTGTTCAAACTGTTCTTCTTATATATTCACTTGCTTAATATATCCAATAGAAATACTTGTATGCCTCTTGCTTTGCATATTTCTTGTGTTTGGTAAAGTCGATTGTATATAAAAATAAATAACTAACGTATTTGAAAATTTTTATACGGAGTAATTCCTTCGTTTTGCAGTCATTATTGGCATATATTTCAATGTATTTACTATTGTTAAATTTTTGCGCGAGGCATATTCGATCATTTTGTATGAAATTCAATAATTTATGAATGACAGTTTCTCCTTGCCATCGGTTGTTAATTTTACTTGAATTTGTCTCAATCGTTATCATATGTCTATCAGATCTTTATCAACTGTTACACGGTGTAAGATATTTATGCATAGGTTAAAAGATACATTAAATAGCCAAATTTTATTACACGAAAATGGCGCAACGCCATTTTCTGTATTTGTAATGTTTAACGAAATCCCGCTCTACTTATTTATACATATTAAATAACCTAACAGGACAGCTGGGAAGATGTGGAGGAGGAGAAGAAGGATGTAGAGAAACCAGCGGAAGCTCCAAAGGCGAAGGCGAAACCTAAAAAAGCCCTGGCTGAAAGAATCGAGGAACGCGAGGTTCGTTTCGACTTAAGCTGTTTAACGCCATCTCTATTTTGTACAGTTTTTCTCATATTTATATATGTAAAAATTCAGAAGAAGGCAAGGGAGGAGGCTGAGCAGAAAGCGAAAGAAAAGGAGGAAGCCCTTACACCGGAAGAAAGGCGAACCGAATTGTTGAGGCGTCAGAGGTTGCAAGAGGAGGCGGACCTACGATTGGCGATGGAAACTTTCGGTTTGTCGACTCTAGTAGACTTTAGTGATCGTAAAACACATAAAAGAGATAAGAAATGACTTTTTATTTTTAATGAGTGATCTGACTGTTTTATACGGTGAATCGATAACTTTTAATGCTAACGTAATTTTTATCTGTTGTCTGAAATGGAGATCTCTTTTTTTTTGTCTTTCTTTTTGGAGTTACATTAGGCATCAGACGCTTCATTTGCAAAAAGATGGAGAATTCTTCGATAATATATATTCTCATCTTTTTATCACTTTTACTAAAGTGTTTCGTAGGCGCACATTGTCATTATAATGTTTTACTCGACTGAAAAATTATACTTTTTAAATACGCATGGAACAACGTATAAGCATTTTTGCTTTGTGACAATGATAACACCTATTGCTTTTATATAAGTGTGACGTTTGACGAATTGAAAAGAAACATTAATGTTTAACTAATTTATTTAAATTGTGCCGATAACACAAGATCATTTGTTATAAGTTAAATTAAAATCGTACAGTATTATACAAGCAGAAAAATCTATTAAAAAAAAGAAAAAAAAAGAAAAAAACTAAATACAATACACATACACACGTACATCACGTACACATGGAACATGTACATATGGCTTTCTTGATATTTTTTATTAACATTAATTTAAGATACTGTGGCATAATAGCTTTACATGTAATTGTAATTATTATAGCCACGCTAGATTTATATAATTGATTTACGATAAGAACTGGCATCAAACAGGGGCAGACAGACAGAAAGAGAATATATATACAAGCATTTAAAACTTATTACAAACTCTACATTTAAATTTATTACTGATGTTGTTGTATTTTAATAAAAGTTGCTATTCTATGCAATTCGTTGTGTTTGCATCAGTCTTTGTAACCTTGTCTCTCATCTGTTATCTGTCTCCTGTACCGTTCCTGATCGATTCTTTTGATGCGTATATTGTAATCATGCAATAGAACATGCAAAATTTGTCAATTATAATGTCATACATAAAATTTTTACATCTCAAAAAATGTAATATTACAATTAAACAAAAGCAAGCATTTTTTTTCTACAGTTTCATAAACTTTATTATTATTACATGACTTATCAGATTTTTCACAAGATACGCTTAATAAATCTAACGTGATTTAAACTGACTCGATGTCTTAAAAGATATTACTTATATTATTTGATGAAGCACTCTTAGCATTGTGTGTGTACGCGTGTTGTTACATGACAATTTTATGTTGCAGGTGTGCCAGAACGATCAGAATCGTCAAACGAATCGCTCGATGCTATGGTACCCGATACGAAAGAGGAATTCGAGCAATTTGGTGCGGCGCTATCGCAAAAAATTAATCAATTTAACAAACACGCGGAGTTCCCACCCTTTGCAGAAGAACTTATAAAATCCATCGCTCTTAATTGTTAGTATCTATATATCCGTCGATCGATATTTTGACACAACGATGTCACTTTACGTCAATAACTCGAGATTATTATTTGGAAATGTCTCTTTGTGTTCCAGTATCGTCCCATTACTTGAAAAAAGTGAAAAATATAGTCGATAACTTACTTATCGAGAAGCAGAAGATGGAGAAGGGCGACAAGGCGAAAAAGAGCAAGGGGAAGGGAAAGGCCAAGCTCAAAATCGAGGGTGACAACACCCTGTTGAGCGAATACGGTGATTATGTATATGACGAGTTTAACGATTTTATGTAGCGACTTTTCACACATTCACACATTCTAGTCGCCTAAATACACGCAGAAGAAATATTGATTTGCAGAATTTATACAGAAACTTTATATTTGTATTGTCTGCATATTGAATTGTAAACAAAATGTACAACGGTTTAATCTTATGATTCATGGATATCACACGTGACAGGATGAGAAACAAGGGGGAAAAAAATAGAAGTGAAAGCTAGCATAATATTATCGGCGGAAATGCTTAAGGAAGAAAATACGAACACTTTCCGACAACCGCGCGGTTGGGTGTCGCATTCACGCGCGGAATAGACGTTCTCACTGTTGATTTTCGTCGGATTTTTATCCGCGCACGTCGTTCGGACAGATCTTCAATTTTGATGTTGTCAGTAACGATTTTAGCTAAAAAAAAAAAAAAAAAGAGGAAGGGTAGTTGCGCGATGTACGCGCGATTCTAACTTATTGATTGTGCATACACACACATTAACATCGGGACAGCGAAGGATTAGAGCTACATTTAACGTCTTTGAGTTGTAACGCATCTTAATCTGTTATATAAAAAAAAAAGGCAGGAACTCTTTCCCATCTTTATATAGCTGCGTCACCGCAGACTAAAATCGTGTAATTATATTGTGGAAGTTTTATATAACACAGCTTATATATTCATAATGCATACACACACAAAAAACACTCACACACATAGACTACGTACTTTTATTGAAAGATCGATTAGAAGTTGGTTTTGAAAAGAGTATATTCCTAAATAAAGGTTGATTATAAATTATCCGTCTCTACAATTTTTGCTTATAGTTTATATAATTGATTGTACATTTTACTGCAGAAAAGAGAAAGAGAGGGAGGGAGAAAGTATCTTTTGTATTTTGTTTCAACTGTGCGTTTCTCCATTTGTAAATGGTGTTACACATCTTTCGGCTGTTGATAAAAAATTGTTTACATCGCTCACAATCAGCCTAGAGAAGTTAACGCATGTGCGTTGCTAAACGCGCGCAGGAACGGGCGATATATTGTAAAATCGGGGCGGGGATAGTCGCGAAAATAATGTTCATATAACTCATGTAAACGACGCAGCATTAAATATCTCGATCGTCAGGAAGATTATTTTGCAGGCCGGGTGAGAGCCGAGAGGCTCTCGCGGACAATTCCTGAGATCGCCCTCAGATATTTACCGCTGCGCGGTGAAATTGATATTGGTTTTAATAAACATCATTCATTTGATTCTTCGTTTTTTTTTCTCTCGATATCTCGCAGCCTTGAATAGTTGAATTATCAGGTTCACTACGTATAACAGTTCCCTTCATGCCGTTTCCTTTTATTTTTTTTTTACATTGAAAAATCTTGATTTATTTAACTTGAAAAAGATAATTTATTCCAACTTGAGTGTAAAAATCATACAATCTCTCATTTCGGCGAGATAAGAGATATAATGTCTATTTATATTCGATTCTTTTGATTTAGCTGTATATAATATATATATGATAACAATGATAACATATGGATAGATTAAAAGTATAACCTATACTTCGCTATGCTTGTGGCAAAATTTCTCTTTGGCGTTTGCTCGCCAGTATTGTTACGGTAATGAGATCAGTAATTACGTGCACTTGCTGGTGAGTTTATACGTGTATTAACTTCGCCAATAAAAGCCGAGGCGGTTAAAAGAGACAATTGATTTATTAGCACACGTATGCGCTCATTATTCTAATTTAGCGAGTGACATAACCTCAAGGTTTCAAGGAATGCCAAATATTTTGCAGTGTATAAAAACATAATTGACATATTAATTCTGATTTACCGCAAAATAAATGAAACCATATTTTACTAAATAGAAGCTTTACTTCTTAAATTGTATTTAATATGTAATTAATGTTACAATGAGATTCAAAGTGAAAAGTTTGATTTACTGCTGGGACTGTTTGTGCTGTTTTTATTTCCTTTAATTCAGTCAAACAAAAAAATATATCAAATTTAAAAAATATCATATATTTTCACTTTTATTTCCATTGTATAGAATTGAAGTTTTTATTGTAATATATTCACTTTATTTCAATTTGTAAAAGAATTGAAGTTTTTAAATTTATATTTGCAGTCTGTGTGCCTGAGAAATATATGTGACTTTGTAATATAAATGCAAATATGAGAAGTGGAACAAACTGTTAGAAGTCTAACAGTCTCAAGTTTGCGTGTCCTGTCTCAAGTATTGCGAAAGGTTCCTCGGATTTAGGAGGAAATGGCGATGACCGTCGGTTCCCTGTTTCGCAATATAAACAGAGCGTTTTATTACTCCACCTCCAAGCATATCGCCAATTCCAACTCGGACACGACGGAGTCGCGTGATGACGCGAGTAGGGATGATTGGAGAGCGGAGCTGCGCGACACCATGAGAGTCCTGCCGAATTTTATCAGCGAGAACGAGGAGGACAGCCTGATGCAGGAGGTCGACCCCTACATGAAACGACTGCGCTACGAGTACTCGCACTGGGACAATGTCGGTAAAATGTCGAGTATTCCTGTGTTTTTTTTGGATCTTGCTTATGTCCTGAATTGGTCAATATTTTTGGATCCTTGCAGGTGATACACGGCTACAGGGAGACCGAATGGAGGAAGTGGAGCGAGGACAGCTCGCGGATTCTCGACAGAGTCCGTACGGTGGCATTCCCGCCCAAGACGATACACCTCTCGCTCGTGCACATATTAGATTTGGCTCCCGAGGGTTGGATAAAGCCGCATATTGACAGTGTCAGGGTATGTGTTATTTTTATCTTCAAGAGCATAAACGCGGTCTTTAGTTTCAGGATGAATTCCTATTTGATGTCAAATAGGAATTGATATGCAATAGCAATTGACTTGCTCAGCAATTAATTTGTCAAGTAATACCTGTACTTGCTTCGTTCTTTATAGTGTACTTATTTCATTAATTTGGATAGAAATTATCAAATTTTTGCTGTTAGAAGAAAATATTAGGGAAGCTAAATTCAAGCGATTTCTGCATGCCAGTTGAATTAATTGTCAATCAAATTAATTCTATTAAAGTCGCTCTTTTTAACACGCTATTTTACATAATTCTAATACGATTTCTTCGAAATATTTTACAGTTTTGCGGCGGCATCATTGCAGGATTGAGCTTGCTGAGCGACAGTGTAATGAGATTGGCAATGGAGGGACACGAAAAGGAACGTGTCGCGTGTTTTCTGCTGCCAAGGCGATCGTTGTACATCATGAGGTTGGATTTAGTCGTAATTGTCTTTTTTATGGCTCTCCTTTCATTCGATGATTTCATAAATCCGTGCATTTTTAGCGGCGTCGCGAGGTACAAGTACAATCACGAGATCCTCAAGTCCGACAAATCGTACTTTGAGGGACGACACGTACCGAAGGGCAGGCGTATCTCTATAATATGCAGAAGCGAAGCCGATCGCGAGGTTACTTAATCCACCCGATTACGTAATCTGGACATGACATTGTCGAAATACCTCTGTAAATATCTAAAATTTATTCTAGCTTTCAGCTAAAGCTGCAGGAACAAATAATTGTTAATAAAATATATTGTTTGAAATTCGAAGTATTCGAAGTATTCCGGAAACAAATGGAAAATTGACATTGAAACACGTCATTTATATTTGTATATGAATTTCACCTCTGTACGCGCGCAATTGTAATCGAAAATTCGTCGTTCGGACTTTCCCGCCAAGTTCGGACGGTCCACGTGACTTGGGGGCGGGCCGACAGATGGCGCTGCCGAGGCCGCCGAGATTCAATCGGCGTGGCGGCCGTCTACGGGATCGTCGCACGTCGATGGCGGGGGCCGTCGTACGAAACATGGCGTCTACGAGGTTATTGCTGTGAGTGCTGTTCCGTTTTTCTATTGTTAAATGCGGCATCGTCGCGCGGACTCCGGTCTGACGCGGTGCGTCGTGTCCTCGGGGCCGGCGAGGGCGTCCGCTTGAACCCCCGCCGTCACCCGGGTCTCGGGGGCCGCTAGTCGTAGGCGCGGTTAATCGCGGGCAGAGCGAGAAGAGAGAGAGAGAGAGAGACACACACACCAGGGGCCCCCGTCAACACACAGAGTGGGCGCTTGTGGGTATACACACCCTGACCAGCGCGGGATCCAGCGCGTTCCCGCTGAAATCCCGAGTTCCGTCGCCGTGCATGATCGCGGGATTCCTCGTCGCCGCGGCCTCGAGTTCACCGCTCCCGTGGGCCCGCCGTGCGTGCCCCAGGTAGGGCGAGCGGGGCCCCGTGCGCCGCCACCGCCGCCGCCGCTGCCGCCGTTGCGCTGCACACACGGACACGCGCCTCGGAATGCCGGTCCCCCCCGTGATGAGATTGTTTTTGTACACGGGGTGGTAGAGACGCGAGACGCTCGGGGAGATCAGATTTTAATCGCCCTCGGCCCCGCGGCCGCCGTCGCGAGACACGCTCGCACGTTCCTCCCCGCGATCTCCGATGGAAAGCGGCGCGGTGGCACCGACGTGGTCGACGCGTTGTTCGATTTCGCGGTCGCCGTAGCGAGACCCGCGACCGATCCCGAGCGCCGGCGTGGCCGACGGTGTTCCGGTGGCGCGGGAACGCGTGCCGCCGTCGAGGATGCGTCCATCGGAATAACACGACGGATAGTATACATAGCGTATGATCCCCGATGTATCCCCACCGTCGGGAGACAGCAAGGTAAACATTAGACACAGAATAGTAAGCGAAACAAGGTGAATATCATCCTGGCGCCTTTACCACCTCTCGTTGCGTGAACAAAGTAGCGAGATATCGTCGTGCACGCGGAGAGGGGACACGGGTGTGATATACGCTACAGAAGAGTGGAGTAAGAAGAGTGCTGAGCCATATGCCGCCAGCCGGGCTATCGGCGAGAGGCTTGTCTACCTTGATGGACCACGGACAACCGGATGCTCGTCATCGGAGCGAGCGTTTCCTACTCTACTCAGAGAATGGCTCCTCACATCCTCACAGTCCCAACACGGTCAATTCATCGCCACGGTATCAGTACAACAGCAGAACCAACAGTCATACCACTAGGTAAGAAGGGATAGGTCTTTCGGAGACCCCAGCACTGACTCTTGTATACTTTTGTATTGCATAATACAGACTTGAAATTTAAGAAAGTTGACCAATCATAATTGTAATCGGTTATTCATCTCACGTGGGAAAAATAATCGATTGTGATTGGTCAATTTTTTAAAATATTAAGTCTCATTGTAGACACCGCATAAAGACATGAGGTATAAAAGAATCAATCAATAAAAATATGAAACACAGAACTCTGATTGATTAATTATTTGCCTTGTGTCTTATGCGTTATGTAAAAGTCAATGCTCTCGTCCATATCTTTGGTAACGTCCTCATGCACTCGTGACAATTTCCTCTTGCAGTTACGGGTCCATATATGGACGTACGTCTAGCAACAATATGTCGGATAGCAGCGTTTCTGACACTCATAGCGGCGGAACTGCGAGAACTATCTCTCAACAGACTAGTCCATCCCACGGCACACATTCCTCTTCTCAGTCGCGGCAGGACAACAGCATCACCATCTTCACGGCCCTCTTCGATTACGTCGCTCAGGGTGAAGATGAATTATCTCTGCAGAGAGGGGAAACTGTTGAGGTGATTTACTTTCAGATATCACAGTAATTTTGCATTTTGTAGATTATTTTTGTATTTTTTTATTTTTCAAGCACGTAATAATTTTAATTAAATTTAAATTTAAATTAAATTAATATAAGTATGAAAATTATAAAATTATAAAATTGTAGTAGCATAAATATATCCCCGTGATAAATTATGATATATTACTATTATTATGATATCCTGCAACAGGTTTTGTCGAAGGACGCCAAAATCTCAGGCGACGAGGGATGGTGGACTGGGAAAATTCGTGGAAAAGTGGGAATTTTCCCGGCAAACTTCGTCGCGGAAGCAGAGAGCATCGACCGAGTTTCGTCGGTGATCGATAAAGTCCAGCCGATCGAGATCGACTTTGAGGAGTTGCAACTGGAAGAAGTTATAGGAGTCGGAGGATTTGGAAAAGTATACAGGTATATGTGCAAACCTGAAGTAAAATTGTGCTCCTAAAATGCCATCATTATGTCTTAAAAATGTTTCCTAGAAAGAATTTCAATATAATTGATTTTAAAGCGTCACAAATAATTTCAAGATACATACATATATAAATTTCTCCTCATATAAATTTATTTACCGTTTCCAGGGGCATTTGGAAAAAACGGGAGGTAGCTGTGAAAGCTGCGCGCCAGGATGCGGGCGAGGAACCTAGTGCAACATTAGAAAACGTACGGCAGGAAGCAAAACTGTTCTGGTTGTTGAAACACGAAAATATTGTGCAATTGGAGGGAGTGTGTTTGAAGATGCCCAATACGTGTCTTGTGATGGAATATGCTCGTGGCGGCAGTCTTAACAGAGTTCTCAGCGGCAGGAAAATCAGACCCGATGTGTTAGTCGATTGGGCGATACAGATTGCGAGAGGGATGGATTATCTTCACAACAAGGCACCCATAAGTCTTATTCACAGGGATCTGAAAAGTTCTAATGGTAAGATATATTTTAATATACTGATGACAATTATATTTGGTATTGAGATAAAATTACCGAAATCTGTATTATTTTTATTGTAAATAATTTTGTTTTTACATGAACAGTGTTACTGAGCGAGCCAATTGAAAATGACGACTTCCAGTACAAAACTCTGAAGATCACGGACTTCGGTTTGGCGAGGGAGGTCTACAAAACGACTCGTATGTCTGCGGCGGGCACGTACGCCTGGATGGCGCCGGAAGTTATTAAAAAGAGTACTTTCAGCAAAGCCAGTGACGTATGGAGGTCAGTTCCGATTGCCAGACTTATTATTGAAAAGATTGCAGTTATCATTTAAAGAAAATCTATTTCTTCTGATCGTTTTTTTTTCTTTGAATTGCGCTTGCTTTCCGCTAAAGTTTCTGAAATGTTTATTGATAGCTATGGCGTGCTACTGTGGGAACTTCTGACCGGGGAAACGCCGTACAAGGGCATCGATGCTCTGGCCGTAGCGTACGGTGTTGCCGTCAATAAGTTGACTCTACCTATCCCATCTACCTGTCCTCAACCATGGAGTGCTCTCATGATAGGTAAAAAGATTCGTAACATAAATAAGATCAAGATGTTCGTGGTAGACACTTCATATTTTTATTCGTGTCGATATGTACTTTTTTTCGGCATGGTGTGCACATTGTTTTTTTTAAATATATTTTTTACGAATACTCTTCCATTTTATCTTCTATTTTTGCAAAAATCACAATTATTTTGAGCTAATGTATTATCATAGTTATATACTTTTATTCTTTCTGAAATATCGTACGCGCGTTTTCGAGGAATGCAATGCTGAAAGTGATCATTTATACAGCGTGCTGGGCATCGGATAGTCATACTCGACCGGGATTCACGGAAATTTTACTCGCTTTGGACGAAGTGCGCAGTGCATTCGCGGCAACGCCACACGAATCCTTTCACACGATGCAGGAGGATTGGCGGCAGGAGATCGAACAAGTTCTGCATGGATTGCGCATGAAGGAAAAGGTACACGTGCCGTTTAGTATTACACGCTAATTATTTATACATTTGTATATTAAATCGTTTAACGTGCCATTTCCATATATAAACGGTCATAATTGTGTAAATCTTTGAATTTTATATATAAATTATATATATATATATATACGTGTATATATAAATATGCATAATGAATAACATTTCCAATCGTTATTTTGAATGCTTTGCAAAGGCATGCCGTTCTTTAGAAGAGGTAAGAAAACAAAAGAACTGTTTCAGATATCATTGTTAAACAAAAGAATTATATTTTTCTTTTTTTTTCGACTTTCTAGTAATTAAAAGTAGATTACCCTAAATTTGATGAAAGACTTAAATTAGCTGTTTTGAATAAGATTAAGTTTTTTGACATACTTTCTCTTGCTCACAAGGAGCTGCGCTGTAGAGAGGAGGAACTGACGAAGGCACAGGTGCAACAGAGACAGCACGAGGAAAATTTGAGGCAGCGGGAACAGGAATTGGCCGCGCGCGAGATAGCTATCTTGGAGAGGGAGCTCACCGTGATGATCATTCAACAGCAAAACACGCCTACGCCGAACAAGAGACGTGGGAAATTTAAGAAGTCGCGATTAAAGTTGAATAAGAAGGAACCTGGGAGCAACATTAGTGCTCCTTCGGGTAAGAGATCATCTATTTATCTTTCCTACACGTTTGTCATGCGCTTACAATCGACGGGTTTCTTACAAATATATTTTATCGAACACGTAACAACATTATATTCTCCGCGTGAAACATACATCGGAAATGGCGTACCGTGTATTAATTTCGAGGGACGTACTGTTTAGATTTTCGTCACACGATCACCGTTCAGGATACGGCCTTAGATCGAGGCAAAGTGAGGAATCCGTCGAGGCCGAATAGCCCACCAGGCTCACCCAGCATTCCGAGGCTCAGAGCGATCGCATGTGAGTAGCTCCCCCTTACTTTTGACATACCGCTTCAAGTAGTACCGTGATTATGACGATGTATTGTGCAATATGAGTGACTTTACGAGCGAGTCAAACGTTGGATTGTAATCGGACAATTTGAGTGTAACACTGTTTGTTCGTGGTAGACACTTTGTACTTTTATTCGTGTCGATATATACTTTTTTTCGGCATGGTGTGCACAATCATTGTTTTATTTTTATTTTTATTTATTTTTTTTATGGATACTCTTCCATTTTATTTTTTTATTTTTGCAAAAATCACGATTATTTTGAGCTAATGTATTATTATCATAGTTACATACTTATCAATTGCTGAAATTAGCGTGCACAGTTATACCGTTTGACAAGTCGCTTTACGAAGAGAGTATATCCGTAATGAAGCTTTATCCTCCGCGCCGAATAAGCGGAAGGAGATGAAGAAGTAGTTAGTTATCGTAGTGAGTAGCACTTTGTTTCTTTTTCTTTCCCCGTTTAGTACCGGCGGACGGAGTTAAGGGTAAGACTTGGGGACCGTCGACGCTACATCAACGTGAGCGCGGGGCTATTATCACCCAGCCGCCGAACCCCGCCTCCCCAGGCGGCAAACGCTGGTCCCGTTCCGCGCCAGATCTCGAAAAGACACCTCTGCGTACAGCCCTGTTGGCGAGCGCGCACCGCTCCCCGCTTCTGCAGGAAATAGGTAACCCTACCACCAGAAAATTGTACTCCTCGGCCAATAACCTGATAGACAATCAGCCAGGATGTAGTAGCTATAACGATATGCCGCAAAGCTCGCTCGACAGCTACGTGCTGGGCGCGTACTGCGCGCCCTGCGACATAGGCGAGGACTTTGTCATGGACAACGATATATACGAGTCCGTAGAACATCATAACAAAAATCCCCCGAACAATCTTAAGGCCCATTTCTCGGAGGAGCCCTCGATAATCAGCGACGATTATACCGCGAAGGCGGTGGGTCAACGCGCGGCCATCCCCACGCCGGGCACAGTCTCGAAAGCCACGTCGCCCAAGTGCCAAAAGCCGCCCGAGTGGGAGCCGTCGTACTCCACGAATTTCGTGCAGAACGTGGCGTCCACTCTGGTGGGCACCGCGAAGCGGTGCAAGAGTAAGAAGCGCGACAGGAGTAAGTCGAAGGAGTCGAAGCGCAGGGACAGCTCGGAGTCGCGGCTGGCGTCCCTCGCCGACTTCTTCCGGTCGCCGTCCGGCTCGCGTAAGAGCTCCCTGAACTCGCCGCGCAGCGGCGAGAGAAAGAACTCGGTAACCATCAAAATTAACGACTACGACGGTCTGGAGTCGAGCCCCGAGAATTCGATCGGCGGCAAAACCCAGCAGTCCCAGCACAAGTCGCGCCTATCCAAGAGCCCGCTGCGGGTGTTGAACAAGATGAGGACGTGGGGCAGCCGGGACGCTCTCGACGACAAGCCCGCCGCGGGTAAAGTGGAGTACAGCGTCCTGGAGAACGTCATATCCATACCGCAGCTGAGCCGTCGCGATTCGGGCGAGCAGCCGCCGCCGGGCTGCAACGTCGGTGTCCCGGTGCCCAGGTATCTCGCGGCGAACTCGCGCGAGGGGATCGACTTCGAGAGCCGCGAGGGGATCGACTTGGAGAGCTTCGAGTCGGAATTGTGCAATTTCGACTCGGAGCACTCGAACGACAGCTCGAGGTCGAAGAGCTCGTTGGGACCGTACCTCGAGACGGCGGCGGGCTCCAGGCACAAAAGATCGCCGATCGCGTTCGAGCCGGACGCGTTGCCCGGCTCGAAACCGGTCGCCGCCGCGTACCGTTTTGACCACGGCATCGAGATGAATTCCTTTTTGCACCACAAGTCCAGAAGTAACGAATACTTGCGCAGCTGCGACGGCGACGGCGGCGTCGCGCAAACGTCGCCTGCAGGCTGCCTCCAAGAGGGAAACGATCGCCACAGCCCGCGTGCCAATTATAGCCCAAAGAGAAGTCTGCCCGCGTCTCCCCCGGATCTTGCCGATCTCTGTCGCTCGACCTCCGAAGATATCGACGTCGCGTCTAAGAATTTCGCTGGCGAACAATTCCCGTGGAAGGGCGACAAGTAGTCGCGCGCGCGTGGCGTGGCTTCGACGAAACGGATGTACTCCCGCGACTTTTCGGCATTACAGGGCGTTCCGTGCGTGCCCGCGCTGTTTCTCTCAATTCCAAAATTTCGATCCGTATTCCCGTATTCTTTCTGGGGGGGACACGCGCGCGTAGTGTGATTCGTGATTCATTGTGATTCTCAAGGAAGCGCGGCCGAATTACGAATGCTCTGTATTTGACGAGAACGCAAGTAGAGCCTGCAGCTCGAAACGCATTTCGGATGGCATGCCTCTCCTTTCCGCCGCACTTTTCTCCTTACATGATACATTTGAATGATACTTGGTTACTGATCGTGTGTTTTTCTATTTTCTCTATCGCAGGCCTCTCTGAGGAAAGCATCTACCACACCCGTAAGTTTTCTCTTCACGCAAACGGTTGTTATGTCATGTTTCACCGATGTGCTACCATTTCCACACATTTCCTTCTATCTAGACTTTTACTACGAACTTTAGCCTTTCCTCTTTTTATTTTATTTTATTTTATTTTTATTTTTTTTAATTTTATTTACCGAGCGATGGTTTGTATTGTAAAGCTAAGGCAAGGATCTCAAGTAGACAATGTCTTTTACTTTCGTAACTGAATTTTGCAATGAAGCCTTATCCACCGTAGTTTTATTAGCTATTGCTTAGTGGTTGATCACATAGTGATAATGCATGTGTACACCGATCGATATATAGTGCCTCTTTTCATTGTCTCGTATCAATTTTATTTGCGGACGAACGCAATTAGATTTTCTTTCTGAATGAACCGTACGGACTTCTCGTGGACGTCTGATTGAGCGATACTCTCATTGCCCCCCTTCTCCCCTCCCCCCCTCGCCGTCGTGTCTCGCGCGTCCCTTATAGTGTATATTCCCAGATCATTTTATCGGAATGATACTTGGTCTCCTGTGCAGCGTGAACTTATTCAGACTTGCGAGGTGGTTTGGATTAGATTCAGTAAGGGACCAGATTTAGAAATTTAAGTTTAATTCTACCCCTCCGCCCCCCGCCTCTCGCCTGCTCTACGACGAGAAACGCGAATAGCTGGTGCACACTCCGAGGGCCCCAAAGTTGCCTCGAAAGATGGAATTCGAATATTTAAGCGATGAACGCACCGGACCCTTTAAAAACGTTTATGCAGAGGGCACGGACTTGTTTTTTTTTTATCCTCCCCCACGCGCTATATAATTTACGAATTATTTATCCTAATTTAAGCCGATGTGATACTCGTAGTCCGAGTAAGCTAAAAATCTAATAAGAATATTAAAAAATATATATATATTATATATGTATATGTATACACAGTCTTTCTGGTGTTGGTTCTTTTCTGATATTTATCTGGAAGACATAACATTTCTAACAAGCAGATCTAACAGCCCACTACTACGCGAAAGAGAGTCACAAGCTTCGTCCATTACCGCAAAGTTCAACTTTAACGGTACTGTTCTTACATTGGAGCGTTGTCAAGGTTGTATGTCTGCATAGTCATAATTTTATCGAACGAAACAAAATCAAAATTACATCACATATATATTGTATAGATATATGAAAAGGGAGAGAGAGAGTGAGAGAGTGAGAGAGAGAAAGAAAGAAAGAGAGAGAGAGCGAGAGAAAGACAGAGAAGTTAATATTTGTTAGCCCCTCTTATTTCGTTGTCTTATGTGCATTTAAATCGATTGCAAATTTATTAATTGTTAAATACACAATTTCCAGCGAATTGTTCGTTTCTGTATTATTTGTTACGCCAAACTTCCAACGTTTCCGAGAGCAAAGATTTTTTTGCACACATCACATTCGACACACGGAGCCACACACGCACACACTTGTATTTAGAAATAGAAAATTTTTTTCAATAAAACCTTTTCAGTTGGACACGTTGAATTTTGTTTTTTCGTTTTGCTGAATTTTTACGCTCGGTCTGTGATGAACACTTGCACCGTTGTATTTCAGATTATCGGTATAATGTATCTCTTGTCCTTTTTGTTGGTGTTCGTGCATATCTGTAGGAATTTTGTAGACGATTACATTACTTATGCATAATGAAGTATAACGTACTTTGTATATTCGTTATCGGTTATCTATATGTGACGTAAACGGGAGACGGCCGAGCGTAAAAAAAAAGAAAAAAATATATATATACAATCCTTGCATGCTTCCAGTAGGATCCTAACTGTTAACTCCGATTGGGTTTTTGGTTCCTTTCTCTTCCTCAGATCCTAGGCTCGCTAAGAAGTAAACATCATTTAATTTTGTTACGTTCCATTTTTTGACAGTTGCGAGAAGTAGAAGCCGCAAACGTTAACCGTCTGGTTAAAAAAAATGCTTCCGCTAAGATTAATCCGGCTTTATGTGATTTTGTTCTTAGTCGTTTTTGTTTTCGAGTCGGTGAGTTGAAAGGGTGAAATGAGAAAATGAAACGTAAATAAAAAAAAAAAAGAGAAGAAACGAGCCACAGAGTATCTCTGCAGTAATTTACCGTTCGATTAATTACAGATTATTCCCAAATAGCGTTTGGGGTGCTCCAATGTTTTAGACGCGAGCACAATGCCTTTTGGATTTATCTCTTTAAACAACTTTGAACGTAGTATGTATCGCACGAAGTCTATGCATTGCGGCAAGAATTGGTAGATCAGTAGAAATATTTATCTTATGCGTTGAACTTTGCTTCTATTTGTAAAAATTGGCTAAGTCCAATGTCAGCAGTTTTATAAAGGTACTTAAGAATATTTCGTATCAGTTGAAATTAAATTCAACGCTTAAAAAGATGTACATGCATTTAATTATTATGTATCTGGATTAGCCGATTTTTAGTGTATGCCTTGTATGTTGTAATTTGGATACCTTTTAATAGGGTTTCTTCACAGCGGCGGACAAGTAGAGACTGCGAATGTGAAGATAATACTTTATTACATTTTTAATTGCTTTATACACGCATGAGTAATAATAATTAATAATTAATAATTAATAATAAACAATTAAAAAACAACTAAGCATGCTGTCGCACTACTAACGTCGAGTCCAAGCGTTAAAATTAATGTATTACGTTAATTAAAGATTTAATTAATCGCGCGGAAGGTAAGAAGCAATTTCCCGATCGCATTTACAAATTTCAAGACGGAGAGACAGAGAAGCGTATATCGTGCTTACAAATGAAACCGTTCATTTCATCAGTTATCCTTTTAAATTCCTCTTAACGTTCCTATTACTCTCGCGAGCGGACCGCGCGAGTGCTACGCCTGTCGTAGTAAAAAAAAAAAAAAAAAACAACCTGAATATCTTTTATAGATTATACAGCCTTACCGCCCGATCCGTCGACCGACTGGATAACGTCGGAATACCCTGTGCCCGGGCTGACCGGGCCGTACATCATGCCGATGCCCGTGCCTATGCCCACCCTCTACAACGGCGAAACGAAAAAACCAAAGCTAAGCATAATCGAGCTGGTGCTGTACAACATCGCGGCGATGCTGGCCGGCGTGGCCACCGGCTACGACGTGCGAATGTCAAACATATCCCCGATACATCCGCGCCTGTATCCACGGCTGGGCGAGTGCGACGAGGACCCGCCGAGATGGTGGTTTCAAGCGGACACGGGATCGAATCGCAACTCCTACCTCGGCGCCGATTACGAGTTCAGCACGAGCAGCGGCTATCCGCACAACACCTATCACGGACGGGCACATCATTACAGGTAATCTAGAGAGGAGAAATTTTTTTTTTTTTTTTTTTTTTAACTAATTTTTTAAGTGAAACGCAATCGGATCAGCTTAGACACAGAGCGATAGCTACTCCACTCAACGCAGATCTACGCAATTGTCGTTGCAGGCCGTTCCTGAGTAACATGGGTGGCATAGCGCCCGGCCTTCCATCCGCGGCGATGCCGGACAAGCCGTTGCGCTTCACGGACTCCCCGCAGCACTACACGAGCAGTACGACGGGCTCCAACGCCCCGACACCCAGTCCGAGGAGGAAGAGCAGCAGCAGCACTAGCAACGAGGATGCGTACGACACCGCTCGCGCCGATCGGATGGAGAGGGTGCCGACGATATACATGGGTAACGTCGCCCCGTTCCCGGATTACGGGCCGCCGATGTACACCGTCGTACCGCCGGAGTACTTTCGGCCACCCGAACCGCCGACGTATTTCATACCTACGGAATATCAGTGAGTATTAGTGAAATGTGTATCAGTATAATCGCGAAATCGATGAAGCGATTAGAGGCTTTAATGGTGTACGAATAAACTTTGCTCAAGTAGATTGTACACGGAGAGAATTTGACTTTAAAATTTGTCCTGAAAATCATGTTAATCGTGGAACAACATAGTATTTTAACGAATTTTATGTGATTTTCATTATTTTTTTTTAAATATATACTACAATAAATTTGTTGTAGTGCACAGTAAAAAAAAAACAGAATATCACGTAAAATTTGTCGTGATTAACATGATTTTCAGGACAAATTTTAAAATCAAATTCTCTATACGATTTCGGAATCGGCTTGGAGAAACCGAAATCACATGGACAAAGTGGCAGCGGATTGCGACTTTAGTAAGAGGCCTTTCGTTGTTTACAGCGATCGGATGCTCGAGTGTCCCGAGTTCCCGCACGCGTACGACAATCCGAGCAGCGTGAACAGCCCGGCCAGGCCGGTGTCGAGGCTCCTGCCCTACACGCATCATCGCACCTCGTCGAACGTCTCCAATGCAAGCACGTCGAGCCAGAGCAACGTCAATCCGACGTTCCGGCTGGAGGACGAGGACGACTACGGCGTGTACTCGCAGATACCGTATTACCAGCGACCCTCGAACGTTATTTCCAACTTGGCGACGACGTACGGCGCGAGCATACTGAACCACGAGTACGTCGGCTCGCCGTTGCTGACCCGCCAGAACTCCCACGACTCCAACTCGAACTCCGGCGAGCGGCCGAGCAATCTGGAGGTGGTCACGCGGCTGCGCTCGAGCCTGAAGCGATCCAGTTACAATCCGTACAACTCGCCGAGCAAGAGCGTGAGCAAAAACAACTCCGGCTCGGGCACGCCGACGAACCCGACGCCGCCGGACTCGCTCACGTCCGAGGACTCGAGCTACGTCTCCGCCAAGGACAGCCAGATCTCCATCAGCCGGGTGCGCTTCTCGCCGGTCACGTTCGACCGTGACGGCGTGCCGGCACGCGACGCCCACAGGGAAACGCTGCTGGACATCCCGGTTCACGGCCAGAACCAGGACGTTACAGTACCGCTGCAGGCCAACCGGCGCCTCAATCGGAACAGGAAGCCGAGCATCTCGGAGCTTGAGAGGGAGTTCTTGTCATAGCACTGGCTTATTTAAGGCAGCTCCCCCTCATGTTAGAACCAGCCGGACCGAGTGGGTTCGTCGATATTTTATCTATTTATCGATATTTCTAGCGTAGTCCTAGGAGCCCGATCTCTTTACGCCTCCGATTATACAATCGCGATTACGAAACCTTATTGATCGTCGACCGGAAGAATTTTGCAAAAGACAAAAACGAATTGCACGTTATCGAAGCACTGCCTCCCGCGGACGAGTCTCAATAGTAGCAGTAACACTAACAAGTCTGGGAATCAACATTCCATTACAACACATATACAATCCAGCGAAATTCATGTAACGTAGCGTAATACGTGATTCGTGGGCGAATCTTTAATTTGATAACGTAATGATATTTGGTATGCGTGTCGCGTGTAGAAATGTATGTATATATATATCACGAGCGAGGTATTGCGACGCGACGTGGTATATATTCAAATTGCATATTGCTCCGAGAGAAGATACTTTTCTGTAGTACACAAAGTGTATATGTTTTACAGCTTCGACCGTTGACGACAAAATCGTCGAATAAATAGAATCCATTTTCTCTCGACAAATTCACAGATTAACGGTTAATTTAATGTAGTAATGGATATTATTATTCTATCATCTATGGATACCAATATTCTATCAATATGATGATTTGATGTATAGAATGAGGTAATAACTATTGTCATCTTAACATTTTTCTTTGATAAGAAATTTTAAAATTAATTAGATATTTTTAAAATTAATTAAATTAACTTAATTTAGAGAGCACAAATTTCTGCTGGCAAAAATGACTTGGGCTCGGTTCCATAAATGTAAGATTAATCTCGGTTTAGCTTGCTGTTTATCTCTCTCTGATTCTTATTTTTAGATTAGAAAAAGATAAACTTCGATTAAATCGAGTTAATCGCGAATCGTGAAATCGGGCCTTAAAAAATTATCGTGACAGGGTGATCTTTTGCATAGCAACTTTTGTTAGACAAATCTTTCTCTTAATGGCTTCTAAGAAAAATAGCTAAAGGTGATTGCCTCAGTCTATATAACGGTATCGTTGAATAATAAGCACATCATCACTCGAGGCTATTGCAATTTGACGTTTTCTTTTTGTGGCTGATTAAGAGACATTCCAAAAAACGTTATCGCATTTATATAATCAGCATCTGAACGATAAGCGCGAAGAAAGAGGGAAGCGGTAGTCGAGCTCACGATAGAGAGAATTTATCGAGATGCACACACACACACACCCTTACACACATACGCGCATTAATATGCAATTCCATTGCGCATAGTAAGATTAAAGAAGGAAACGAAGGGGGGAGCGTTCTCTTTCCCTCGGCAGCTACCGCATTAGCGACGTGTAATGGTGTGTCCGCTTTCGATATTCAGACTTGGATATTCAGTATTTCAGCGAAACGAAAGTGTTGTTTCTCGCATTTAGTATGAAAAGTTACGTTACGCAAAGTTCCTCCGTAACTTTGGTGATATTCGGTTCGGCGCAATATAAAAAACATTCCAGAGAGATTTGTTGTTGGAACGTAAGGAACGTAAGGAACTGTGTTCTACGCCAATGCGGAATTGGCATTTCGTCGGATTTTCAATTCAATTTGCAAGCTCAGGCTTTTCGACATTCGAAAGGTCCCAGTGTTACTTTCTCCGCGAGTTTGTGATAGACCGCCAAGACGGAGTGAATGTCGATTCCGCGTTGTTTAAACTGGTCCATCGTTTAGGACGAGAATAGAATTTTTCTTCGCTTGTACTTGTATCATGTAACGTATCGTGCGTTTAAATAGCGTATAACGGCGGTTTTACGTTAAATTTTTTCCTACTAGAAAGTACTGGCAGCAGCAGCAGCAGCAGCAGCAGTCTCGTCGAGAAATTGTATAAATTCTTTGTGCGTTTTGTGCAACTTGTACGAGCGTGATTCGCGCGTTTAATTATAAATATACGCAACGCGGCAGCTCGATGTATTGTATTGTATATTGTATAGGGAAACGTACGGGGGGTTGTTTTAGATACGGGATAATCAATTCGGTTCGCGCGCGAGTTGAAGAACAATCACTATTTATATGTAATCTAATTTTATGTACTTTACAAGATACGGACAGCTACAAAGTATTAGTTGTAGTATTATGTACTTAGCCGAACTTTTTCCGCGATTACGTATTAATCTCTACAGTATTTCCAACATAATCTCTCCCCTTTCTTGTCGCAATCAGTGTAACTAGTCATTGTAATTGTATTTTGAAGTTGTACCATTGTCATTTTGATAGCGATACGATCTCATTTTCCTTCATTCTTGTGGTGCGGCAAAATTAACAAAATTATACGAAAAGATCCCCTATGTATTGCTGTACACTCGCTTTTTCCAACAAAGAGCTCGTTTTTTTTAAAGGGCTCCTCGCCTCTCCCCGATTTACTTTCGAGATTCGCGCGCGCCGAAAGGAAGGAAAACGTTGCTGTGCCGCTATTAAAATAGTGCCTCTGCTCAATGAATACGTTCATCGTCGTTCTGTTGCAATGCACAATTGGAGATGTACACGGTTAATACATCCACCCACAGGTACTTCCACCACCTTCGATTACGCTAAATCGACGAAGCGTATATACGGTCGATATACGAGATACGCTCACGAAAATGCGGGGAACATGTACTGTTGGCATTTTAACGACGTTCAAACGTGAAATTGGTGTGTGTCGTATAGCAACGGACGTGATTAGGTATAGGATCGCGTCTTGCGCAGCTGTGTCACGCTTCTTTTGTACCTTATGAAAAAAAAAAAAAAAAACAGTACGTCGCTTCTGATGAGCAAACTACGCGCGTCTGTTAGAAAGTATCCAAAGCGTGAGTCGCGTGCGAGTGAATGTAATATCCAAACATGCAGCTGCGCAAAACGCGAGGATCGTTGCATCTGGCGATCCTTCTATAATAATCGTTGTACATATAGAGGAGAAAAAAAAAAGTAAGCGCTGAATCATTATTACTTGTTTAAATAGCGACTACTCGTACATTCCTTATATAGCTGACGCCGCGTGCTGTAGCGATGTCCACGACGCTTTCTCCGAAAGACATCGGCGTCGCCGCGGATCTGCTTCGTGGATATCCTTGTGCGTCGCATTGCACCAATATACGCGTATAAGTAATTTCAACTCGGGCAATACGGGGTACCGAATCTAAGGGAGGGCAAATTTCCGCGATCTACCTTCGATTGATATATACATACAATTCAGAAGATATTAAGAAACGCTTGTGTGTGTGTATATATATATACCCCCGTGTTGCGTGCTCTATGTGCCCTGAATGTACATATGCGGATCGCTGAGTAATGAATTAGGAAGCGCAACGCACGCAATCTTAATTTATTGGCATTACGAGATGATGGGGTTGCGCTCGAATTTAGTTTGAATCTGTGAACCAATCAAAGTTACTTACACTGTCTTTACGCCGCATTTCGAACGAAGCAATCAAAACGTCTTGTTTGTACTGTATCAACCTCACGTAGCGTATAACGGAGTCACGGATCCTTTTTGTTTTATCTTCGTCATCGAAAGCCGCTTCTCGTTTACACTGTTTTTTTCCTGAATGACGATCATCAGTATTGTAGATGTACGCTGTGCGATGTACACGAAAATGTGTTAGAGGAAAGAGAATTTCTTCGGCGGACGAATTTCATTTGGCTGCAACGAAGGGAATGAAGAAAAATCGGTAAATAAAATCAGTGAATTCGTCTGGAAAATAATTTCACGAGTACAACAAAGACGTATCCAAGTCTTTCTTGGACTAAAAAATATGAAACTATCGATGTTTGTATGCAATGACAAAATTTTCAATATTAATTGACTTTTCTCTTTTCATGTTCGCAGTAACTTTATCGAATTAAACAACACAATCCAGTTTTTCTATTATCAACAATTTATAACAATTATCTCTTTCTTGCAACACATTTAATGGATGTATCTTTCTACGCTGTGCGAAGGTATTTCTGCGGTGCTAATATCACGTACTTAAATACGTTAAATAAGTGACACATAGAAATTCAAAATGCTTCCAAGGTAACCGAGAGAAAGAGTGAAAGAGAGAAAATGTTTGATGAGGTGTTAGTGAATGCTGATATTCGAGAATAATTGTTCATAAATAAATATATATAAATATATATAAATATATATATATATATATTTATAATAATAATTTTTAATTATACAAGAATATAAAATGTTCGCGGCAGCTATTATTGTGTAATGGCGTATCCGTCGCCGACAGTGCTAGTCTAAGCTATATTTATTTTTTATATATATAACAAACACCTTAGCCTAGAGATTAAGGAGATTAAGAATCCGATTTTATACTTTATTAGAGAGCATTTACGGAATATGTTTGACTCGTTGGGCAGAACGTGTATAAGAAACGTGTGTTCAGAATAATTCTATATATATAAATATATATATATACACATATATATTTACGAGATAAATTACGTTGTATCATATCAAACGCAACTGAGGTCTCTTTATATAATATCAATCTATAAATATATCTCACTGTAAAGAAAACTTAATAAATTTATCATGTATCGTTCGTACGACGTACATTAATAACATATACCATACGACAGTAATTTATATAATTTTTTTTTTTTTAGATACCTTCTCGTCATATAAACTCCAGTTTACCTTGAAATTATATCAAAGAAATTTCTTCCGTTTTAAACAGCTAATGGTCTTTCAATATTAAATATTCAATATGCAATATTGAATATTTAATATCTTAATTCTCATTCTTTCATTCTCCTTTTCTCTGCCATTTGTTGCATACACGACGCACCTTGATACAAGATAAATTTATGAAACCGTTTGAGGGGAAATAGCGTACGAATGCGGATCGTAACGTGAGACTCTCTCTAAAACACCTGTTTTTACGTAATATACAATATGCAAACTCACATTTACAATGTAGTCCTCACTAGTTTAGTTAGACCTAACGAGTGAACATCACCGGTCAAGGCACTGAAAACAAGAAAGAAATAAAAAATACTCATTAAGCCTCGTGGAACATATGACTCGGGAAGCCCGTTGCTCTCTGAACTGCTGTTTCTTATGATGTAGCATTTAAAGGATGTAAATATATATACTTTACGACGTGACGGATTGTGTATCGAGATTGCATGCCGCTTGCGCGAATTAGCAAATTGTACAATAAACGACCACGACCAAGACGATTAATTATAAACGAATTGTCTAATCGATGTACACACACACACACACATTCGCTGTGGTAGCTCCCATCTGTACGCGCTTCTGGCGCGTGTGTGTAGAAAGTTTAATGTATTTCATATAAATATTTAAAAAAAACCGACTTACGTCGGCGCGCGGAGCTATCACAGCTTCGTACATACATACGCATACGCGAAGAATTAAGTTCTTTTTCTTTTTTCTGTCAGTATTTCCTTTGTAATACATGAGCTGTGTAAAGAACGATAGGACGTGTAACAGCAACTCATCAGGTCGCAGGCAATTTATTTAAGCATGAAGTAAACTCGGTAGTTTGTAAGTATGTTAAGCTAAGTGCAATGTGTTCCACGTGTATTTAAGTGAGAATAATGAATCGCTTCGGTGCGCGCCTTAAAGTAAAAAAAAAAAAAAAAGAAACGAGAAATCCAAAAAGCTTTCGACGGAAAAATTTCTTCAATGTAATATAATAACTTTTACGCAACGATTTTTCGCGTGTGCTCGAGAGTATATTCACCTTCGATCTGGGAATCGAACTTTTTTTTTTCCTTCACCGATCTCCTGGGCGACAAGCGTGGATTGCCAAGCACGACGCGAGCGAGATCCCGCAGAATCGTTTTTATCTACGAGCAGGGAGAGACAAATGATTAATTATATTATAGCAGACGAATGAAATATTAATTTCACAACGGATCCCCCCCCCCCGAGAACTCGATTGTTTAAAAGCGAAAAATATATCGTAATAACATATTCTGTCTTCGATTTTTTAATGTGTTGTCTCTAATCCTAACGAGGAAATCGAGATTCAGAAGGAGAAGTGTCTATATGTCTGATCTGCACTAAAAGTTCATGTATTTTTCCAAGTATTGTACATTACATTATAAATATTAATTATAAAAAAAAATTATAAATAATAACTGGAGTATACATTAAAAAAATGATAATAATAAGATAATAATAAAATAGGTTTATTATTTTATTATTTTAGTATATTGTATTATTATTATAGTAACATTTTATGAACTATAAATAATACGTTATACTCACTCTTATTTTTACTTTTACTCTCATCATTATTTTATTATTAATAAATAATTTCAAATAACAGCATCAATAAGTTTTAGCTCTTTGAGCGATCATTTTTCATGTTTTCCATATATTCCTGCGAAATATAATAACTCTTTAACAGTTTAAAGTGATCTAACAATACAGCTCAGCGTGTAAAATAAAATTTTATCACACGTAGGCCGATCATCACATTTTTACGGAAAAGTAAAAATACGATTTTCTGATGTCGAAACAACGAAAAATGTTTAAAACGTCGGAATAATATTTTGTAACCTATTATCATTATTATTATTATTCGCAAAAATTAACGAATGTCGCGATCGTTTGATACGGGGCTATAATAGCAAAATTTCTCGCGTCGTACATACACAAATGGCTTGACGGTAACTGAATAACGCTAAGACACGAAATATGGTCACCTACGATTGCAACTGCAAGGGCATTGCAATCACGGAGGGGATATTTGGAGAAATTTATGCCGGTGTTTTGTTACTTCATGATCAGAGCCCGAGTTCTCTGTCGCGGTGATAGTGACGTAAAAGTCGTTCTTAATTGCAGAATCTGCGGAGGATAAAATACGCTATGACGACAAATTATATTATGAGGATGCCAAAGACAAGGTACTCCGGTTGACGCCAGTAAAGTCGTACACGATGATAAATAAGAATCGCTTAGAGATCACCGTCATTTCCTGGGGTGCCACGATCGTCTCCCTAAAGTGTCCCGATAAGTTTGGGCACGTCGCGGATGTTGTGCTCGGTTTCGACGATTTGAAGAGTACGAACTTTTAACGTAATTATTCATCCGTCACATGCGTTCATTCAATTCCGTCGATCTCGAACTACCTCTCTTTCCATAAGGAACTTTTATATAACAGGAACGATTCGTTTTTCCTCAGATTATACGAATCCCAAGACTAATCCGTTTATAGGATGCATACTGGGCAGATGCGCGAATCGCATAAGAGACGGCAGTATGGTCATTAAAGATCAGACTTATCAGCTAACGAGAAACGATTTCGGCAAGCATCATCTGCACGGAGGTGTAAGTCTGCACCCCGTCGTCTCATTATTCTGTTCAAAAATTAAACGACATTAGGATGTCTCGTACCAGACATCTAATCGCTCTTCGTGTCAGACAAAGGGCTTCGGTCGGCGATTGTGGGAGTCGCATATCGACAGCTGCTCAGTCGTCATGACTTACCTAAGCGAAGACGGCGAGGAGGGATATCCCGGTGCGGTGCTGAGCACCGTGAGATTCAGATTGACGCCTGACAATAAGCTGGAAATAGGTATCCGGGCGACGACGACGAACCCCACCGTAGTGAACATCTCGCACGGTTCCTTGTTCAACCTCGCTGGACACGTATAACTAACATCCTTTGCAATGTCGGCGCAGTTGAAGCTGGAGCCATTCTGAAAGCGCGGAGAACAATGATTTAATGACACACAATAATTCCCTTCCTTTTATTTTTTCAATCGGAAAATGACATATGGTTCTAGTTTCAATAAGAATCGTACAGGCTTACTCATTCGAGCGCGATGTAGGACGCCGGCAAGAAGGAATTGATGAAGCACAAGATCTCGTTGAATTGCGACCGCTGGACCTTCGCGGATTACACGGATCCGATACCGACCGGCGGCATCCGAGGGGTCGGAGGAACCGTCATGGATCTGCGTGTGCCGAGACTTCTGGAGAGCTGTATCGAGAAGGCATCGAATTCAAGTTCATGCGAATTAACGGTGTAAATGTGTACACGGTCTAATTTGTGCAAAAAAAAAGACATTGTGAATTTGCGTGAGCTGCAGGTCCCGCCGGGGGAAGGGTACGATCACAACTTCTGCGTCACGCCGAACTGGCACGGGGGTAACGCGTACGTCGCTCGCGCGGTCCATCCGAAAAGCGGTCGGTAAGGCTCGCACACAATCCGTATCATTTCGTAGCACGGATGCACTGTAATAATGTCCTGGAATTACAAATAAATGTATATGCAGCGTCTTGGAGATTTATTCGAATCAGCCTGGCGTACAGTTCCACACGGGCGGCCGTCTGTGTAGCACCCCCGAGGTACCGTAGAATGCGACGATAATCGAGATACACGATAAACGGTCTGTCTTGAAAGAATACAAGGAATATCGTTAACGTAGGTCGACAGTGACAACAGCCCGAATCGTGAGGATGAATATGAGAAACGAAAGGCGACTGGAAAGGGCGATCAAGTGGAACAAGATGAGGAGTCTGAACGCGAGGAATTTATTTCGGGGAAGCAAGGTGCTCGCTACGTGAAGCACTGTGCATTCAGCATTCAACCGCAAAACTATCCAAATGCCATTAATTATGTGAGTAGCAAAGGGGCTAAGACAGAATTATATTTCTTATTGCGTTCGTTAATTCACAAATAAACTTTCTTCCAGTCGCACTTTCCCTGTTCTATTCTACGACCCGGAGAAATCTATTGTCACGATTTAAGTTATAAATTCGGAATCCAATTGGCCAATTACATGTTCTAAATTAGAAAAGCATCAAGCTTGGCGCAGTAAATATTCGGTCGCGAAAAGCATTAACCAACAGCTAAATATATTTTTAAGTATAAAAATACTTTTATTAAATTATCAATTATTATTAAATTATTTGTATATATAATATCGGTTTAATAATAGAAAAATTATTATAGATATTATTACATTAATGCTAATAATGTTGTAATAATTTCAATTAATTTACCGATCGCATCACTTTTATTATCACAGATTTAAACTTTCTTGATTCTTTTCGCTGCGAAAAACTTTGCGATGTTACCAACCACAGATCCAAATGAATCGTTGATCGTCACGGAGCGTTGAATCCATTGAGGTAGTACTTTGACTTTGTGACAATAACGTTTGTCTAATAATACAACAGTCGAGTAATCATTGATGTGACGAACGGATCGGCCAATACATTGATTCACTGCTTTCATGCAAGAATTTTCGTAAAAGCAGCTTCCGGCGTCGGGTTTCTAGAGACACAAAAATCGGAAAATAAAATTTAACAAAATGAAAAATATTAAAACTTATATAAAATTAAATTATATCCTCTAAGCTCTGTAATAAAGAATTCCGTAATCGAATATACGTACAACATGCTCGTTTAAGTATTTCATCTTTTCTTGCAACTCCGGTGATTTAATGTTAGGATACGGCAAGCCAACGACTATAACACATCGGCCCAAATCGTCAGAGAAATTTAATCCCTCGCTTAATTTACCTCCTAAAAAATATCACGTAAAAAATTTGATTAGTTCTAAAAAAATTAATATAAATAACATATGCGGATAGGATTCTACAACTAATATAATTTACTTACCCACTACGCTGAATAGCAATGCTCCATTACATGGGGATTGTGGATTCTTAATGGAATGCGCATATTGATCTAACACTGTATTAACCTGCGGACAATGTGTTTAACAATTTAAATTAAATAATTAATAATATCAGATATATATTAGTAAACATGTAACACAAAAATACCTGTGATGCTAATTTGGGTTCACGATAGATGCGTTTCTTTGCAGAAATTTTCGATACAATACCAGATTTATCTAAATGCTTAAACACCGTGTCCTCATAGTTGTAAGATGGGAAGAACACTACTATTCCAGCTGGTACAATGTTACATAAATTTAACAGCGCTCTACCTAATTCGTCCAGCTAAAACAAATCTCTTGTCATCAGGCTCTGTCCCATTTTCTTACGCGTATCTCTTTGAACGATACAGTAATCAGAGAGATAAAAAAAATAATAATTACCAATCTCGTATCTTGTCGATTATGAAAATTAAATTCGAATTCGACTCCAGTCGGGCCACGCATCACGACGTTGGAAATGATATTCTCCTTGGGAATCACGTGGTCGCACGAAAATGTCATAATTCTATCTGATGTAGCACCCGCCATCAAGAACAGCTGATCTATGAACTCGGACATCGGTTCCATCGTGCCACCGGCTAACACCACAGATCTGGCATCTCTCACTACATTTGCAGTAAAAGAATTCAAAATATTTAATAAAACAAACGTGATAAAAGTAAAAAGGCGTATATTAAATTTCAAATAAGTACTCAATGCGCTCACCGATATCGTGAAAATGTGCGGCTGGGTTTAACAAGAGAAATTTTATAATCCCTTGTCCGACCGTAGTGCCAGGTAAAACGCATATTCTACCATCCACGCAGCTGCTCTTTAAGCACTCCAGGAAGCTTAAGATCGCCATCAATGGATTGCTCGTCGGTTCGTCGTTGTTACTCGGCGCGTCCGCAACGCTGACGGTTTCTCGAGAGGGTACATCATTGCCCTTGATCGAATTTAAAAATTCCGTCATGCCGGATTTCTTTATCTTCTGCTCGTTGATCTTTACATCACTGCCGTACTGCTCGACAAATCCTTGTAATTTATGAACGAGTTTTGAAGCTTTGACGAATTCCAATAGCTTGAATATGTTTACTGTGTCAATTTCTGTAAACACTTCGAATTCTTCAATTTTGTATAATCTGGGTGCCACTGTCTTGTCGAGCTCGTCGTTGGGATGAGATTTCGTTGTTGCTCCGAAGAGCGTTAGAAGCTTCTTCAGGCAAAAACTTAATTGGCCCAGGTACATCATGCTCTTGGCGGAGAACAGAGATTCAAATCTGCAATCACATTACTCACAGTCAGAAGTTTATCTAACAATTTAATGAACAGCCGGAAAAGTCGCACAGCAATACCTTTTCTGATATTGCAACAGCTGACTGTAGCAGTGGAGCAAATTTCGTCCGGTGATCACAGAACTGTGCATTCCCTCGATGGCGTCCAGCAAATTGTGGGCTTCGTCGATTATCAACACATTCCCCTTCAGATCTATCCCTAAACTGGCTCTTGTGTTCTTGTGAAGGATGGAGTTGTACGGTACCAATATTAACTGTCCACTCTGCAGAGATTTTCTCGAGCCGTAATACGGACAGGTGTTACTTTCCTGCCCTCTCCGCGTTATCTCCTCGACGTCCTGAATGTCCGTTAGAACCTCCGCCGTTAGCAGTTTCTGATCGCCCGGTATAAACGGGCAGCCGCTCGCGGTTTTCGATCTCTTCAGATCCTTCTCCTTCTTAACGGTAGTCTTTTTCCTCTGCAGCTGAAGGCAGATTTCATTGATAAGATTGATGTGCTTCAATCTCTTGACACTTTTGTTGATGCAGTAATTTTGCCTGGAATCAGATAATAGGTATAATGTTAATAAAAAGCTGTGGCGATATATGTTGAAATATTAAAAATAAATAAAAGATACCTCGACGACAGGGGCACTACAGAGATGTCTTGAGAATAAGGAGACCTCTTCAATTCGTGGACAAACTGCGTCAGCTGTGAATGCGTTCTGGAGCAGAAGAAGATCTTGGTGTTCTTAAATAACGGCTCGTCCGTGTCCTCTTCCTCAGAGCTCTCCGAGTTTGACGGTCCATCTTCCAAGACGAGATCCTTCTCGATGTCACAGATATCGGAGTACCCTTCCTCAGTTTTCTTATTTGACTCGGGAGCTCCCTTGGTGGATTGCTGCCTTATTTTCCCAGTGGTCTTCGTTCGCGCGGCCCTCCTTGATTCAACCATTCTCTTGAGCTTCTCCCTCTCGCCCTCGTACTCGAGGAGTGCGTTCAGCTTGGCCTGCAACGGCTGTTTCTCGGCGTTGAGCTCCATCTGCTCCGTCTGCACGGTAAACCAATTATCTGACGGTTCCTCGCAGCTCTTTAATTTGCCGTCTATCTCCGCGATCGCCGAAACTAACTCCCGCTTCCTCCGCGTCTCGTGATCGACCAGCCACCTAAGCGCACCGCAAATGAGGGACAAGGACTTGCCGGTCCCCGTGGGGCTTTCGAATAGGCCCAGCTTGCCATCTTCCAAGCAACCGTAGAGCTCTCTCATAAATCGCTTCTGGATTTCGTATGCCGGGAAGGGAAATGGAAATTCCTGCGGCGGCTCCATTCCGGCGTCTCCCTCGAAACTCTAGGATAGTGAAGAAGTTACTGCCGTTATTACTACTGCATCTACCTTTTATCACACTTGTCAAGTGAAAAAGAGAATGACAATTTATTTCCGTACATCCCACACGGACGATTGTCAACAAATTAAAATTACGTGTGTACAACTAAATGATAATACGAAAACACAAAGCATTATACGTACGTAACTATAATGAACCGTCAACCTGTTATTCCCTTCTCTTTTGTTTACACCATTCCTTTTCTCCTACTTTTCTACCTACTTTCCACCATGTTTGTTGTGCTGAGTTTCCCGCCTTTTCTTTCTAGAGTGACGCTGTCAGCACGGAATAATTAGAGACCCTCAAAGGGTCTCTAGGAATAATCAAAATAATCGTGAACTATGGAAGTTTTCTTATGAATTTTCGAACGCAATATATTAAAGGGAAAAAAGGCCGCGTGAACGCGGTCAAGAGAGAAAACGGTCATCCGCGGCCATCCCGGCCTTTTACACTCGACGTTATAATTTTATCTGACATGATGTCAGAAAATGAATGTAGCTACGTAGTACCCAAAAATGGATGGATGTCCTGGCGCTAGTGTACAGGGGTGCGAGCGAGCGGTGAGGCGGTCTCTCTCCATGGTCCGCGCTCGGCAGGTGTATAAGCAGCGCGTACGCACCGCGCGCGCGAAAGTCCTGTGGTCCGGAGTGAGCCGAGCAGCCGAGCGGAGTTGAAGCAGCGGAGCGGAGCCGAAGCATCCCGAGCGCCGCGTCTCGCCGCTCGGATACCAGGTCGTGCCAGCCGCCAGGCAACGAGCGCGCAGTGCCGCATCGCCAAACGCCCTGGATTGGAGCGCGCTTACTACTCGAGTCGGGTATATTAGCGGAACGCTACGCAACGCTAAATATATGCGTTTAATAATGCGTATAAATAAATGAAAATGTCCTTTCTCCCCTGTTTCGCAGCGTCGGAAATTATATTAAATTAAATTATATCTGCAGTGAGAATCGAGCTGCGGTCCACTTGACGCTATAAATGCTTCGAAGCTTTTAATTGATCAATTAATTAAAATAAAAAGAATTTTATTGATTAATTAAAAAATGCCTCGAAGTATGTATAGCGTACAATTTAAGAAAATATATCGTGTAGATATGTTAGATATTCGGTATTAAATATTCCGGTATTAAATTAAATTAAATAACTGTATGTGATTACATACATATATAATTACATAGCAAAATCTAGTTTCTCGAAAAGTGGATTTAATACGGACACGCAGCATACATACACGTCATAAATTGTGCAGAAAACTAGATTTTGCTACGTAATTTAAATTCATTTCTTCAGAGGACGTTAGTGCACGACGGCATTTTAGCGTTTATTCTATGCGTGTTGACACTTTCAACATAATCTAACCTAATTAAATACAGTGATTGCACGTTTTACATTAGATTTTAAAAGTAATGCGAGAAAAAATTTTGATACGTCGTGGAATTTTGCGAATTATAAATTTTATCAGATAATTAATTGAAACTTATAATACGATAATGAATTTAATCAACATTGATAAAGTATGCGGTGATTTTATCGACTTTCGGAAAATTCGTGGTAGCTTAATTACCGACTGTTGACCACTACCTACATTATTGCCAATTTGCCATGCCAGTTACCGACAAAATTAATAGCGATTTTTTTTTTAAATTATCAACAAAGCATATACATATAAAGAAATATAAGAAATGATAAAAAATTCAAAAAGTCGAAACTATGTTCATTGCAGTATTAAAAAATTTTATTTATATTGTATATTTTCTTTCTCTGTTTATCTTGAGCGAGTTACACACGAGCGAGACTACAGTGACATATATACTATACGCCACAAACGAACACACACGCACGCATATACTATACGTGATACGCACGAATAATGCATAAATATTTAAACGATTATTTGTTGTGCAATGTGCATCGTACGCTCGCAACTAGTTTATTTTAAATATTTTTGACAATTTCGAGAGTCATCATATATTTACGTAAAGCAAATTTTAATATATAAATACGCTCTGAGGCGACGCGCACTTTATTGGAAGTCAGTTTCATTGTGGGAAACACCGCGCCGAAGTGGAACGACCATCCGATACCGTGCGCGATTTAATACGAAGTAAGCAAGCGGCCATTCTTCTTCAAGGCTGTTCCTTTGTCATGCTCCTCGGTCAAGTTTTCGCCCGTAGACTCTGCCATGGATCGGCCAGGGCCATGCTCTTGCCACAGTAACCTCAAGAGAGAGAGAGAGAGAGAGAGAGAGAGAGAGAGAGAGAGAGAGAGAGAGAGAGAGAGAGAGAGAGAGAGAGAGAGAGACAGACAGAAAGAGAAAGACCTCGCGAAGTTAATCCGACGAAGGTCAACGTCGAAATCGAAAGAATTCCTACGGACGAATTCACCTCCGCTGCCGATCATTCGCTCGTCGCTCGAAAAATCGCCTCCGAAATTTGACAATAAATGGAAGAGACGTGGCCACGTCTTCGCGGTTCGCTCGCGACACCCTGTAGAGATAATGCGTGACAGACGGGGCGAGGGGACGAATAATCAAGAGCAGCATTAAGAGACGCGCAAATGTGTGCAGCCGCGTCTGGTCCCAGTAGAACGCCGGTCTTTCACCCGCGGCGCGGATCGCGGCGGGTAAAAACCTTGGGGGCCCCTCGCTTTATTTTCGTCAGTTTTCAAGTCGGGCTCGTGTCTAAGATGCACTCTCGATTGCCCCGCTCTGTCTTTCTCATTATTTTCCTCTCTCTTTCTCTCTCTCTTTCTCTCTCGCGCGCGCGCGATGGGAACATTGGGAACTCGAACGGACGGGGCTGACTGAGGGGGAAGTCGGGAGGGAAGGAGGGGAATCGCGCCTACGATGTCTGTGCCGAGCATAATGCGCCAGTATGCGTTTCCTCTCTTTATCCTCTTGCCGAATAGAGGCGACTTTCTCTTTCTCTCCTCAGGCCCCACAGCTTCTACTTCTTCCTTTTCTCTTCTTCGCTCCACAAGAATTCCCATTCAGTGAGATTAACTTATCTCCCGATTGCGCCGGGGTGGGCCGCCTTTGAGAGAATCGACGTAAATTCCACGTGCGGAGCGGAGTGCTCTAGTGTATAAATAATTGATAAATAATGAGGCTTTTGGAGAAAAACGAGTACGGCCGGGATACGCGCGAGATGCGCTTTCCATTCGTGTTTACATTCGTGTTTACATTCGTGTTCGAGTCGAATTTTCACAAGATACTATGAAAATAGAAAAAAAAAATAGCAACACGGGGAAAAGGTTAGAAAAATATTAAATTAGACGATCGTTGCTTATTTGCGATATGCTTCATTTCTATTTAACGTCGCTGAATCACTGCAGAATCCCTGCTGAAACGTGGTAGCTTGTGCACGAATGCATCAAGAGTGGAAGAGCGTAGCGCGATGCAGGTTCAAGTTACTCGCTCTTCCTTCCCTTGTGATGCGGCCGATAAGTCGACATATACGTAATATGCCAGACCATCGCCGGGGCATCGAGTCGAGTCCGACGGTGCACACATGGCGTGCCGTGAAAGCGACACGCAGCTGGACGGGAGAATCCGGGAGGGGCGGGAAGTCATTGGATTATTTATTTTATCAATTCGAGGAAATCAACTTCGCGTTTCTAATAGCGAGATAGGGGGAATTAGATTTGCAGAATTTACGACGTAGCGCGTAGAGTGTATATAAACACACGTGCGTAGATTCATGTAACCTTTCAGTTGTACGGGGTCTCGTCTCGTTTCCCGACTGGAAACGCGCGCGATAAAGAGAAAGGATTAAACGAAGACGAAGAGGAGCAGGAAGAAAGAGAAAGAAAATGAGAGAGAAAGGGGGAGGGAGGAAGACAGAGAGAGAGAGACAAAGAGAAGGGAAAAGAAGCTTCGAAGGAAAGTAGAAAGGAGAGGAAGGAGAGGCAGAGGGGGAGATACGTACTACGAATACGCGAGTAAATCGACTGTAGTATAGTACTATGAGTCAGTCACACCCACAAGCCGGTTATGTGGGTTCAAGATTCTCTCTCTCTCTCTCTCTTTCTCGATATACGTTATCTCTCTTTCTTTGACATCTCCCCTCACCACGCACGGACGCGTATGACTGTGTACGCATTGGCACGAGGTCACGCGTCACGCGTACGTATCGTATCTATCGGCCTTGCCGTGCCGCGCTCTAATCGCGGTGCTCATTGCGCCTCGTAACACGGCGGCGATAAGAACGCGAGATATAGCCGTGGGAGTTTTCGCGGCGGAGAGCGTCCCGCCCGCGCGCCCGGATAATCTGCGAGGAATCGGCCGTATCGATCAGGGCCGCAGCAACGAGAGAACTCTCTTTCGGACGAGGCAAGGAAACCTGTACTGGATTTTCTTTATCTTTTTTTCAACGGAAGTTTTTTTTTTTTTTTTTTTGAACGCGTTAGAATCGTCAGACCATCGCCGAGTGTCTCTTAATCGATTGAAAGACTTTATATCCTCACAGGGGCCGTTGAAAAGCGCGAATCGTCAGTGACTCCGTTTCTCGTCGCCCCGTTAAGGGCGCCAACGATCCCCGGATCTGTAGGGCTCCTCGCGGCCGTAAACCGGTCCTGGTCCGCGGGCGCTTCGGTCTGGGTGCACGAAACACCTGACGAAACGTCCGCGGCGATGCAAGATGCAACTGATAAACACGGAGGTGACGGGAGGTGGAAGGCGAACGGGGCAGAACGCGCCGCGTGCGCTTGGAATGTATGCGTAAATCCCCGCGCCGGAGGATCGTCTTTGTGCGGGCGACCGAACGGAAAGGGTCGGCTCTTTCGTGGAAGGTGCGCGCACCTCTTGATTCCCTTCGGTTATTTCTCGGTTTATGATTTAGCACAGAACTGCGAGCGGGTCTCCCCCGAAACGGGACGGCATCGGGAATGTTGCAGGAAAATCATCTCGTGTCCGTTTCTACGAATATAGATCAACTTTAATCTCTCGGTTTCGTTCACTCCACTCTTTGCTCTAATTCTCAGAGAAAATGAAAATAAAATGAAAATTAAAATTAAACCGAATACTCTCAGATAATAAATTATTCTATACATTGGTAGAAATGGACGTCGATGAAAACTGTCGGAGCGACGAGACTCCGAAGTTGGGGCTTGAAGTCGGGGCCGCGATCGAGGGCCCCGCGCGGCGGCGATCTCGCGTGAGCGCGGCCGAGTTCTTTGTGATCAGGGCTCGACCGAGAAACCGGTTTCATTGGCGGAAGACCCTCTCTCGCTCGCACTCTTTCCTTTTCTCTTGCTCCGCGAAGCGAACCGAATATGAATCGCACACGCGGCCCGTTTCAATAGACGGAGCCCCAGCCCGACGCGGCGTGTGCGCGCGTAAACTGGTTATCGCCGATCGTATGTAATCGACATGCGGACGACACGCGTCCGCGGCGGTTGCGTATCGATAAACGAGTGCATGCAGATGCGAGAGAGCGGCGTGTCAACCCTCTCTCCTCCTCTTTTTTCCGCTAATTTTTTTTTCTTTCTTTTCACACCGGATTACGTAAGCGGGGTGGACGTTCCGGGGGGCCTGTCCGCGCAAAACGTGAAGCTAAACATTGAACGGGAAGAATACTCGCAATATTTAACGCGGCCGAATCGCGCGAATCAATTACCTGCGTATACGCGTAAAAAAAAAAAACGATGAAAATGAGGGTTTTTTTTTTACTGATGGACGTTAATTGGGCTCACTGTCAGGCAGCGAACTACGAAGACGCGAAATACGCTTATCAGTATTTTATTACAAAATTGCAGTCATTGCACATTATACATTTTTTTATACGCATTAATTTCGTGCATTTACACGAAAGTTACACACTCATTAACGTTATATAGAAATATTACAAACAGGTACAAAAACTACGCTACCTTATTTAATTTAATCGCTATCTTACGCTACCCACTCTCTCGCACGACTTCTCTCTTTCTCTCCCGTTCACACTCACAATCACCTATTTGTTTATTGATTACCTAAATGCCTTGTAAGCGTTAGAGCTTGGTCTTGCTCGCGTGGAATGAAATTGCGTTCGAACGCAGCGAACGGTATATAAATACAATGTACAAGTACGTCGTGTCATAACCGGATGAAATCTCGACGACGCAAATCCTTGAAATATACGACAAATTCATCCACGAAATTTATTGAAATTTGTGACATGGAAAAATTATAAAAGAAAAAGAATTTGTTGTTGAAACTTTATCCGTGTTTTAATAGAGGATGAAATCTCAACGAAAAAATCTCGCATAAACCTTATGAAAATTGAAATATCAATTTCGGCTGAATTAGATGAAATTTTATTTGTTGTATAACATATTATATTATTTAATATATCTTTAGTATTATTATGTATGTTATTATTTTTATAAAATTAAATTTTCGTATTAAAACAATGTTAAGAATAATTCTATTTAGAATTTGGATGTGGTAATTTAAAAAAAAAACTTCATTTTTGCGAATTGCAACCATTGACGGTTTTTATTAGCGTGAAAAAAACTGAAACATATCTAAAATATTCATCTTAACCGAAATTTGATTTCCTAGATTTCCTAAGATTTGTGCGGGAGTTTTTTTGAGATCTACGACAAATTCACGCATTTGAACTTTTCCAAAATTTTGCAAATTTGGAAATACACGAAAAAAAAATGTCGGCATCGAAACTTCATCCATATTCTAGAAATCGAACTTTTCTCCTGTGTAAATTTGGAATCTTACAATTGTTGATTGACATAAAAAATTGACAATACCAATTAAAATTAGAATAAATTAGAGATTTCCTACTGTTAATTAGCAATATCAGTCGATATATGTATATAATACATAAAAATCATAGCTAAATATGACGATTTCATAAAAAACGAGATTCTCAAAAAAATTTTACATAATAATCACGCATGAAGGAGTAGCACTGAATGAGGAGTTACTCAGTCCTCGAAAGATCGGCATGAGATCGCGTGTCGTATCATTACTGTAATCTACACGTTAATCCGCTACGTTCGTATTTTTATCTTTGACCGTTCTTGGCAGTGACGATTCGTGAGCTTTCGTGTTTCAATTTATATTTCTCTATCGCGGACGGTACACGTGGAAGCTGGCGCGTATATAATTCCTATATGCGTTCCGTCTTATTCGAGAGTTGCAAATAAAAAAAAATTGGGAGATCAATGATCGTTAAAAAATGTTTATTATAAAATTGTAGTGGCGCCGTTAGACGCGTTAGGCGAGCGCTAATTTAGTGTATACAACAGTCGCTGCCGGATGAGCACCAGGCGCTCCCTATCCTCAGATATACAGTCGGTTTCGGAATTTTTCCCGCTCACGGCTATTTTTTCGTAAAGAGATGCGTAAACATGCATGGAGAAATGTTAGGTATAATCATTCGTATCTGAAAACTTTTTTACGCGCGCGCCTACGGGCTGGTCCCACATTACGGTTTAAAAAAAAAAAAAAAGAACGATAGCCTTTGTACATTGTATATGTACAAGAGATTTGTACACATTAAAATTACAGTTATGTACAAGCGTTGTATAAAAAAGGTACATTGTCGTATAAAACACAGGTATTTACAAAATTCCAGGCTGTAAAAAAAGTTACAGGACGCAATTATTTACAATTGTTCTGGTAATAAAAAAGGGGAGGAGGTGTGTACTTGGCCGCGTGTGTATATATATATATGTGTGTATATTTAAATATAGGAGATCGTATATAAATGTCCCAAGGATTTACTCCGCCTCGAGAAGCGAAGCGGCGCCCGGAGCGGTACCTCCCGGCCGTAGCGCGACAAGGTGCGCCTTCTTCCGGGGTGACGACGTCGCGTCCACCTGCTGATAAACGTAATCGTTATGTATCGGCGAGCCCGACAGCGTCTTCTGGCGCTTCGCGCACGAAACGAATTCGTACACAGCCAGCGGCTGCTCCTGCCTGGTAAAGTCGTTTAGCCGCGTGTCCAATAACTCGGCGTTCATGAGATCGAGATCCTCGTAGAGCTGCTCCACGACGATGTCGTCGTCGACGATGTCGATCTTGGCCTCGTCATACGTGACGTTCTCGTCGTCGTTGACCTCGTCCACCGCGGATCCACCGGTCTCAGAGTCCGCGTCACTCTCTGCATCCTCGTACGCCTCGTCGTGTCTCTCCCCCTCGTACTTCATCTCGCCCCGCTCGAGGAGCTCTAGCTGATCCGGATTCACCATCGCCCGCTTGATCGCCGACGGGTCCTTCCGCGACCATTTTCGCACCTCCTCGTCCATCTTGGCCACCTTCGACGGATGGATGGCCCAGAGGCAACCCTTTCGCTGACTACCATTGCCTGGCGGCTTCTCGATCTTCTCGAAGCACTTATTCAGTGAAAGATTGTGCCTCACGGAGTTCTTCCAACCAGTCGGCGCGGTCGTGAAGTAGGGAAAGTGCCGGCTGTGTGAACGAAAAGGGGAAATGGGAAATGAAATTTGCGCGAATCGACATTCTCGTTAGCGTAAGAAAGAAATCGGTGAATTATATATTAGATATATCGGAGAATTATTTTGTAATTAACAATTAAATTTGTAAAACAGTAAAATTGGCAGATTGATCAAGTTTAATTTGATCAGAATTTCAATAATATTTAGTTTGAATTTTCTATAGAAAATTTTATTTTCACGAGAAAAATTACTTTTTTCGTTATTTCAAAAAATATTTCGAACAAGATAATTCGTACGATTAATCGTGTGTTAACATCTTCGTTCGGCGTAGAAAAACTCTGACGAAATACAGACTACAAGGGACGACAGTTATTTTACAAGCATAGCCATGAGTTGCAACGGCGAGAAATGAAGGCAGGTGGTAAACGAGAAGAGCGGGGCCTGCCAATGATTTCTAGGGGGGACTGTACCCCGGTGTGCCCTCGGTTGTTCCAAGGGCCCCCATACAAAATGGCAGCTTCTCGCTCAGTTCCCTTTACCCGACCCGTAAAACCCGAGAATAAAGAGGGAAAAGACAATACTTTTGCCCCTCGTATACCTAAGCGCAGGGTAGAGGGGGCTTCGTCCCTTTTATCCTTCCGGCCAAATGGCCGAAAATAAGCAAACGGGCGACACGTTATTCATCACGTTACGTACATAAAAAGTTCCTTGCTGTGCATTTCGAAAACATCATTTTGTACGGCTCACATTCGTTCAGCAACTATATAACGAATAATATACTAACGTAAAAATTCAGTAATGTTTCGGCCTCGATTTTCCAAATGTTCGAGAAAAAAAAATATTCCAGAAAAGTAATTTATTTAAAGAAACTATTCAAAGAATTAAAATGGTTTCCATCGAAATTATTTTATTCAAAGCAAAGCGAAATGCATTTTTTCTGAGAAGCGATATTTTTAAGTTATTTAGAGAGTTAATTAAATCTCTTACGGAATGATAAAAGTAATAATTTGCATCTAAAGGAAAGATCTTACTAAGGCAATAGGCGAAATGTTAACTTGCACATTTAAAAAATGACTGAATCAGAACGAATGTTTCGTTTCTTTTATTCCCCGAAAATTATTTAAATAATTTATATTTATATCAATTTAATAATTATCTAGCAATTAACAAGCGTTGGAAAAATATTTAAATTGCAATGTGTCTTTCGCAGCAGCAGTTTTAAAACTCACCACATGAAGTTGTAGATTTCGGATACGGGCAGCGATCCCGTTCGGCTGTTCTTCAGTGCCATCGCGATGAGGCACGAGTACGAGTACGCGGGTTTCGGATACGAATTGTCACGGCTCCCCGTCGTTAGCTCCTTCTCGCGCTTTGCCGCCTGTATCATCACCGTCGTCGTCGTCGCGCCCGTGCTGATGTCGTGCACGTTGTTGTTGTAGGACATCTGCTTGCGGATCTGCTGCAACGCCTGGCCGCTCGGATTGGCCGTCAGCATTTTGATGTCCTGGACCTTGACTGTGCCGGAAATGGCACTTATTTTGGGGTGGTGCAACCTCGTCAGCTGTATCGTCGGCGAGGAGGCGGCGATGGCGGCGGTTAACGTCCTGGCACCGACGCTGGCCGACGACGACGATATCGACGTCGGCGCCTCCACGCTCAGGGGTGTGAGCGGCTGTTGAGCGGTCGTGTCCTGCTCATCGTCCTCCGTCTCCTCGTCCTCCTCCTCCTCTTCCTCCTCCGTTTCCTCCTCCTCTGACTCGTACTCCTCTGTCTCGTTGTGCTCGTTCTCCTCGTTTTCGATTTCCTCCTCCTCCTCGCTTTCATTTTCCTCATCGTTTTCGGTTCGCTCGACCTCACTCTCGTTCTCCGTCTCGTCACCCTCATTTTCGGCGGCGTTCTCCTCCACGCTCGCTGTCTCTAGCATCGCCACGTCGCTGTTCGTCGCGGGGCTGCGGATAGGCATTTTACGCGGCAGTATTAAATTCGGATCCAATGTCAGAGCCAGTTCGCTGTCGCTGTCCAGATTCAATTCCTCCAGGTTGCTGTGGAAACACAGACAATACTAATATATAATAATATAATTTTTTTTCTATAAACTAAATTAAAATTGAATGATTGTCACTTTCGTGAATTTCTGAGCCTTGATAATATATTTCACGCGTGCGAAATACCACAAAAGATTCTTTTTTCTTCTTTCGCTCTTTCTCTACAAGTTTTAGACAACTTTTACCGGTGCTTATAACGTCTCTCTTTCCGTAAATAAAGAATTTCGAAGGGTCCGTTTTGTTACCTGTTCGAACTGCGGCTTTTGTCATTCAAGCAGAGCGGATCTTCGTCGGGTTCCGTCAAGACGTCGTCGAAATCGAAGCCAAGGCCTGGACCAAACCAGCCGATGTGGCTCGTGTTATCGCAACGCCGAATGCCCATGTGTAACATTTCTGGTCGACCCTGGAAGGCGTCGGAGATGCTGTCACTGCCGAACAGGCAGTCCCACGTATCCCCAGACAATCCCTGCTCCATCCTGACGGCACTGTACGCATTTACGGTATCCAATTCCATTCACTCGACTGGAAGGAGACGAATGGTAGTATCTTTAGAAAGACCGTCGTCAGAGACTTGCCAAATAATATACCTATATAAGCCTGCAAAACCGCGCGCCGCGAATTATCCTCCCGGAATAGTTTCATTTTCGTAAAAGCGACATTGCCATAACGAGGCGCCCGCGTGAAGTCACTCTATCGTGAAATTGTACTTTTATAGCCCCCATAAAGAATCTATCTTAGCTTTAATACGATATTGTCTCGCAGAACTCTTTTTTTTTTATTATACATATATTTCTATCGTATCTATTTATATCTCATCTAATTTTGCGCTACAGCGACTGCAGACCTGAAAATTTTCCACCAATTTCGTCCTTCTGACAATCCGTGGGACTCGTCTATATCTTAATAATGCGCGCGCTTTTTTTAGCCGGAGTGTATTTCGGATCCTGCACGCAGTTCGTAGACCGGTCATCATTTTCGCGCACAGACAGTGTGCTTCTCGTTTCGGGCACCCGACGTCTACGGCATCGCGAATCACTCCGCCGGAGGAATAATAGCTCGCGCGGGGGCACGTGAGAGTTCCCGAGAGAGTTCCTCTGCCGAATGAAAGCAGATCTGTTCCTCGAAATATCGCGCTTATCCGCTCGATCGAAACGGTTCAGGGATCAACCTTCGCGTCTCCGAATTCATAAATCATCCTCGACGGACCCTCTCCGTGTGTCGACCGTTTCAATTTAAAAAATAAAAAAAAAAATAGGAATGTATTATAAATTATTAATTTATAAGGAGCTCGCCGCGTCAATACATCATCTCCGATTGTACAGCCCTCGCAATTACGTCCGACTGTATATACGCTTCGAAAATTCCCACATTATCTCACGTCTTTATCAACGTCGTGAGTTGCGAATATAGCGAGTACTCAGGATCGGCGGCTTAGTGTCTCACTACGCTAGGCAGAGACGATAGATTCCGTACGTACGCGGGAACCTCGCGTATACCTCGCGTACAATTACACGCGCAGGCTACTGCACGTACATACGTGTGCTTGTGTATATGGGTAGAGGAGAGAGAGAAAGAGCGTACGAGGATCTTGAACCCACAACCGGCTTGTGGGTGTGACTAACTCATAGTACTACAGTTGGCTTACTGTATGCACGGGCTTCGTAGTAGAGCCTCCTCTCTCACTCCTCACCATCCCGTACGCTCGTCTCCGTGGCTCGCTTTTTTTTCTTCCCCTCCCTTCCATCCTCCATGTGTCTTTCCATGATTATCTCTCATTAAAAACTAATAACGGACAATCGACGAGCTCCGTGCGGCGGAAACGCCGCTGGAATAAGCGAACACAAAGGGGAATCCTGCTTAAAGGAGAGATAACCGTCGCTCTAAACTGCTCTAAACGAACGACTTGTGTGCGCGAATTTTAACAAGGTGCCGTCGCGTGAAGTGACGCGCCAGTCGTCTATATACGCGCGCGGCTATCTCCGTTTTATCTCATTTTCGTGGGCGCAGCTGGGAAACGCTAGAGCAGATCCCTTTTTCTCATTCACGCGTAACGACGGCGCGACGTACGCGAAAGGGGCGAGTATATCAGCCGGCATTGATTCGAATATTCCAGCGCGTAGATTGTGCGTAGTCGCAACATCCGGATCTCGCGGTGGACCAACCGTAGATACACACAGCCGCGCCGTCTCCGCTCGGCCCGCGCTTTTCGCCGAGTATCGATCTGATACGTCTACCCTCCCCTCCCCTCCCGCCCCGTGCGTTCCCCCGGCATCCTCTCACCCTATCCCCCTGACATCCTCCACCCTCGTCGTATCCTTTACCCCCCCCTCCCTCCTCCTCTCCCTCCCCTGGCGGGGCGGCCAGTATTTGCGAGCTGCAAGAGTGTGCACCCCGCGCGCAGCGTGCACCAATGCCGCGCCCAGGTTCGTCAGGGTGGCACCCTAAACACTCCCCTGCCCCCGTTGCCCGTTTGAAAATTTACCCCTCTCTCTTTCTCTCTCGATCTCTGTCTGCCCTCCGTCACCCTTCGTCCCCCTTACGATTCCCCAGCGCAGGCTGTGCTCGTTACCCCTTAATGCCGCTCGCTAGGGGCGAATTAATGCTTCTATCTTTGCAAATAGGAAAGCAGATATCGGATTTTGTGTCATTTTTAGTAAATTTCAGAATATTTGAGTTCACCGCTCCTGCCGAAGGTTTTTTTTTACTAATAATCGTACTCCGACCGTCGAACGGATGGAGACAGGATAATTCGTATAGATGGGAAATGCTAAATAAATACAGCTAGTTTTTAATTAGGTACACCGAGTAACCATAACCGAAAATTGCATACAGTGAAAAACACTTTGCGACTTGGCGATCAATTTTATTCTCTGGAATGAACTCTTCCAATCCGCGTGACGATTAAAGGAGCGTCGATTGAAAATGTTTTGACGACGCGCGATGAAGCTTTTAATTCCACAGCTACATTTGGAGGCGCGGCACACACGCCACGGAAGCCATTTGTTTTCATCGGTCACGACACGGCCGTTCGCGGATGGATTGATACCGATGTGTGCCACTTTACACGGGGACGCAGCGTGCGCCACACAATGACGTGTCTGCGCGCACGTCGCATCGACGTACAACGCGTGGCATCGTACGCACGTGGCCGTGCGGAATTGGCGCGAAAAAGTCTCGTTGTTGACGTCGCGTCGATGGGCGACGATCGCACGCTGGCTCGCGCCGAGTTTCACGCGTACATACGGTGCGATTCACGGAGCACCGTAAGGAGATTATTCGGAAAATCTTCTGTATTTTTTTTTCTTTTTCCCCGAGACGTGTGTCACATTCGTATATCTTCAACGAAAAACGTCGCTGCGAGAAACTGCTCCGCTCGCCCGCCCCACCCTCCTCCTCGCTCTCTCTTTTCGCCCGCTCTCAATGCGCCTCGTTACGTGTAATTATCGGGAGTGACAAACAACTTTGTTGGACGTTTCGTTGAGGCCACGGGGCCGTGTGTGTGTCCGAAATATCGATTGACGCGCCTCTTATCGTGGTCCGAGAGAGATATATCTCTTCACCCGTCCGCGCGCTTTGAATTGTAGCTCGGGCCGTGTGATTTAGAAAGGAGCGGCGCGCGAGCGCGCTGTAACCCTTTCTAGATCGGCGACGCGTCGTCGGCTCCCAATAACATACTTACCGCGACTAAACGAGATTATCGCGGCGCGTCTCGAGAACCGCCGTGTACACGCGATTATTTTCGATTTCGTTTTCCTACGTACGTTGCGCGCGGTGCGCCAAGCATATATGGTATAATACCCATACAAATCGGCAGGGAGAAACACGGTCTCTCTCTCTCTCTCTCGGTCTCGTGAATGTAAACGGGAGTAATTGGGATTAAGGGGGAGATCTAATGCATTAATGATACTTTCTCAACTCGATTACGAAAAATCGGTGTAATCGCGCACCTGAAACGCGGACGTCTCTCTTTCTCTTAACGTCAATCTCACGGTGTGTTTACTAATCTCGTCTTCTAACTAATTCGATGAGGCACCAAGAGAGGCCTGGAGAACTTTTTGCTTTCACTGGCCAGGCGGATGAGCCAATCGCGGGACCCCCCTCTCGCCCTTCCCTCCCCCCTCCCCCCCTCGTCGAGAGATCTTGCAAAATTTCGCACGTTACTGCGGAACCAAACGTATAACACGCCTTCTACAATGGAACGCGTTTCCCAATCGGTGTAACCCTCGTCGTATAAAGAAATTACATGTAGGCATCTCCCTCTCCCTCTCTCTCTCTCTCTCTCTCGCGCGCGCGCAAACGAGCAAAACGACGAAATGAGATCGGTCGATTGTATCGCGAATATAGGTAATTTTATCGATAAAGTTGTGAAATTTTGAAAGAGAGAGAGAATGTGTGGGTTTCGTAGAGAGAAATCGTTGTATTATTCTATAAGATTACCGTTCATTCCCACGAGTGGATTGCATAAATGTTTTCGCGCAAAATAAAAAAAAACCCCGTTGCAAATTGTACCGCGTGTCGTATACGATCGGGCGCGACATATTCGACGCGAGAAAAACGCGGCTGTGAGATTGCAGCGGAATTAAGGCTGATCGCGTTAGAATTTCCGTGGCTGTCGGCCGTCGCTGCGCTTTACGATATTATCAAAGCGCCGCCGCGAAAGTGGCCGCGCGCGGCGAGCGTGTTTCCATTCCGCGTTCCCCGCTCGCGTCATCGCTAAAACGAAAGAAAGACTCGCGGGCAACAACAACGCGGCGCGAAAGCACGAAAGCACAATGGCGCGCGCGTTAACCCCGCGCGGCCGTTACGCGCGCGAGGATACGATGGCTAACGACGCGAGAATTGCCGATTGTTTCGCAAATTCGTTTCTGCGATGAAAGAGAGCCGAGAGAGGCCTGCCTGCCTGTCTGCTTGTCCGCCTGTCTGTCTGTCTGTCTGTCGGCCGCGGATGCCCCCGAATCAAAATGCGCTCTATCAAACGATCTCCTTCTCTCCCGCGCCGCGCGCGCGCGCGATGACTTTCTATTCCATAAATTATTTATAACCGCGCGCACCACGAATAGATATTTATATATTTATAACAAAACCAATAATGAAACCGGCGTGCTAAACGTATTTAATTGGCGACCGTTATTCACTTGATTACTTAAAAGATGCACACAAGATCGGCCGGGAATAAAATTAGACGCATCCAATTTTCATCTCGGGCTCGTTGTGCGTGACTTTCGAGCGTCTCCTAAGTATGCTAAAATTACGAAAAGGAGAACGCGCCGCGCCAGAGAGCGGCACTTTTCCACTCGTTGAATCGTCCACGACGCTCTGGCGACCGACCGCGATTCGACCAAGATTAATCTTTCGGCGACGCAGAAGCAAATGGGAAGCTACCGCGACGCAGCGAAATCGCGTGCTCCGCGACGATGGCGTTTTTCTTTTCCCCGGCCTGTACAGGCCGGGAAAACACGCAGCTTAGCGCGCAACTCGACACGTAATTATCGTAAAAATGTTCATAAAAATTACTGTGAGATTATCGTAAACGCTACTAATCCACTGACACACCGCTAACCTGTTTAATTCGAAATTACCGTGAAGCTAAGTCATAAAAGACTACAGTATCCGTTTGATTACGTAACAATGAATCTCCGTCAAAATTTACCACGTCAAAATCTTCAGCGAGTTTCTATAGTAGTGCGAGCGTATGATAGAAAAAAAAATCTTATACGGCTCACATGGCAAATCCCTCGTTCCATCGATATCGGAGGAAGCGTATTACTCCGATGCGCCTACAGAAAATAATTTCCTCTTCGTCGGTCGTTTTTTTTACCGCGAGCATGTCTCGCGAACGATGAATGAAAAAAATTATATATATATACTCATCCACAAAGAGAGAGAGAGAGAGAGAGAGAGAGAGAGAAATATTCCGTCGTACTTGTCCGTGTTCTCTACTCCTTTCCGCCTCCGTTTCTTTATCCTGGTCGCGTTCTTTTTTTTTTCCTTCCGAAGAGTCTCGCAGAAATAATCGTCCGAGAGCACGAGAGAATCGAGGGAAAAAAAATATCGTGCGAGAATGGGACGCGGCGAGGAACGTGGAGCGAAGAATGTGAATTTCGGGCCGTACCTGCAGGACCGCGGCCGCTTCCTGCGGTGGGCATATGGCGAGGAGAGAAGGGACCAGAAGGGATTCGAGGGTGACGGGGGTTTCCCGGAAGGTTCTCACGGTCAATAGCTTTCCCGGCGGCATGCGGCTGGAAAGTGCTGCAGAGGGGCTGCTCTGCCTTTTCCCCCCCTCCCTCCTGCCTTCCCTCAGCCCCCGTCGTGCCATCCTTTTCCGTCCTTGCCCGCAGGCTGTAGCATTCCCATTTTGTTGTTCTCTCTTTCCTTGTTTCTCCGGGCACGTTTTCGAAAGTCGAAATAATCATTTATTTTTGCCGAACTCAGCCGAAACCGGGCAAGCGGACAAAATGGAAAATTTATGGAATTTTGTCTGGTAAAATTCTTTTTCACCGGACGACGAATCGAACGTGGAACGGAAGATGAACGACGGCCACAGGCGAAGGGGACGAGGAAGCCAGATTTTAGCCCCGACGACGTTATTCCGGCGGGCCAATTAACGTTCGCGATCCGTGCGAAATTACTATTCGTGGCTATCAATGGAAATCGATACCGCCGTTGGCGGTTTCGGCGACAAGAGGATTGACCAACGTCGCCGTCGTCGCGTCATCGGCTCCGGATAATAATCACGCGGAAAACCATAAAGCGATAAACCCCGTAAATATATACGCGATGCATGCGCGACGAGGAGGAGGGGGGGGGGGAACGGCGGAAACCGCGAAGCCGACGGAAATCGGGAAAACTCGCGCGCGCACGCACCGAGTCGACGGACGGCGCGAACGGATGTCCCTCGACGAATCCGTGATTTCCGGTTTCGCGGAAAAAATTTTCTTTCCACGAGACCTTTGTCTCTCGAGGCTTCCCTCCTCCCTCCTGCTCCCCCTCGAGCGTCAAGATCGAGCGGCGGAAACGGAGAAATAGAGAAACGAGAGCCGCGAACGAGAGGCGCGCGCGAAAATATCGTAGAAGTTGAAACGCGGAGCATTTTTCGGAGCACACACTCTTTCGCGATTTTTCAACGAGAAGTTTCGAGAAATTTCTCAGGACGATTTCAACGAAACAAAACAAAACAAAAAAGACGTCGCTTCGCTAATTTTAAGGCGATCGGCACGTTGAGCGCATCGCCGCGCACCTTTCGTCGCCTCCCTTTCCCGCTCGTGCATCATTCTTCTTCCCCTTCGAGTACGTTTGCATATTACCTCTCTCTCTCTCTCTCTCTCTCTCCTTCTCGGTTACGCGCACTTACTTCTCATTGTCTGTAAACTTACTGGACCTACGCGTGTATCCATTTACCCATCTCCGCCGGGCAGCTCCAAGGGAACTCTGTGTCACGGAGCGCATAACGCTTTCTTTCCCCCTTCTCCCCTCGTCCCTTCTCTTTCAACCACACACCTTTGTGCATTCTCACAGGCATACGGACCCATACACACACATACACGTCATGCACACGCATACATACGCATTCACGCATCGCGTACGTATCCGATGCCGTTTTTGTTGCGTATGCATTCCCCGTACTTCGACATCCGTCAATGCGCGTGTGTATACGAACTGCTTTTGTAGCATGCTGTTGTTTTTCGAGCATTCTCGCGGCTAATAACCAACACTTTTTTCTCCCGCCATCTCTCTCTCTCTCTCTCTCCCTCTCTCATATCACGCACTCGCTCTTCCCGCCGAAACTTACGGCGCCGTACTCCAGCGCCCGTGTACCGCTCATTCACGCCACGAGCGGTTTTGACACAAGGCAGACAACAGGCGGCCGATTTGTTTACGCCTCTCGACGACGGAGTCGGCCGTCGTCGCGACGACGCGAGATGCAAATCGCCCGGTCGCGGGCGACCGCGAAAATTCAGCGTTGTCGCGGAAATAACCCGCGAATCGACCGAGACGTTAATACCGGCGACATGCGCGCGACGGGAGGAACGGAGGCGAGCGCGGTCGTAACGAGACGGGATTATATTTTCCTCGATCGCCGCGAGAACGTTCACCCAACAAATCGAGCCCCGCGAGACGAGAGTCGCACGATCCGAAACGAATGAGAGAGAGAGAGAGATAGACAGAGAAAGAGAGAGGAGACGAAAAACGGGGTGGGCGAGAGGAGGAGAAAAAAACAACATCGTCGATCTCGCTCTCCGTGTCTGGCTCGCGTTCCGATATATATCTCGTTCTTCCGACGAACAAGACCGAGAGAGCGAGAGAGCGCGCGCGCCGGCGAGTGGAGCGATCGCAGCCGCGAGAAGAGACGGGGACGAGGCGAGACGGGACAGGACGGATGGAACGGGACGAGACAAGGCGAGACGGGCAACAACACTTTTTCGCGGGGCGATATTTACGCGGCGCGCGATATAATGGCACCAGACCTACCGTGTATCGTTACTGCGCGTCTGACGTACCCCGAATCACACTGTCCCGTTCACGTCTGACAGCACTTTCACACATATATTTACGGGCGCGAGTCGGCAGTCGAAATTTTCGGCGCAGCGACCATGTATAAACCGTACACCGACACGGGTCCCCCTTGACGGAACTGAGGCAACGTTGGTTGACACGAGCTGGCCCGTGAACAAAGACCACAAGATTTCAAATCCCGCCGCGTCGATTGGCCGGCCGCGGTCACGTGGCCACGGCGCCCGGCGCCCTATTGGCCCGCCACCACGGGGGTGCGAGGACGTTTTGAACGATGCGCCGCAATGCACATGGCTGACAAAGGCAGACTTCCCGCGGGGGAGTCGCACCGAGTCCCCGGGGTACGCGGGCGACGGCGATCGTCGACGGCGGACGATCGGACGGGCCCGGGCGACGACGGCGGCCCCGCGTTCACGGGGCGACGATGACGCGGTCACGGGCGCGCTCCTCGGCACACTCGGGTCTCCCTAACCTTCCCCACTCGAAAAATGGCCGAACCCAAAACAACACCGCGCGCGCGGAAAGTCACTCCGTCGACGGCGGCGCGGCGTGTACCGTCCGGGGCCGCCCGCGGCGGCTGTCACGCGCGATTTTCTCACGTTTCCACCACGCGGACGCGCGCCAGCGCCGAGGCACGTATCGCGGAGTACCGTCGCGAACGCGGCGAATAATCGCCGTCGCCGTGAACGAGATTGAAAACGACGGGCGAGTCCATTGCGGCCACTACGGGAGGGGAGTCGGGCAGGTCCCCTCGGTTAAGAATGAAACACTACGCGGCGCCGATAATGGCGGGAAGGCACGTATACATACACACGCGCGCACGCGGCACATGGGGGATATTTATCGACTCCGGGGCCAGACGAACGCAAACACACCGCGCACACTTTCCGTCACCGTTCTTCACCGAGCTTCTCCTCTTCGCACCACGCGGCCGATTTTCGCGCGAAAAATCTCACCGTTTTCTCTCTCTCGTCTCTCCCCACCGGATATATCTCCTTCGACGTTCGAGTCTTTTACCTCCAAAATCAATAGACGGTCCCTTACGTGCGAATCATTTCTCCGTATACATACATTTTTTTCTGTACTTTTTATTCGTAACATTTACCACCATCTCAAAATACATCTCTCTGCATTAACTTCCTTAAAATATGTATTACAAAATATTTGAGCTTTCAGTCTATTTAGTAACTTCAGACTATACGCGTTTATAGCTTCAATTCCCTCGATGCTTCAATCTTGACTCTCCGTCGCGAGAATATCAGTTCGTTGATGTAAATTCCTTCTATAAATTCGTCGATATAAAAATTCTTCTTGTAAAAATATTTCTTCTAGTATTAAATATCCATATATTTCATGAGAGCAATGCAATATTCATTGCAATTCTCTGGACGTAATCAATAGATTACTCAAATTTAATCTGATTGCATTGGCCCCATTCGTAGCACCAGTGTTATTTTGCACTCCTCATGCATAAAAATCTTGTTCAATTTCTTATTATCCATCAAATTTGGTCATCGTTTCCTTGATGTCGTTATTCACGTTACTTTCCAATTATCCTTTGTATAAGGTATCTCTCTTCCTCTATCACTGGGAAATTGGAATTGTTGATTACCGTTTTTTTCACAGATGTTCGTCCTCTTTTCATCATATTACTTTTCATTTGATATATATCTTTTCAAATTCAACAATACTAAATATCTAAAGTAGTTGTAGAAGTATAACAATGTATATATATGTATTATATATAAAAATGCAATATAGAAATATTGACTTAGTACGTTATTGCACGTTGAGCTGTGACCTCTTAAACTCAAGAGGTTCTGATTAAAAGCTTATCATTGGCCGAATAAGCTGTGGCTCTAAATATAATTCTCAATATGGCACTTGCAATATCTAATGCATAACATATGGCGTGTTCGTTTAAACATTCGCAACACTTGGTATTATTTTGGTATATATCTCTATTCCTTTCAGGAATATATCCTTGTTTAGATACTCGTCATGATCGTGAAGACGTATCTTTGTCTTGTTCATTGGTGAGAAGCAGAGAGCAGGAATGCCCACCTGTAAAGCAAATATATTCAAAGTTATATTTTATGAAATGTATGTTAAGTATAGTATATTATAAAAATCACGCGTTTATGAATTTATCTCTAATTGACATAATTTATACGCGATTTTTAATTTCAGCAATGCTCTTTTCGTCTTAATGAAAAACACAAATCATTTCTTATATAAAGCGCTGACAATAAAATACTAGTCAAAAGTCAAATCCTTAGTAAAAAAAATATATAAATAATGTAAAAACGCATTAAATATTTGTAAAAATTGTTAGTAAAATTCATTAAAGTAAAATTTCTAAAGCAAATACAAAAAATAAAACACAATGCGTAAATTTACAAATTTCGCAAGAATTAATACATATTTCATAATTACAATAAAATAACAAACTAATAGATATTTCTTTTTCTGGGCACAGCGTACTTAAACATTCAATTTTTATATAAAGAGCAATCTGATGCTCACCCCTCGCACAAAGCGGCTGTCGGTGCCTCCTGGGAAGATACCAATTTCCAAATTTATACCAATTTCATCGCAGACTTTTTTAAAAGCGATCCAGTAAGGGTTAGAATCGTCGAGCTTGGTACTCTCAATTTTGGGATTTTTCTCCTCAAAAGAGTAGGTTACATCTGGACCAGCTTCTTCGCACCAGCGTTTAATAGTAGCCTCAAATTCCTCGTGATCAACGGATGGTGCTAGACGAACATCGAACATAGCGCTGAGCTCGACGGGTACAACATTAGTCTGTACGCCACCCTGTAAACAAGCGCATTTCAGATAAAATCAGCAAATTTCAAACAGGCAGATAAATAAGGAACACAGAGTTCGACAAAAACGTAGAATGAAAAAATAAAATCCTAGCATAACTATAAGGCAAGAAATAACAGTAATAAAGAGATTATATCTCACTATCAATGATATAATCGCAAGTATCATTAGAACATCAAAATACTTACTGTAGAATATAAAATCCCAATGGAACAGACATATAAAGTAAAGAAGTGTCGTATAACGGTTTGAAAATTAAAGCTAGCCTATATATTTGCGTTATCTTCATTACTACGTTAATTCAATGTAAAACATTGTTTCATATGTAACATTCCTACAGAAATTCAGTATAAAAATAAATGAAAGAAAAGAGACAAGTCTGTTTTCTGTTCCTGTACTGGACTGTACTAGAACTTTCTTTCTCGCTTTTGTCAGATATCAAACATATATACATATTTCACTTCAAGTGTGTATACACAGAGTGTGTATACTGTTCAGGTATAGAAAACAGACCAGAATAACTCAGTGATTTTATTCGTGATGTTTAAATATAGACGATACTTTCGAAAACTCGTTTAAATGCTACATATAAACGGGTTGATGTCAGTTGATATTTCTTAGATGGTAAAAACCATAGACATATATTTTAACAAAAACAATATATTCGCATGATACCTACCCAAATTTTTGTAAGATTGACAGATGTCACGTCGCCAAGAGTAGTTGCCAATTTCGTAGGATCTGTGAGTTTTGCTTTCTGCGAGGCTCTAAAGTCCATAAAGCGGTCGATTACGACTCTCAATTTTTCCCCAGCCGTGTTGTCCATCATGATCGACCCGTGACCGGGAGTGCCCGCGCACTTAATTTCAATATGCCAGATCGACCTCTCTCCGTAGAACATGTAGAAGGTCTCGAACGGGCCTGCCACACCTTCGTCCAACGCGAAACCGACGTTTAGAGCTTTGAAGTCTGCAGTGTGCACAAATTCTTTCATTCCGAGAACACCTCCGATCTCCTCATCCGGAACGAAAGAGAGGTGGATGGTGCGTTGACAGCGTTGTCCATTCTGTTTCAGTCTGCGGACAGCCTCCAAATATTGTATTCCCACGCACTTCATGTCCTGAGCGCCACGAGCGTAGATGTTGCCTTCCTCGTCCATGTGTGCGCTGAACGGTGGATAGGTCCATTTGTCCTAAATCAGTTATAGATATATAGTTATGATTAATATTAGAAATTATATTAATATTAGCTAGTTGATCGTGTATGCGAATAGTAACACACCCAACATACAATATACATTCGCAACATCTTTACCATAAGATAAAGCACTTACTTCGAAAACAGGCACCACATCCATGTGACTGTTTAACAGAATCGACGGTTTCGTCGGTTGCGTCCCCACCCATGTCAGAACTACAATCGGTTTCTTGGGATATACGTGATAGACTTTGATCGGCAAGTCAAGGGACTGCGCTTGTCTGGTTAAGAATGCCACGCAGTCATCTGAAATAAAAGGCACAGTAAGTCAGAAGGTATTACGCATGGTTCTATATGTATACAAATGTAGACTTTTAATCCAGAAATCATAAGAATTTTTTGGAACTCTTATAACAATTAATTGTAAAATAAATATAATTACTATGTATATTTAAAAGCTAATCGGTATATGAATTCTGTTTAATATTTAAGCTCTAATTCTGTCTGTCTACAAACGGATGACCTAAAGGCGATTATTGAGCGAGCAGGACTTTTAAATTGCTGCGTAGGTTTAATGTTTGTTCGTTCCGCGGGTGACCTTTCTCGTTAGATTATAAAGTAAGGTGACACCAGTGTTACATAATGATAATGATTTACATCGCGTTAATTTCCTTGGAGATAACAGATCAGCAATCGCAATGAGAGGCGAGATACTTGGGACGGTAATTGGCTCTATTATCAATTGTAGGCTCTTATCTATTTTATCAAGGGTTGGGGGGAGGGATCTTGTTATTTTCAATCATGTGAATGTTATCACAAAATATATAGCCAGTCGTAAATGTGTCGGGACGCGACACATCCGCAAGTCACGCCGCTATCGCGCGCAGGTACAACGAACACGAAGTCTCGTCGGCCGATTACGTAACCGGCTTCCGCACCTTCTCCGTCGGTCGTCGATTCGCGATTCGGGGTTGCCGCTGCCCGTCGAACCGGCGGGATCGTTTTCAAGAATCGGACGACGGAAGCGGAAGATGCCGGGCCGAGAGCAGAGACCCATCGGATCTGGGTCACGCCGTGACGCCCGTCGCGCAGCCACGACGTCGTCGTCCGATCGACGGGAGGGCACCCGGGGCCGGTCCCGAGGACATCGCGGAACGACCCGGCGGGGTCGGCGAGGCGCCGCGACCGGACGTAGGGGCTTAAAAATAGAAATAACATCGCGCGCGCAGGGTGGGGCAACGCAATGGCTGGATAGCGTCACCGACGCTATCCCCAATTCGTCACCTCTCGCGAGGCGTCCTCGCCTCACCGGCGTCGCGGAGCCTCGTCGGCCCCGATTCCCACGGGGCGACGCCGTCCGATCGCGGGCCCTCGTTTTCCCCGTGGCCGGGGTTCCCTCCCTCGTGGCCGATGAATCGAGCAATTTACCTAACGAGGAAACGCGTCGTTGAGCGGCGTGCTTGGCGACCCCATTCGCGGACGTGGCCGGTCGGCGTGGGTCCCGTGGCTCTTTTCTTTCCCATCTTCTCTATACCGAGGACACTGGTCTCGCGCTTTCTCCCGTCCACCGAGCTTTCCTCGCAATTTCCCGTCTCTCGACCGAACGCGACACGACACGCGTCGCGAAACTTCCATCCGCTTTCGCCGCCGGACGCTTTTAGACGCGCGTCGCAGAGATCTCTCTCTCTCTCTCTTTCTCTCTCTCCTCCACTCCCCCACGCTCTCGTCCGCCGCGTTTAATCCGTTTTACCGAAAATTCCACGGAATTTCGCCCCTCCCGCGATAGCTCACCGTAGTTGATGTCCGGCTGCACCGACGGTATCCGCAGGTACTCGCGGAAATTCTCCACAGCTGTTTCGTTCAGCTCGGCCTGCGACATCGCGCTCCACGGTTCGTCCGTCCGCTCGTGCCTGTGCGATGTGCCTCACGTCGTCTCCTGGTGTCGTGACTCTCTGGGATCTGACGCGGCCTCTTAAAGCCCGTCCGTCCGCCGATAACGCTGATAAGACGGCGGGCGCCGCGTCCTGACGCACGTCCGCGGGAGATTGTCGGGGAAGGACGACTGTACCGTCAGCGGACGGCGGCGTCGCGGAGCGAGGGCCCGGAGTGTGCCGCCGCGGCCGGAATGCCGCGCGCCGCGCGACTCGCCCAATTGCCGCCGGTTACCGGCGTTGACGTCACGGCGACGCTGCTCGAATCGAATAGCGCGGTTAGTAACAGGCTCCCATGCGCACGCCACGGCACCGCGTCTACGGCGTCTACGCCACGTCGCGTCGCGTCGCGCCGCTCCGCGCCGTCGGCCGCGCTGGCGTTTGAAATCGCGTCTGCTGATCGCGTCGCGTTACCGAAAGGGGACATCACCTGGCCGATCGTTCCTCGTGGATTCTCCACCTCCACGCGTTTTTCGACGCTGTTCGCCCGAGATCGTCACCGAAATGTCAGCACGCAACGAATATTGCGTTTTTTATCCCATTTCAAACGTGAGTTTTCCAAAAAATTCCGATGCAAACAAAGACGTATCGAGGAAACTTCCGATTATGCCTGTTTTTTGCAAAAAGAGAGACTGCAGCCCCCCTCTTGCATCTATAATCGCTCAAAAACCGTAACTGGATTTCGGTAAGAATCGTCAATTTAGATCAGTTTTCAAAAACATATGATTGTTGAATTTTTCTTTTAAAGGAGAAACTTTTTCTCAAAAATCCTTCAAAAGAAAAAGTGATACTTAATTATGTCGTATAATTTGTGACATAATAAGTATTACTTTTTCTTTTGAAGGACTTTTGAGAAAAAATGTTTGCTTTAAAAGAAAAATTCAACAATCATTGTACGTATGACACGTATCTATTATTGAAGTGCTGAAATAAAATTTTGTATCGTATGTTGAAAGTTATTTAAAAAATGGAGAAAAATGCGATATCGTAAAAATAATAAATTTGATAATAAAATTGAAAAGAATTTGTAATCTTGAGCAAGAGATATATATATGTACTACTACGACGAATTGTGGTAAACAATCCTATCGCAGCTAATGAGATGATAATTCATCAGATACAGGATTACTTTATATTGGTGAAAAGTCAAAATAAACAGATAAGGTTTTATCTACGACGGCAAGCGGCAAACAAGTGTTATTAATAGCGTACGTATTATGGTAATATACGATACTATGCTAATTTTCATTTGCAATTAAGACACTTCTATTTGTTCGCACTCGAGAGGAACGACAGCTATTCGGTCGTGGAAAAGAACCGCGGATATTTTTTATCGTATGACAAATAAGGCAAGGGCTTTTATAAACAGGGGTCGGTCGTATTTAATAAAACATTATTTAAAATATTTATTTTAAATAAGAAAAAGTAAAAGAATTATTTAGTACTTATTATTCTAAATAATTTCTTCTAATCTATTTCTTATTTAATATTTTTAATATGTTTTTGGAATCAATTTTATATTTGTTATCTTAAATAAATTGTATCAGTTATTTTACCGACTCCTGATTATAATCAATTAACAACTCGTAAAATATAATATACATACTTCCATTTATTAAATTTGTTTCACGTATGCCTAAATATGAACTCTTGTATACATTATATAAACACATAATAATATATCGTGTGTGTAGAGTCAAAGTACTAATTGTTACATTTATTATAATAAATATCATGGATTGTAAATTATTATACAATGTAATAGATATAATAATTGTATCATGGCTACAACTATAGATATATAGGTACATATTCTTAGTGAATAGCAAATAAAAAATTATATTATCTCAGTCTGTTGTAATAATAACAACAGAGTGCATACATCAATTATTATATTATATTAATATTCTATTCGCATATACATTATATATAGTATTATGTAAAGATTGAATGTATATGCGAATACAATTTTAATATAATATAATAACTGATGTGCACTCTGCTGTTATTATTACAACAGACTGAGATAATATAATTTTTTATTTGCTATTCACTGAGAATATGTATATGTCTAGTTGTAGCCATGATACAATTATTATATACCTATTACATTGTATGATAATTTACAATCCATGTTATCTATTATAACAAATGTAACAAGTATTTCGACATAAAACTCTACACATGATATATTATTATATGTCCATAATATGTACAAGAGCTCATATTTAGGCATACGTGAAACAAATTTAATAAATGGAAGTACATTTTATATAATTTATATATAATTGAAGTATAATATAATACTATAGAAAGATTGAATGCATATGCGAATATAATAATATAATAACTGATGTGCGTTCTGCTGTTATTATTACAACAAACGATTTCTAACGAGTTGTTTTATACTATCGGATAATTTAATAACAAAATTGCGAATTTACTCCTTTACGTCAGAATATATATCTTTCCAAACAAATCCATCCCTTCCCAAACGATAATAAAAATTTAAAATAGTTATAATATGAATATATACCTATATATATGCAACACAAATATACATATCAATTTAGTATATTTATATTGTACATTAACAGCGATCTCTTAAACTAAAGAGATATTTAGAGCTACTGACAGCTTGCTCGGCTATTTTATTCAATGATAAGCTCATCTGATTAATAAACTTATTATTGATAGATGAATTCATTAATAAGCTCATCTGATTAATAAGCTTATTGTTGATAGAATAGCCGAGCGAGCTATCAATAGCTCTAAAAATCTAAATATCCGATCATACATGAGATACTTATCATATTAGTGGAATATAATATTATTAGTGAAATATGGCATGTTTGTTTTAAACATTTGCAACAGACGGTATTATTTTGGTATATATCTCTATTCCTTTCAAGAATATATCTTTGTTTAGATATTCATTGTGATCATGAAGAGCTATCTTCGTGTTGTACATTGGTGAAAAGCAAAGAGTAGGAATGTCCACCTGTGAAGTAAATATTTAAAAAGTTACATTTTATGAAATGAATAATAATTACAGTAGGTGCATTAAAAAATATATTAATATCTAACGATCTAGATTTTTCAAAATTAACGTAATGTTATAATTCAAACGCGATATTTAATTTATTAGCAATGTTTTTCGTTTTAATGAGTCATATCTCACTTTAATGTGAGACTGCTAGTAAACTGCTATCTTTAGGCAAAAGTCTAAACATACATACATAAAAAAATCTATAAAAATTGATTGTAAAATTCTTTAAATATATTCAAGTTTCCGAAACAAATATAAAACAAAACGCAATATGTTATAAGTTTTGCAAATAAATTTTGCACGAATTAATATGCATTAATTACCTCTCGTAAAAAACGACTGTCTGCGCTTCCTGGGAGAACACCAATTTCCAAATTGACACCAATTTCATCACAGGTCTTTTTAAAAGCAATCCAATATGGATTCGAATTATCGAGCTTGGTGGCCTTACTTTTAGGATTCTTCTGTTTGAAGGAGTAGGTTACATCTGGACCTGCTTCCTCGCACCAGCGTTTGATAGTAGCCTCCAATTCTTCATGATCAACGGAAGATGTTGGACGAATATCGAATATAGCGCTGAGCTCGTTAGGTATAATGTTAGTCTGTAAGCCACCCTGTAAATGAATTGTTAAAATCAACAAATAGATAAATAAAACACACAGAGCTTGACAAAAATGTAGAATGACAAAATAAAGTCCTAATAAAATTATGAGGTAAAAAATAATGGTTATAAAGTAGGAGATTGTATCTTATTGTGTCAACGATAATCACAAATATTATTGAAATACGTACTGTGGAAATCTCAATGGAATAGATATTAAAAAACACATATAAAGTAAACAAGTGTCATATAACTTGAAAATTAAAGCTAATCAATATATTTGCGTTTTCTTCATTAGTACGCTAAACAGTATAAAATCTTAGGTAACATTTGACATTCTTATACGTATGTGTTCAGTATAAAAGTAAAATGAAAGAAAAGAGAAAAAATAACTCAATGATTTTATCCGTGATTTTTAAATATAAACAAGTTGATACTTTTCATGTCTCTGAAACATTTTTTAACAAACACAATATATTTGCGTGATACCTACCCAAATTTTCGTAAGATTCACAGTTGTCACCTGACCAAGAGAAAACCAGGATTTCGTAGAATCCATTTTCGCTTTCTCGGAGGCTCTAAAGTCCATGAAACGCTCGATTATGATTCTCAATTTTTCTCCAGCCGTGTTGTCCGGTAGGAACGATCCATGACCGGGATTGCCCGCGCACTTTATTTCGACGTGCCAAGACGGTTTGTCTGTATAGAACGCGTACATGCTTTCGTACGGACAGGCAAAACCTTCGTCCAACGCGAAACCGACATTCAGGGCTTTGAAGTCAGCAGTGTGCACAAAGTCTTTCATTCCGAAAACACTGCCGATCTCCTCATCCGGGACGAAAGAGAGGTGAATAGTACGTTGGCAGCGTTGTCTGTTCAGTTTCAATCTACGGATCGCCTCCAAGAACTGTATTCCCACGCACTTCATGTCCTGAGCGCCGCGAGCGTAGATGTTGCCTTCCTCGTCCATATGTGCGCTGAACGGCGGATAGATCCATTCGTCCTAGATCAGTTATACGATTAATATTAGGAGTCAGCAAGT